CTGGGGAAATACTTTATTCTCGATAATACTAATTTTAAAAATCCTCAGCTATGGAATCCCCCTAATAATTACGTAAAGAATAGCTAATAAGGTACTTTACCAAGGTGTTTTTCACTTGACTCGGACACCTGTGCATGGGATGTTCCTTATGCATTAGTGTCTGAGCCTAGTGAAAAATTGTTTAACTCAACTGATAAACAGTGTACACCTGTCATCCAAGGGCCACCAGAGAACAGAATCTGTATGGTTGCCAGATTTTATATGCAGCGTATTCTTGTTTACATATAGCTTATTTTCATGAAGCTACAAAAAATAAAGGCTTGGAGGGTTGTATCCATGAAAATACCTACAACCCTCAGACAATTCAATATATTTTATAATCCTATCAAAAAGGGTGAGTACAGAATAAAAGCGAAGTCCTGCAATTTATTGTCCCAGTCTCATCTGTCAAGTTAACCAGAATTTTGATCGGGAATAGACTGTAGGTAATAATACAGGGTAGGCCAAAAAAAACTGCCCCAAACTTGAAGTTTAATAACTTGGGCCCCGTTGGGCCAATATCAAATTTAAAAAAGTAAAATGAAGCTTGTTCAATTTTCTTTCGAATGATATATAATTTTGGGGGGGTTTGCTTCAGAGAAATATCCGCTATTACGATTTAAAAAAAAGTGACGAAAAAATTTCTTGAAAAGGGGCTTTTACTCCAAGTTCCTTTACCTCAACCTCGAATTTATCTCACACGCTCACAGACCCTTTTAATGACCCAAAAATGGTTCAATGTGCCCCCTCCACGATCTATAACAGCCTCATGTTACTCGCCTCATGATCGCATGATCTCTCATCAACCAATCCGTATCATGCTGGGGCGCGTGGGAAAAGGGGGTGCGCGGGAGAAACAGGCGACAGCAGCAACGCGACATTGGATAGAATTCAGGAAAATTTTTCGTCACTTCTTTTTAAACTGTAATAGAGGCCATTTCCCTCCCGCAAGCCCCCCTGTTTTTCAGGAACTAACTGTTAGTATATGCACAATAACATTGCAGGTTTTCATTTTTTTTCATTGTAGGATGTGGTGAATGATGAGAGAATTCTCCCCCCCCCCCCCCCCCCCCCCCCCCCAAAATTATATATCAATCGAAAGAAAATTAAACAAGCTTCAGTTTGCTTTTTTTAAAATTAATATTGGCCCAACGGGGCCCAAGTTATGAAGCTTCAAATTTGGGGCGTTCTTTTTTATGGCCCACCCTGTATATAGACGATCGTGACTGATTGACTGACGCTAATTCTAACCATGTTCTAGAGAAGTTAGAAATCTAAAACTTGGTACACAAGTAGCTATTGGGATGTAGAGTTCAGAAAAAAATCCAACTTTGGAGGTACATGCCCTGGGGGACATTTCAGGGGAGGGCTGATTTTGCAAGCCTAGGCCCAGCCCCCCAGATGGAGGTTTAGGCCTACACCATTCTCATGCACACATTCCTTCCTCTGTCATTGAAGGAAGTGTGTATAAATGCTAGGCTGTTCAAACAAACTCGCTAGTACTACATAAAAATACTTACATACGATCCTTATAATGGGCATTTCTTGGCCCTCAGCATTCCATCCTTGAAAGGTTGACGATTCACTTTTCGACATGCATTCCCCAAGAACCAATTCATCATGTTAGGAACATAATGAATAAACTAAAATTCAAAGAAAGAAATACGAGGAGAAGGTCCTCGGTACCCTCCCCAGAAATGAAGGATGGAAAGAATCCATTCAAGAACAAGTAAAATTGTTCTATTTCAATTTATCACTCATTTCCTGGAAACGAAAGCACGCTTTCCCGCCATTTTTATCAAAGCAGGAATGTGGTCATATCGAAGCTTTCCTTTTTTTCCCTTCCTTTTTATATCAATTAATGAAGCCAAAATAAAGTTGTCTTTTTTTTTATCCTACTACATCTTATTTGAAGCAATAATATTTCTCAGAATTAGCTTTTTAATCACCCTGGATACATGCTCAGTCTGGCGCCATGCATTCATAAATTTGAGAAATAATGGGGCAGTGAATTATTGCTCACAAATTATGAAAAAAATACACCTTCAGAAGAAGCGGAAGTGCAAAATTGACTAAAAGTACAAGGAAGAAGGGAAAAGGGAGGGTGAGACGAAGGCTACCAGACCAAATCTAAGAAAAGTTGCGAGTACTAAGTTCGCGGTTCCTTCAACTCCAAAGGCGTGTTCACCTAAGACGAACCTTAGTCGAATCCATGACGAACCAGCGTTGAGGCGATGGTGAGAACTATCCTAAAACAGCCGTGCATGCAGGATTCTCATAAGGATTCTTCGCATGCGAAGCATTGTGGCCAATAATACACTATTGGGAAAAAAAAGAAACAACTGAAGCGGTCGCGAATCAAAAGACCCTTCAATCTTCCTTGATCGTCCAGTCGAGACTCCAAGAAACCTCAGTATTGCATACAGAACCAAAGAATACGAAGAGAGCTTTCTGACACTATAGAGTTCGCGTTGAACACAGCCTATAATTTCAAGGGGAACAGGAAAATAAAGAGCTATATCACTCAAGTAGCTCGGAGATGAGGCACTGTTTTCTGGTGGGATGGAATGTCAGCCTTTTTGTTAGGCATGACGGAGGGGGAACTCACCAAAGAAAGTGCGAAAAATTGCTCTCAGAATTTACTATTTCTAATCCAAGTCTCCGGCTGAATAATACAAGTCCCGATGACTACACTTTCGCATTCAAAAGAATCTGCAAAATTCTACATTTTAATAATGAAAATAGACATTAGGCTTCATCTGTCAACGCTTAAACGCAGAGTTTATGCTACAAGAAAAAAACATGGTATTTGTCACAGGTTTTCTTCCGTATTTACCGGTAACGGCGTATTACCTACCAGTGAGATTCTCATTGGCGCAATAGCGTTACTTAAGTTGATTTTGAGTTCATGCGGTTCGACGACTGAGTTGGCTGAGGATATAAACTTCTTAACTTAGTCGAGAGGTTACACCCAAATCCCTTCATGGGAGAGCTTAACAGCGACTTTTAAGCATCCTCAAAGAAAACCAGGAGGGAAACCTAATTTTCCCTCCTGAAAACCTAATATTTAAAAGTTACTTTGCCCTCTGTAACTAGGCGAGATATCTGAATGGGAGGGACCCAGGCGCTCTTGGAGGAGTGACAAGATTAATCAACAGACAACACGAAAGGGGGGGGGGGGGGAAGGAGTGGGGCACTAACCAGGAGCGTGGGAATTACTCCTGGGTACAGTACATGTATAACGAGGGAATCGTGAGAAGAAAGCCAGACTGACCATCCTCAATGATGGCCTTGCAGAAGACAATTCAGCCCCTTCTGCATTTGGCATTTCTTAAGGGCAATTAACAGTGAAGGAATACTTCCAGATGTCTAAATTATGTCCAGGAAAGGGCCACAATCTTTATTCCACAAAGTCTCCAATATATTAATCAATAGCCTGATATGGTAAAAAATAAAATCTTCGTCAGAATAGCTAGAAATTATTGGCTGGTAAATTGGAAAAGTTAATGTAAAAGTGCATCAAATATCTCGTAAATGAAATCACTAAACCACTCTGCTTTTGATGGTACAACTGGAATGCGACTGCGACTGATATGTCCAGATAGAGCGATTTCCGTCTGTTTCTAGCATAAGCTTTTGCTTGATTCCCAGAATCCTATATCCTTTAATAACTTGGTATGAAGTGAAATAACACCCTCAACCTGATAAGCAACCTTTGACAACATGGATAAGGGAAACAATTTGATTTGGAATGGTCAACATTTCCTCTCACCCAAAATCACAGCCATGCAAAGCTGGAAGGAGAACACAGTAAAAGAAACACTGACCAACATTGGGATATGATATAAATTGACAATTTGACAGTTTCCCCTGTTGAGCAATCAGAATGAAAACATTAACAGAACTGAGGAAAAAACTTGATGATTCCTTACATTGTACTCAATCTTTCCTGAATGATGTGTTTGCAAATATCATGACCAAATAAAATTTAAAGTTAAGACTTCAAAACTATCCTGCCTCCAACCCTTCCAGCAGAGACTGTTAATTTCACTAAGGACAAAAATCATGAGGCATCTCACATGTATTGTTCATGGGAAATATATAAGGTATACAAATCCATTATCATATGAAGGACATTCAATAAGTTTTGGCAATTATTTTTTTCCTCATTACACAAAAAACTAAGCTTACATACCTTCATATCATTTGAATTCTCTCCCCCACCATCCATGCACTGTTGCATCCTCATCAGCCAATTTAAGCATTTATAATAATCACACTGAAGCATACTTCTCAGCTACAAATTAACATATTTAGCCAAGACCTGATATTGCAAAAACTATCTTGCAGCAAGTCTTGCTTGATGAGCTGGAAGTAACCATACAATAAATCTGTCACTACAGAAATACTGCCAGATTAATGCTCATTGGGAGAGAGTTGTTTGCATTTAGGAGCTGGACCAAGGTGTCAAATCAAAGTTGATAAGTACACCTTTGAGCAAAACTTAGATAAGTGGCAGATTGATGAAGCAACAATGCAAGAATGGCGGGAAGAGTATTTTGAAGGCATGTGAATGCATGAAATTCATTGTTTTTCATATTGGAAAATAAACCACCATTGCCAAAACTATTTGAATGACAAGTATTCATCATGGACTATCATATTTTATCTGCCAGTCACTTATCACAGTGTCAAGAAGCAGTCAAACAGATTCACACCAATACGATTTAGCAAAATGGACGGAACACAGCATCAAGGAAGTGCTAGAAGGGTCCTGCTTGAGGAATTGGGCTTCTCTCATTCTTTAAATTGCTGGAGAGAGGCAACAATACTCTGGGAGAGTAGATGGAATCATGGTACCAGCTCAAGACACATGAAGGTTGGACTTGAACAGAATACTCTTGACTAGACCCTGGGGCACCATGTTAAAAGAATAGATGTTGGGAAGCAAGGAAGGAGGATTATGCACCTCTGTCCATCTCACTTCCCTTAACTGGAAACATGAGGACTTTGGACTTCATGAAAGAGAGATTGGGGAGTTGTGCAAGGCAGTCTTGAGCCTCTTGGCTGAGGCTTTTTGTTGGCTTGGCAAAAGATGGAACCTTGGACTTGGAGGCTTTCAGGATCTTTGAGAATGTTGCTTGAGGAGGATTGGGTTTTGGAGCCATTGACTCAGCTTCCTTCTCAAGATCTGATAAAAACAGAGGTATGAAGCTAGTAAGTGCAAGATAAAAGACAAATTTTAGCACCAAATAAGTTCATGCTACTACATAGGGTGAGCTGCAATTTTTGTATAGCTACTTCTGAATCATTTAGGCCTACCTCTGCAGACAAAGGTATTAGAGCCAGCATTAAGCTTGAGGATTGACACTCAAAAGTAAGAAAAAATAAAGTGATTACTAATTCTCTATAACTAACACTATTGAGATGAGCATTTCCATGAGGAGACTAAAGCTATAGTAACTAAATGATATAAATGAGTCAGACAAATCCATGTAAGTAAAACTTTGCTGCTTTTCATGAATGAATGTGAGTTGTTAAATCTATACTTGAATTTGGAAAATTATAAAATGTAATGCAAGAGACTGGCATTTCTAGGAATTCTGGGATGTCATGGTTCTGCCATGAAAATATGTCAAGACCAGATAAGACAGTTACTCCTGTCTAACTTCCATTGATGCAATTACCATTTCTTTACTGCATAGCTGACAATAAATATCAAATTCCATGTTGAACATAGAATTCAATGTTACGTATCCATATAAGATGCTTATATGAATAGGAGCACATTATCTTGCAAGAAATTCTGCCTCAGCATTGGAAAATGGCTGTAGTGGGCCAATTCAATTATAATGAAATTCCATCAAAAACCACAGAATTTATTCAAACAAGAGTGGGTGAGTGTGGCAGGCAGGGGACAGAGGAAATGGGTGATGCATGCAAGCAACATGAAGAACAACTCACTTGATAAGAGAATGTCCTCAAAGGAGGAAGAACCAGTACCTGGGTCAATAGTGCCCAAGAGATCCAGATCCAAAAGTGAGAAGCTAGATACTGCGAGAAAGTGCATCAACCAAAATAAAGTGATTCCCAAATCCCATGTTCCCTTTCAGCATGAGTTCTCATAGTGTTAGTTTCTGTGAGGGGTTTAAGCTTGTGTTAGTTTCTGTGAGGTGTTTAAGCTTGTGTTAGTTTCTGTGAGGTGTTTAAGCTTCTATTAGCTGGGCACTCTTTTGAAAACAATGTCTTCAGTCCAAATGAAAGTCATCACATTGAACTGGATCTATTAACCTTCTCTGACCCAAGGAAAATAAAAGCCCTCCAGACTTGGCATGTACCCATGAAACTTGGGTCTGACAAGGTTAAAAAATTAAACAAATATGTAAGATTGAAATTGCTGCTCTGTTCAAGATTGTTCTCTTCCAAACAACCTAGCCACCTCATCATTTGGTGGAACAGATGTGTTTCCAAGTATTGTTATACATTCAAGAATTGCTTCCATCATGTATGATTCATGGCTTGAAAAATGTATGAAGGCCACATGCACAAGCCTGTCAAATAAGACTTTCATAGAATTTCAAGGAAGAGGCTATCTGCAGGTGCATACTGAATCATGCTTTGCAAGTCCTGAGGTACTTAGTTGTGGCACTTGGGTTAGTTCTCCTAAATTCAGCAAAAAACAAGAAAAAAGAATAAGCCCTTTTACGTGATTTTCATATCATTATAATCTTCATGCTATGAAAAACCAAAATACAATCAACTCTGCATAATGGAATACCATTGCAGGGTCCAGATTTATTATATGATACAGCAGACAGTTTTGGTTATTGGAATACTCTAGATTATAGAATAAATTTCTCTGGTCCCATGAGCATTCCAATATTTGGAGTCAACTGTATCTACTTTTACTCTCCCATGCAATATATTTACCTCCCAAACTTCAAAATTTCAGGAGTAATGAACAAGACAATTAACAGGCAATACAGTTACAGATGACTCAATTTCATGTCAACATGTCCAACCGTTTTGCACACATGGAGCATGTTCTCTCAGATGAGTGCTGCATATATGCAACATTTACTCTGATTTTACTCATCATGAGGCTATGCTATATCACAGAAATATTGTACAATAGTCCACATTTTAGGGGGAATTTAATGTCATTCAATTCAAACCAGAACCTCTTCTATGAAGAAACAGCAGCAGCATAGATAGAAAATCTTATTTAATATTTCCTGCTAAACAGAGGCATATGAAACTTATCAGAACAAAAACATGTCCTAGTCTTGCTCTTCAAAATGAATTTTAAAAATTAGTTTCCTCTATAATTCAATAAACCTATTACATAAATACCTTGCATTTTTTGGGATACTTGATATAACATACAAAAAAGTTTGGGTCTGCAGGATCACCTGCCACTAGACCCACAAGTTTAATTTGTTTTCTACTCAACTTTCTTCTGAGGCCTCAAGGCCTCCATATCACTATGGAGAGGACTTACCATTCACCAGGGAAGACTTACTTATCAATGAAATGGGTGGCACTGTCTCATTCAACTAACCTACTGTGCTTGTGCACAAGAGCAGAAGAAAGACATGGCTCTACAAGCACAACAAAAATGAGGCTACGAGACTCACCATCATCAAGTGGGTTTGTCAGCCCACTGCCAGTCCAGTCAAAGTGAGCAGGAGGGACAGCAGTCTAAAATACCAACACCACAAACAGCATTAAAGCATAAGCCATTCCTAAGGAATGAATGTGAAGATATACTATAAAATTTTCTAAAATAAACCTCTATTGGAGGATCAGGACCATCTCTATGCCTCTCATCATCTCTCCTGGGAGTTTCTGAAGCTGCTTTCAGTGGTTCCAGGGGTCCAGATGCAAGTGTTGATGCAAATGCTGGTACTTTCATCTTCAGCCCAGGCAGCTGGGAATAATACATATTCCTCTTTCAAGAAATATCAGTAAATGCAAAGGGATAAGACCATATACAAGTGATAAAAGTAAGAGAAACTCACAATATTCCTCGAGTCAACATTTAATGCTGAAAACAAGTCTTTGGCTCCATAGCAATTAGTCCACTGAAACTTGAGACTGCGTGAATTATCAGAATTCCACAACCTTGACCAAATTGGAGACTCTTCAGGAATAGATCCCTGGTTGTCACTGCTTGGAGGAGGCTCTTCATGTGAAAGAGTTGAAGAAAAGAACTCCATCACAGTTGTCCCCAGCTATATGAAAATTAGTGTTTCAGAGATTTTTATATCATACCCAGAGGCCATATACTATGGAAACAATTATTGTCATGTTTGCTTGAAAATCAATTAAAGTACTCACCTCATCAGTTCCTAATCCATCAAAAGGAACTGGAAGTGTATCAACATTAGCAGGAAAGGAAGTGAAATCACTAAAGCCTTGACAATCATCACCATCTTCCACAGAATTGGACTGCTCAGTCCAACTGACAGCAGAAGCCCAGTTATCATCACAGTTTGCTGACATAGCCTCCTCAAATTTTGAAGAAAAATCACCAAAGGAGTCATCATTGACTAGCACCTCTGGCCCTGGGGTCTCTGATGTCCAACCACTGAAGTCTCCAAAGTCACCAACATCATCAGCACTTATATGGTTTGACTCAGCTAATTCACTATTCACTTCATTTTCATGAAAGCTTGCAGTACCTCCAGATGCTGGTCCTTTGACATGCACACCACTGTACTCAGAAGTAATACACTCAAGTGTGGGTGATTCTTCATAGCACTTGAGCTCTGGCAGATCACCTTTAAAAATGTGAAGCTCTGCACCTACATCTGAACTTATTGGACAATGGCCTATAACAGGATGTCCCTCAGGAGATATGTTTCCTTCCAGAGTTTCACCATGAATTTGTGCTCCTTTATCTCCTTTATCTTGACCAAAAGATGGCACCAAACTATCTTCATGATGATTGAGGTTTTCAAAATTTCCCAATACAGAATTAGAACCATATCTTTCATTGTTGCTGTCTTTTCCAAGCACTTCTGTGGATGGTTTACAGTCATTTAAATTTTTCTCAGATATGGAATCTTTTGTAGAGATAGAAAGGTTCATGTGAGAACTAATACATTGATTGTGATCAAGCCTTATTTTGTCTTCATTCACTTCTCCATTGATGGCAGCAGCAACACTCAGTGAAGTTGAGGAATCAAACAGTCCACTTGTATCACCAGTTGAGATGACCAAGGAATGTGCACTGCCCTCTATGCAAGATTCCTCATAATGATTCAGAATAATAGTATCTTCCAAGGACAAAGGCTCCCCTGAAGTAATTCTGTCCAACTTCATTACATGATTTTTAGGCCTAATTGAGTCATCTGGATGATCTTCCTGAGTGCTTTCAAGAGATTGTAACTCAGTTTTAATCTTCAAGTTGGAAACATCACTGTTCTGTGGCATTTCATTCAGGCCTGACTTGACTGGTGAAGCAGTGATGAAATCACCAAACTCCTCATCCTCATCTTCCACTGCTGCCATGCTCACCTATATAAAAAAAAAATACTTTTTCAAGTATTTTTTTCCTATTAAGATCTATAGGGGGGTCTTTGTTGGTTCCATTCCTAACTTTGTTTTTTTTTTTTCAAATCACATACAGCTGAGTTTTTCACAAAGCATGCAAGTAAACCACTCCAACCAAAAGCCTCTGGAATTTTATTTTTGGAATCCATGCAGCCACACCTCTGCTAACAAACCTCTCATCACATTTTTAATTGAACGGAAAGGCCCCAATCATCGATTGTAGGAGAGGTTGGCAATAGAGAAAATTCATCTTCCTTTCTGTCCCTGGCCTTCAAAATTGTCATTGCTACCTTCAAAGAATTCATACTGAGCTGCTCTTTTATGCGTCTAAGCCAAACATTTTCAAGTCTCTCCCTCAAACCCAAGTAAATAAAACCTGCAAGTCCCACATGTGGAATTGTTTCAAGTGTATACCCATGAAGTAGAAAGGAAATATTTAAATTCTGATGTGTCACTTGGAGAATCAAATCCCTCCTTGAGGGTAAGAAAGGTGCTATGAAACTTGTCTGCACTATTACAAGAAGACTTCACCCAAAGGCACAATTTTACCAACCATAAGCTACAATTTCTATCTATATCCCTCCAGCTAGAACTTTTCAATCTTGCAGAGCATAGAACTTACTGAGCCCAGATTTATAACATATTGCCAAGCAAGATGTCATAAAGATGTTCCCTGAAAATTTATGTTCCTTTAAAAATTTCATATGAATTTTGGTGCTCAAAAGGGTATTCTCTTCCTTGTTCTGGTCTTTGTTCATTTCAGTTGGATGACTTTTAGCGGTCCTAATTTTGAGGGAACCTTTTCCGTGTAGGGTTATACAACATGACTAATGCCTTTCCTCATTGGCGATTATTAACCAGTCTATTTTGAGAATAGGTCTTCATAATTCATGCCAGTCAATCAAGGTAATTGCTCCAACCACTCCAGAGATAAGCCACTTAAGTTTGGTTTAATAAGCAAACTTATCCTCATTTCTTTTTTGTACATGGCAGTTTCGGCCAACAAAAAAAGTCTCGACCAATTTTCTTGGGCTACAGGTTGCCCTTGTTAACAGGATGAATACTGGGTCATTCAGTAAGCAAAAGGGGTCTGCTTGTGGTTACCACCGAAATATCCCCGTGGTTTTTCCAGGGGACGGAAACAGCTGGGAAGCACCACCCACTACCATTGCTACTACTACCTGTAGGGCACGAGACACTGGTCGCAGCCATGCCGATCACCTGCTTCATGCTCCAAGCGCCATCTACCAAATGTAGATAAATATTCCACTGCTTCGCATCAAGATTATCGCACTAGTGGGGGCACTATCCCTACCTTCAAGCCTTCCCCTCAATAAGAGGATTTAACCTTGTATTTTTTGCACCACGCCAAAATATATCAGCTTAAAGCATAGACCTGAAAATGCAGTACAGTACAAGCAATGACGATGGCGAGCAGTGAGGTAGGTGATAACAATTGATACCAAGAAGGGAACTTCTTGGATTCTGCTGTGGGTAGGGATCTTACTGTAGGGGGAAGAACATCCCAGTCTACTAGGGGGAAAAAGATGGAAACAAGCATCGACTTCTTCCCAGCTTAGCAGCTTCGCGCACTCAGCAGCCATCCACCCAGCAAACAAGGCTATGTTGGACCAACGTTGTATTAACGTTCCGAACGTTTATTCAACGTTAATTCAACATTAATTCAACGTTATTTGTTTGAAATTGTTTGCAGGGCACCTACCATAATCGGTGGGCAAACCGTCAAGCAATAGCCATCCAACAAGCAATGGCTCATTCTCACTTGAAATTCCAACCGTGATCAAACAATTTTTTTCCTTGTCGGACGCAATGCATTTAAGAGAACTATCTATACCATAGTTATTTTTGACAGCACTGATAAAAAAAAAATCGCAAATACGTGGGCATTACTACTTCGACATGCTAGGGTAAGCATTGTTAATTTCTTATTTTTCAATGATGAATTCATTTAAGGCTTAGCTAGCGACAACTACAAATGAAGTTTCTAATTAAATTACCCATAATTATCAGAAGCAATGTTCGATTAGCCCTCTTGCTTCAAGAAAACCGTCAGCCCAGCTCGTCACTGCTCGACCGCCAGGAGCCAGTGTTCCGAGGATGTTCACCTTAGCTTGTTTAAGGTGATAATGTGCAGGAAACAGCGACTTTGCACCTCAAGCAGTTAAAATAAATTGCGTCAGAACTATTTGCTGCACTTCCTTAAAAAATATTTTTCTTAAAATTTCATCAGAATCCTATGGGTAAAACCAGTGGCGTAGGGAAGGGGGGGGGGGGGGTTAGGTGGTTGGAACCTCCCCCCCTAGGCTTCTTGGTCAGTGACACTGATAGGCATATTTCAACCTTCCTTGGGAATTCCAATTTCGGCTATCCCCCTTCGAGGAAAGTCCGATGTCCGTCCACAGACCCTAGATGCCAGACCACGATTTCTTCGAAAAGATAAATTTCGGGTAGTGGAGCTAGGCGTAGGGTTGGGGTGTCCAGGGTTCACGTTAACTCGCTATAGAGAGTCCCTGATTCATATTTTCATGGAGGGACTCATATTTGAAAAACATCTCTAAGTCCGTGGGAACTCATTGACAACCACCTGAACATGTTCCCACTGAGCTGAAGTTAGGCGTCAGGACTCAAGATTTAAAAAAGCCAATGTGAACCCTGCGGTGTCTACCTGGCCTCAACCCCCCACCCCTGTCGATTTCCTGCCTATGCCACCAGGTAAAACAATAGCTTAGCCATTCACTCCCATGTGAGAATTTCGACTTCTTTGATGTAAGGAATAAACAGTACTTAAAAAGGAAATGTTAGGGCAGGAAATTTTTTTCTTTATTCTTAAGGGCGTTTCACACTTATCGTGTTTTGTGTCCTTTGCGAAAACGCTTGGGCAGATGGGCAGGCGCCACGTGTACTGTACATACATGTCCACCTGCATCTAATGGTTTTCACAAAACGCAAGCCTTGACTGTGGAATTGGGATCAGTTCAATTCGGGACGTCCACACACACGCATATGAGAGTGAGAAGAAGTTCGCCCTGTGTGTCGAAATGCTGTAATCTATGTGACAGCCCAGTTTAAAATCCCAGCTGGAAAAAGCTATAATTTCCAGCCGGACTCCAGCTGTAAATTCGAACCCATTCCAACTGGGTAACAGCTGGAAAATAGTCAACTCCAGAGTTCTTCCTAATTGCAATATAACTAACTGAATGAGAGTCTTTTCTTTGACTATTTTTGTCGGAGGTCCATCAACAGGAACAGCTGATTTCAAACTGTAAATTTAGCTACATTCCAGCTGTAGGGTTCTTTTTATAAAATTCCAACTGGAAAATTTCCAGCTTTTAATTCCAGAAAATTTAATAGCTGGAAACAGCTATTAAAACCATCTGCATTCCAGTTGGAAAATTCCAGCTAAGAAACAACTGGTACCTACTGTTTTCCAGCTCTTTGCCAGCTGGAAATGGTCCGAATTTACAGCTTTGGTCCAGCTGGGATTTTAAACTGGGAGGCTTTGGCGTTCTCCGAAGGTGAATCAAAAAGTAACAGGACATCGGCGATTTCAAAGTAGAAAATATAATAATCAACGTAATTTGCACATAGTATTGCTTGTTTGAATATCAGCGCTTGGAATACGGTGATCTTTGACTTTGCTGCCAGCTCCTGTGCCCAAGCAGTTACGAGGCGACACAAAGACGAGTGTTGCAGATGCGGCGCGTTCGGGCCGGCAACACTCAATGTTTCACTTGGAACTCTCGCACTCAGGCCGAGTCCATACTCGTGCTGTACAGCATGCTGAATGCTGCAACTGCATACTCCAATGCAACATGCCCGTGTTGGATTGGATTTTGCCGCTGTTGTACATGCTGTACAGCACGAGTATGAACTCGACCTCACTCGAAAGCATTGCTTCTTGCAGAAGTTATATTCGTAAACTGCCCTGAGCCCTTGATAAATTTCCTTGCCATTCTCGCCTTCTGCGACCAAAAAACGGCTCACAGAATGCAACTCTTGATTAGTGCAATCAAGACACGTAGCCGCCATTATTCGTAGCAGTAATATGTGCGAATGACGTTGATAGTATTTCCTATATTACAATCGCCAATGTTCTGTTACTTTGAACTTCCTGCATGCATCTCTATATCGCACGGGTAACACGCAACAAACGCGAAGTATGAAACAACCTTTCGACAGAAGAGACTTTATGGAGGATTGTTTTGAAGCATTTCTCAGATCTGGGCTGCGAACTTTCAGGGGGAAAAGATAACTTTTACCACTGTGGTTATGAAAGGAACATGTTCATAGACACGCCATAATTATGTATGTGGACCTCAGGGGTGGCCAGCAGATACGAGGGGGAGGAGTCACCTCCTAGAGACTGCCCCTACCTGGGGAGGAACACCTTCCACACCCCGGAGACTGAGGACTCTGTGTTCTATTCAGTGTTTCCGTGTATATACGCGTGGATATCCTTTTCTCTGTCACCCGGGTGAACCCTTCTATCTCTGGTCAGCTATCTTTGTCTTATTAATATACTCTTGTTCCTGTGGTTGAACCATCTCGTATTTCATTACGGATCTCACTGGTACTACAAAATTGGAGTCAGATTGTAAGTAACAGCACCCACATATGAGACAGCATGAGACAGTATATCTAACTCTGACCAATCCAAAACCATCACAAAACTTCATAAATGAAGGAAAGAAGAGTTTATTCTCTATCACAAATCAATATTATTTCCATTGCCAAGAGATTCAACAAGGCTACCATGGCTTTTTTCCCACATGGCTTCTCAAAGACAAAGTGGAGAGAAAAAGGAAAGCAAGATGCTTGAGCAAAGATGGAGATGATTTGCATCAACTGCTCCCAAATTCCACATTGCAGTGCTCACAATGCACGCTTCTCATATGAACAATGCATAAGCCTACTGTACATCAGCAAGCAATAACAACTCTCATAAGGAACAATACATTGGAAAACTGCAAACTACACAAAAAATGGCAGGGTGGAATCCAGGTGGGCCGCATTCATCTGTCACATCTGTGAAAAAGCTATGAGATCGAAAACTCTGGAAAGACCAGAAGCTGTACAGAAAGATGAGTCTCTACGTCTGTCACCAGTTCTTTGAACCACATCATTTCAAATTATTGCTTCCTGGACTTGCAGTCATCTGAATCAGAGTCCCCTCTTCCAGTGCTCCCACCATCTTCAGCAGAAGAGTGACCATTGCTGACTGTGGAAGAGAATGTGAACATTAATTACTACTGCTCATTCTTAGAGAAGAGAGAGAAGTGAAGGGCAGTACTTCGAAGAGATGAAGCACTCTCGACAGAGTCGGTGAACTCAGGATCAGAATAAGGGCTTGAAGTTCGAGCTCGCTTGGCTTGGGGAGAAAGAGAAGGCTGGGAATCTTGACTGCTTCCTCCTCCTTGTGATGCATCCAGCATTGGTTGCAGAATCCTCCTCCTTGCATTGATGAACCAGTTGTTCACTTGCAGCAGTGTTAACTGTGTTTGTGATGCAAGCACTCGTTTCTCTTCTTCAGTAGGATATGGATGCTGAAATGTAAGCCAAAAATGTTATGTCTGAAATGTGAGATTCAAAACTTCTAGCTCCATAGATGGACCTAGAAAGAAACTGGAGGAAAGGATAGCAGCTACTGATAAATTCAGGAGCAGGTAAAAAAAAAAATAGAAAAAAAGCACTGGGATCATGTCTTAAAATAAACAAACCACAATATGCTGAAAGAGCCAAGACTTCAATATAGTCGTGGCATGCTTGGGAAGGATTCCCCTTTTAGCTTTTTTCCTTCCTGGTCCAGCATCCTCCTCATCATCATCCTCATCAAATGACAGGGAACCTGAACCACCTCCACTAACACCAGTTATTCTTACACTGCTTCCACCTGTAGTACCAAGACAGAGATACAATGCAGACAGTATTTTTCATAACATTGCACAAGATGAACAGTATAACACATTCATCAAACACCATACGTACTGGGAACTTGGCTGGAACCAATATGTCCCAGAGGAGTGGACCCAGGGATAGGATGAATGTTTCCCATAGGCATAGATGAATTCCCATTCTCTCGAACTCCATGCATCACCTTACTTGAGTAGCCTGCCATGACCTAAGTATTGAAGAAAAATAAAGTTAAATTTCTTCAATAACTGAAACCTAGTAGTTTAACCAGAACCACTGATTAAATCCTCAATGTCATGAAGGAAATAAAACCATTCCAAAATTTTGGCATTTTAGGCTTATTGAGTGAAGCTGAAGCAGCAATATCCCTTTAAAAAAAATTTTTGTTGGCCTAATTTAAAAATATGGAATAGAGCAGGCTCCCTTCCTCCTCCCACCCAAAAATATATTTATCTGGCCACAGTGCTGGAAGCAACATCCACAGCAATATATTTGAAGCACAAAGCACATTCACTGATGGATCCATGTTCAAAGATAGGTGCCTGAGGTAACATTTCATGAAACCCAAAAATAAGTCACTTGCTTTTGTTGTTACATTTCTGTCATATAGAGAAGCCCATCAACTAAGCATTATGTTCATTCTATAGTTAAAAAAAAATCTGATATTAGTGTTAGTAACCCTCTGAATACAATACTGGAAAAGTAAGTAAGGCTATTTTGCGACCATGTTGGATGCGATGTTCTGGAAATTTATTTGAAAACAAAAAGTCTAAATATTTCTTTGAATGCTCAGCTTAGAATGTCACTCAAACATGGATCTTTTCTTGACACCTGAACTTATTTAAGATCCCCATACAGCATAGAAGGAAATGTCTACTGCTATAGTCCCATTCAGTCTTCAGACTGGCATTTCCCCATTTATCCATGAGTATCATGGGTGCCATATTAATAAAATGATATAATAACTAGTTCTTTGATTCATTTATGATTATTATATCATTCATGCATTCAGGAACATTTTAAGGCTTCACAAATGAAAAGCAAACAAATAACCACACCTCCCCCCATTCTGTCCACTTGAAACTTTCCAAAAGGGATTCACCTCCTAAAACTGTTAGGATTTGGCATAATTAGGGTTACCATATTCTAGAGAGCCAAAATGAGGGCACCTTCATTTATCCAGGGAATACTTATTAAAAATACAAACAAATGCATGTTACACAGGCCTCATATTAATTTTTTGCCAATCATGCATACTTTTCCATTGAACACATTTTTCGATGTTGATTCTGCAAGTAACCATGAAAATCTTTCTATAGGACATGTGCTCAAAGTTATACTGTACCTGAAGGATCCCTTTCACAGACTCAACAGTTAAGTTGTTCTTTTCCTATGTCCACCAGCTTTGCATTAGTGAAAAAACTCTCTCCACAATTGCATTGTGAGAAGGAATAGCTAAGAAAAAATCTGCTATCTTTAACAACTGAGGGAGAGTCGACATTTTTTTTTAGCTGTTGAAGTACTTCACCCATTTTTGGTGTGCTAGCAGAAAGTTGAAATCTCTTTGAGTTTTGGGATGAGAAGTTCATTTATCACCAGGTGTATTGCTCAAACTTAACTGTGACTGTTCTGCCTGTTTCCCAAAGCATTAGGAGGTGGGATTTAATGAAAATTTTGGTTCCAACAGGATGGAGCAACTGCCCATACTGCCAGCGCACTAAAGGAATTGATAATAAAAAAGAGTTGTTCCTGAATCGTCTCAATCCAATATTTGGAGATTTTTATGGCCGGCCAGAAGCCCTGACTCTACAGCCCCCAATTTTTTTGTGCACTGAGGCACTTTAAAGTCATGCATTTACAAAAGCAGACCAGGGTCCTGTAAAGAATTAAGCCAAAACATCGAACTTGAAATACCCAAAATTACCAATGAAATGATTCACAAAGCGATGGGCAACACAGTGACATGTGCGTGCCAGTACACACCAGGAGGCGGACAATTACACAGCATTATTCTGAATAGCTGAACAATTTATAAACCAGAAGTAAATATTGTCTGCTAAAAACTCATCAGTATGTAGTATACTATGAAGTAGAAATTATTTCAATTACTATTTTAAAAAAATATGCAAGTCACAGAGCTTTTATTTGTCAGGTATTTCTTGGCCACAATGTGCATAAATTTAAACGAAAGAAAAACTTTCAGAGCTTCACAGTACAACACGTTCGCTGCTAATGACGCATATGGACGTCAAAGGCTGGTTTTGAGAAGCGCCGATGAAGTACCTAAACGTTATCGGCGATTTGCTGTTTCCATATATGCGTTTTTAAGGTGCTCGGCATTGGCAAATAGCATGAACCATGCGACTCTAGGTGGCGTTCTAGTTTCTGCGTAGCATCATATGTTGTTAAGTATTTGTTCACTAAGAACTTGAAATGGCTGATGAAAACATCATCTGTGGAAATCTGCGATGTGAAACCTGCTGACTCTCACCACGGAATGCGAAGATGCGATGGTGACCATGAAGTTTCGAGGAGAGACTCCAAATGGAGGGAATTGGAAACAGGAAACGTTACGGACGTGTCGTCACACCAATCTTGCCAGATCGAAAAAATTATGTATATTGGTGACCGGAGGATGAATCCCGGACAAATTCAATGCTTCTGAAAAATCCGCTTGGACAGAAATAAGAAGGCCCAAAACGAGGACATTTCCGGATAAAACCGGAGGTATGGTTACCCTAGGCATAATGCAAGCTTCTGTCCACTGTCTTTCCCTCATGTGAATTACCGTCAAATACCCACACAAGTTTCTGTTTCTCTGCATCACCCATCAGAATACCCTATATTTGTCCTTGTGTAGGCCTATCTGTGCAGAGGCTGTGTGTTCGGCTATCAAGAGGTTAGGGGATATACAGGGATTGCGTTCACGCGCAAATGTGCGTCCTACACGCACAAAATTCCGAAGGGGCGCGCAACAGAAAAACATCGGGATCCCAGGGGCGCGCGGGGAATTTCCCAGATTTTGTGACCGGTTTTCAGACCAGTTGTCAGTTGCCTCTTAGAACTGTGCCTAAATAAACCCGTGCGCAACCTTATTAGTGGCAGGAAGGAAGGCGGGGGGGGGGGGGGGGGGGGGGGGGGGGGAATGGGGGGGGGGGGGGGGGGGGGGGGGGGGGGGGGGGGTGGTCGAAGCAAAGTCCTAGCCGAGGAAGGTGTACGACGTGAAAGTGATGAGCGCGGCGCAGGTTGCATTGTGTTCACGCGCTCATGACGTATTTCCGTTCGTTTCAGTTTAGGCTTCAGGGCGGTCGGAGAACTCTTCTCGTTTGGTTTCAAGCGGAAAATGTAGGATGTTAGTTTATTCGAATCACACGTTGGCATACGTTCAAGTGTTCCTGAACATAGGCCTAGTGCCACATAAAGAAAGGTATCAAAGAGTTTTGTACGTCTTGCGCACACCCCCCGTGCCCCACGCACGCAGTGTTCACACGCATAGTACGTGTCACGCACACTAAGGCAAACATGTCCCTATGATAGTGGGTCGTCAAAGCCCACCATGACACGTGAGGAAGTTGTTTGAAGTTTGAAGCATTAAGAGTTAACATAAGAAATTCATGAAGTGGGATGTGTGAAGGGGGGGGGGCGTCATAATCATCCGCATCCCGGCAAAATCATTGGGGGCATCTTCACTACCAGCGTAAAATCTTGCTGCACGGGCACGGCTTTTCCGTCCCGACCCGCAGTTCTCAAACAAACATTTGCCAATTTTCTTGCGTTTCCCCTTCCTTCCCTTCATCTTGCTCAGGGACGATCTTCATGACTCTCCCGGCTGTTTCCCACCCACGCCCATGGCCCATCCCACACGTGGCATTTATTATCGTACTCCAATTGCGTTATTCATGAAGTGCTTACGACTCGTTCGCTATACCGTTTCATGCATTCGCATTTCACTAACGGTGTTATAAGCTATGGGTTCTTCCTGCAATGGGAGAGGACTTGAATAAATTCAAACGTATTCCGAACGTGGAGGTTTTCATGATTTGACATCAAGACCTCACCAGGGCGTGGGAGGTCAGGCGGCAGGCGGGCACGAGATGTACTCAGAGTGGTGGAGGGTAGTGGGAGGTGGAGGGTAGTGGGAGGTGGGGGGGGGGGTGTGCACAAGACGTACGTGGGTACAATGGTATCAACAGTGTAGGTCTAAATTATAAACGAAGGTGATGTCTTCGTTCCACTTGATGTGCAGAGAAGGGAAAATCGCCATAGGCCTTGACCGAGTCAAACCGAAGGGAAAGAGATGGACGTGGGCGATGATGAAAATGGGCAGCTTGCGAACCATGAATCACAACAGAGAAGATTTAAAAAGTGAAAAAAGGAGTGGGTCTAAATGTATCTCTGGCTTTCCTATTGAGATGGAAGATCTTCCTGTGATTTCTGTTCAAATGCAAATTTTAAAAAATCCCTACTCAGCAACTGGCTGTTGGCTGCTGTAACTGGCAGAAGTTTGTAATTAGCAAATCTGAAGATGCCCTAGGGATATTTGTCAAAGAGAAAATGTTCAAAGTAGTCTTAAGGCTGCTGGACTGAATATCATGCTGTTTGGTTATGTTAAATCAAAGAAAAAACATTGAAGTGGGACCTGAACTTTTTGTGCAACTTTGGAAGATTTCATATTGCTTCTATTGCAAAAGGACCCTTTCTTAACAGACCTGAGAGTCCTGGGGACTCAAGGCAAGGCAAGAAAGTTAGCACAATCCCTGATAGAGAATATTTTCCTGAATGGAAAAAGTTGAGAACATTTTTGAAAGAATGTGCTAGTCAATTGCACTGGTCTGAATATCATATTTAGACTATTTGGCACCAAGGGATGATTCATTTCAGAAGGTAAAAAGGTGGAACAATTAATAAGGCGAAGAGATGAACAAAATTAGAGGCTGACTCAACACCCATAACAATATGAGGAGACTCACTTGCTCAAGAATGAGATTGAGTATCACATAGTTACAATGAATAGTTATAAAGGGTGGATTTTTTTAACTGAGCACTACCTGATAATGCAGTTTTATTTCATAAAAAATGCATTATAAATCTGGTAAATAAAGCTGCATTACTGGATAGTGCTCTGTTCAAAAATCCACCCTAAAGCTTAAAATTTTTTTTTTAAACGAAACAGCAGACCATAAGCAGTAGGTAAGAAAGATCCTTCAATTTTCCCTTGATCACTAATCTAATTTTCTAGAAATGCATTTTTACCTAAAATTGACATAATAGATGGTATCTCATTTCTACCATGCCTGTATGCTGTGAAAACCAATTTACACTAAAGAATAAATATGTATCTGGAGGCTATATCTATAAATATAGACTCAGAATTTGAGAGAAAAGTTTATCTTCTATCATCATATCTGAATCTGGCATAACCTCTTGAGATACGTGGATAAGTCTGACTCCATGGCTCTCTAAACATATTTGAAAACTTTGCAACAGTAACTCTGAATCAAACTCAAACTCCTGTTTGAATCAAGGAATAGTGTGAACTTAGTAGCCTGCTACTTTTTCTGCATGAAGATAAAACTGGAGTAAAATCTCTGTTTAAAAATACAGATGTAAACTTATTCTACACAATCTCACCTGCCAAAAATAGGCCTCACTAACCTGTAAATGAATCCCATGACATACCCCAAACAGGGTATTTCTCTCAGATTAGCTCTTATTGAGGAAATGGGTTATGAGGAGTCACCTTAAAAAATCAACATCTCACCAATGGGCTGAGGACAGAGGCAGCAATGGAAGGATCTTGCATGATCTGTGAAGGACCATTACAAGGTGTTGCAGGTGGAGATTCTCCTTCATCACTGTACTCAGCTCTCAAGAGGCTCTCAGAATGTAGCTTCCCCTTCAAGCATCCAATATATCTTCTACAGAAGTCTCTACACAGCTCTTGCACTTTCTCCAACTCCAACAGGTGAATTCTCAACACTTGAAGTGCCATGAGCATCTTGAAAGAAGACCATGTCAATAATTTACAAGATGCATGGTGTCATTGGGGCATACACTCTAAACCAGGCCTTTACCTGATGAAACTGCTAGTGCTTACTCTTTTATACAACTTTGATCCTTATGATGGGTCAGGGATTCTTACCAAATTATCAATCTCTGGACTATTTGAGAAGAATGGCTTCGAGTCTTGTTTTTGATGCTGTATGAAAGCCTGAAGGTCGAGGTTGAAACTCTCCGATGATGGACATTCACCTGTTTGCGTGGCCACTTCACATTTTTCAAACAAAAGAGCCAGAAGAGGGAATAGTGGGTGCCTACAAGATACATCAATGAACGTAAGCTTTACACTGGGCCACACACTCTTTTCGTTAAAATGTCAGCCTTGAGATTCTCACGCTAGCCAGGGACTAGCCTATGAAGGAAGAGGAGCCCTGACCTGTAAACGGCCCTCTTGTCAACTTCGAAATGAGCCCGATCCTGTTCTTGCTGGGGGTAATTGTTATGAGGAATAGGAGGGCTGGGTGGGATGAGGGAATCCTCTTGTCGGAGAGGCTGTTCACCGTAGCCAGGTGAAACCATTGTCATCTGGTCCCAGCTTCCTCTCGCTTTTATCCGTGAATTGTGTACTCATTAAACGTGACCTGAGCCAATCTCAATTCCCCCCCGTTGTCAAACAGAATACAGACACTGTCAGGGGTAAACCCAACACTTGGACATATTCTACAACTCCGTATTTAAAAAAAAAAAACGGGGACGCGTTTCCACCTGATGGTTTCACCGTATCAGAAATCGTCATTAACCTAACCACTCTGCCACTCATGAGTAGCCATGTTTTCATTCATTCAGCGCACTCTCCGTTGGAGCGCCTCGACTCGAACTCAAACTCCAAATGACAGATGGCAGTACTGTCCCGCGTATTCGGGCTCTGGGTTAGTTACCTTTAGTGGAAACATTTTGAGAGTCTCACTGTTGTTTCATCAAGCTGTACTAAGTCCTTGTGTTACCTGGTAAACTCTAAACGCCTTAATGAAGACAATGGAACAGTGAAGCTCAAACTCAGTAGACTTGAACTAGCGGAGTTTGTCTTTATGTTCACAAATTACGTAACGTGATTTTTTAACTTCATTGACCCCCTCCCCCCTGTAACACTTCCCCGACCCCCTTCCATTTTATGACTCCACTTTGAGCGATTGTCGATATTTACTCAGACAACTTAGGTACATGAATCTTTCAGGAAACAAATTTTGCGGTGTTTCCAACGTAAAATGAAAATATCACTCACACGACACAAGAGCCAACCATACTGCTCACCCGCACCCACTACCCATACTAACAGTGGAGTGGGCATTGAGAGCGTGGGAACATCTGTTGACTTCCCTCCCCTGTTGCAAAACTTGCTAAGTCGCAGTTTCATACCTGGACCTGCACAGACAGGCCAAACAGACTCAGTTACCCTTTGGACGTTGCTCTCGTTCGTCTCTTTCTCCGCATCGCGATCTCTATTTCTTCCATTCTACCCAACATTTCCCCGTCTCCTTTTACTCTTTTTTTAAATCTCAAATGGGTGATCACCATCAATCAAAATGAACTTAAACAAAAGAAAATTATTTCCGAATGAAAGAAAAAACTTTCCTTACCTTTTTAAAAACATTTTAATCATCTCTCAATGTGGGTAATCCAGAGTGTTACTTATGAGTGTTTAATACGCGAGTTTCTTTTTCAAATGCAATTTACTTGTTTATTTATCTCATTATTTAAAAAAATTATGAAGGAGGGGGGGAGTCATACTTTGTCACGTAATTTTTTGGGGGTCGAAGCTTTTGTTACGGAGTGTTACAGGGGGGAGGGGGTCAATGAAGTTAAAAAATCACGTTACGTAATTTGTGAACATAAAGACAAACTCCGCGAGTTCAAGTCTACTGAGTTTGAGCTTCACTGTTCCATTGTCTTCATTGACTCCTCTGGCATAACTGATAACAAACATTGGAATTCTGATTCAAACATTTCATAGCTCTCGGCGTCGCAAGCCCAAGTTTGAGCATGGAATGAGGGATTGTTTCCATCACGAACTCTTTGGATTGAGTGCTGGAGAATTTTGTAAACGTCGATGCTATTTATGGAGACAAAATAACTCAGGTTCCATGTCACATTATTGAGAGTAACAAATTATGTAACCCCTACAATGTGGGCAAAATAAAAGCGGTAGAACCTCCGTTTGGTGTATATTTTCCTTGAATCTTAAATGAGAGAATGACCAACATTTCCATCCGCCTTTACAAGTGCCTGAATTCATTGATGAGCAGAAAGTTACCTTCATTCATGTCACAACGCCGTTTTCGAGCACTTGCGACTCAAGTATTTCTCTGTGCAGCGGAACTTCATTTATTTATTTATTAAACTAGGGCTGTCAATTCGATTAATTTAATCGACCGATTAATCAATTAAGGAATTAATAGCGATTAAAAGTTTAAAAAAATTGAGTCGAAAATAATTGAATTTTAATCGACCTTCTAATCTCCCCCTGTATGCCTATTTTTCCCCTTGTAATTTTATAATATAATGTAATTTTATTCAATTAATCGATCGATTAAATAAATCGAATTGACAACCACAATTTAAACATGAGTGGTCAACCAGCTTCCCGAATTCGATTGCAGCTGGACCAGTGGCGTAGCGAGGGGGTTCCTAAGCCCCCCTCAACTCTGGTCAAAATGCATCCGCCAACCCCCGGCATCCTCCCCCGGTGAGGAGGAGAAAAGGAAATTCTAGCTCCCTCCACCGTTCCGCTTAGCCCTCCCATTGGCGAAATCCTGGCAACGCCACTGAGCTGGATACATCAATTTTATCATGAAAGATGGTGTCAAGGAGAAACTAGCACAGAGCAACGCACTCCCCTGTTCTAGAAGGCCACCCAAGCCAAGTTCTGACGTGGGAGGCCTTCAGGCCAGCCACAGCCTTCAGCCAGGCCTAACTGGCTTTCTCTTGGTAGGGTAGTTAGTCTGTGGGCAAATAAGTCGAAAAGAAAAAGGAAAAGGAAAAGATTGCTCGGGGTGCTGCATTTCCCACAATAGCAACAGCCTAAGCGAGAGGCCCATGCAACGGGTAGGGCATGAAAGAACCCATAGGAATGCAAGCACCCGTAGGAGTGCAGGCAGGGGACACGCATCGAAAAAAAAAAGGATGTCAGAGTAAGAGATTCGTCACTCTCCGACGAGTTCATCGCCATCGACAGTGTATAAAAGCCACATGGGGACATATCGAGAGTGGCAGATGCAGACGACTGCGTGAAGGATGTTCGGCTGCACTCGAACGAATGCCATCCCCAGACTTTTCGTCCGGGGGACTCATTACGAAGTCGGATTTCAAGTGGTCTGTCATTCGTTTCATTTCGTTCGTTCGTTCGTGGGAATCTCTGTGGACGCTTGGGAAGGTATTCACGATGGTGACGCATTGCAGGGTCGGACGTTTAAAGGTCTCATCGAGGATGTGGTGGAGAATTCCAAGCAGCTGAAGGAACTTGAAGAGATCTGGATGACAGAAGCGGGGAAAGAGGTCTTCTCGTCCACTCTCTCACATGTTCAATCCGTTTTCCCCGAATACGTTCGGGAACTGCAAGGAACTGCGGATGGAGCCAAGGTCCCCCTCTACAAGGTACAGGTCCTCTCCATTCCATATACCGGGTGGCGTAAAAAAAAACGCGTCGTGTTTGACGTCTTATAAAAATCCGTTGTGGATGATCTAGGTTCGTGATATTTTCATTTTACGTTGGAAACACCGCAAAATTTGTTTCCTGAAAGATTCATGTACCTAAGTTGTCTGAGTAAATATCGACAATCGCTCAAAGTGGAGTCATAAAATGGAAGGGGGTCGGGGGGTCGGTAGGAAGTAGGGAACTGCCTCACCTATGAAACTTTTCTGTATCCGCCTCTGCCCGTTACACATTTTACAGGTGGATCATTACACCTTTTTTTTTTATCACCCTCGATGACCCGGTCAATAGCAGCGCCCTCTATCGGGATACAGCGCCATCTTGCGGAAGTGAAAAAAACCTCAGACTCATGAACAAGTATTCAAGTATCAGCTGGATCCAATTGTCCCTTGGTGGAATGTTCCACCTCTAAGCACCTTTGATTCGCCTCTAAATGGTCATTGCACGACTTAGGCAGGGTGCTGGAAAAAAAAGCTGGCAAGCATTTCGACACCTTGTAACTGTCAAATATCGATCACGTATCCAATGTAATTTTTTTTGCTGCATTTATGAAACTGCGTTTCTCCCGTAGAAAACGGTAGCTTTTTTCTTTTTTTTTTTAACCACCCTATATACACTGTCTTTGACATCGTTCATCATCTCAACTTTTTCCTTTCATATTTGAAGAGATTTTGATCCAGTTCTTTTCTCCCCGTCACCAGTTACTTCTTCTACACATGGAAGATGGTATTTACTGTTGTGACCGAGTTCATGACAAACACTCACAAAAGGGTTGCACCACTCTCTGCGCCAATAGTGACGATTTGGTAAGAGGAAACTAATCCTAGGACTTCTACCATTTCGCAAGACTTATCTTTCCTTGCATACAACTGTTTTAGGCTTTGCTGGGCCATACAGAAGATTCCTACGATTCGCTCCTCAATTGCTGCTACATCATCGATGCAGAGATCCCAGAATCCAATGAGAAATTTACAGCTTTCACCTACGCTGGACATTTACCTGGTTTCTGCATGGGATTTAATTGGGCAGGACTCGTGTACTCCATCAATGTCCTCTGCACTAAGCATATCAACCTTCATGGGATACGTGAGTACTCTCACAGGGATTCTTGCATCTGGATCTCCATAGAACGAATAGAGAAAGATGTTTCCATTTTTCAAGCGAGGCATATTCTGAGTCGGGCCATGCTGCGCTGCAAGACACTAGAGGAAGTCCTGGAAATCTTTGGGAAGCCCATAATGGACGGATTGAGCGCGAACATGTCCTTCGTGAAAAATCCTGGAGATATTCTCTTTCAAAACTTGGAAGTCGTGGCCAAAGACGACAATACTGGGAATTCCCACAGTCTCTTTACTGCTTCTCCAAACGAATCTTTCTGTCATTATAACAAGTCAGTCTTTTTCCTCATAACGGAGTACTTTGAAACGATACCTGAAATGAATTCTGTTATTCCCAGGCTTGAGAGATTGAAAGAGTTGGAAGTGGAAGGGCTGTCAGTGCTGAGTAGCAAGGGAAGGGAAGAGACAGTGAAGAGAGCTGGAGACAGATGGACCAAGAATAAAGAATACTTCCTTCAACTTCTTGGAGATCATACTCATCCGAACTACCCAATCTTTCGCAATTCTACTCCCATGGATTCACTCTACACTCTGGCTGTTGGTGAGCCTTTCTAATAATGCACTTTCTTTTATTATACAAGGGTGGATTTTGACCTCTCTTGTGATCAATCAGGAGTATTTGACTTGAAGAGGCATGAATGGGAGATCTACAGGGGGGATCCAGCACATTTCCCCCCACTTATCACGATACCTCTTCCATTCTGAACATGTCTATTTCCACAACAGAATGAAAACCCTGGTTTGATGGAATAAATCATATATTTCACAGCCAAAGAAAAAAATGGTAAAAATAATATCAATAATTATTCAGCTGTTTGGAGTTGATACAAATTCGGCCCCTTCTTCAACAGGAAGCCCTGAAGGTTGAGTGAGGAGATAAAACCAGAAAAATCCGAAGTCTGAAAATAATGTTCATAAAGATGCTGCCTGTATTTGAACAGTGGCAAAGTTCTGATTAATTTAGGGAGCTGAACCAACTCACTGAGATTCTTCCCTGTCTGGAGATGGAAAGCAGTTCTTGATAAGAAAACATATTCTTCCCCTGGGTCTCAGACACTCGGTGCAGCAGTAGAATGAACTTTTTGGCCTGAAATTTGGACAGATGAAATCAGGAGCATCCATCATCATAAGGATTAGGCATAAGATATGCTGTAGCTTTCGATATTTGACTACCTGTCCCCTGGAAGACATGCCAGAGCCATGTTGAGCTCGATGAAGATCAAGAAGCCCAAATTCATCACTGAAAGTGTCTACCATAGACCATTTCAAAACATCAACAACATCCTGGGCATCCTGTTCTGATGCTTCTTCATGCAGATCAACCCTTGCCCTTGCCTGAAATTTGTTTTCACAATTTCGCTTCACAAGTATATACATATTTTTATATATATATACAGTATATATGTAGGGTGTCTCATAAGTTGCACACCTTAGGCTAATGTGTCATTTTTCTTTACTTTTTACAGAAAATGAATTTTAGTCATAGCACTAAGTAAAGATGAACATATAATTTTACAATTAAGCATGGCCACTACATTGAACACAATTTGTGAATTCCATAGATTGATATTGATATTCCCAATGGTATGCAATTTATGAGACACCCTGCAGACGCCCTGTGGCTACAGCTGACTTGTGTTAGGCGTATGAGAGATTCCAGCTGACGTGTTGTGATTGGTGTACAGTCAAATGTATGTGCTCTCTCTCTGAGGTCCAGATAAAATTTCTGGAGGACTCTTTTGGCTCCGGGAGATAAACGGGGCTTGACATACTTGCGAGCATAGGCCAGATACTTGCGAATTAGCTGATGTGGAATGGGGTCAGCCAGCTCGATGGCTTGCTGCTTCAACCTCTCTCTGCCAAGGTAATTACCACATTTTTCATTTACAAGGAAATGTGATGATAAAAAAAGAGAAGCGATGTGAGGACACACGCAAGGGGTTTGTCAGATGGAGGTGTTCCCGAGTCGAAGACACACGAAGGGTGTACTCGGGATCCAGCAGATCCTGCCTTTTTCTCATTGTGCAGTGCCATCACATGCTTGGATAATGTGCTATCTGTATCCTGGGACAAAATGTGAAAACCATAAAACAATATTCAGTAGTTAAAATTGGACAGATAAAATTAATTGGGGGAATGAGGAAGACCTCGTCAGGTCGATCAAGGAGAATAAAAACAAGGTCAAAACGGGAGAGAAGAGCCGGATTGAGATGCAGGTTTTCGGCCACAGTCTTTGCTCGATTGTAATGTCCTCCAACAGGATTAGCAGCAGCCAGAATGGAAGTCCTGGCTGGCAGTGAGCAGATCATGCCTGCTTTTGCCAAGCTGATGCTCTGCTGCTCCATTGCCTCCAGTAGGGCCTGTTGGAATCCACTTTTTTGAGAGACTGAAAAGTGACAAGAGCAAAATTATACCTTGGGATTCTACCTGGTGTTGTCCTCCCATCTTGTCAAATTCATCGATGCAGCAAGTTCCACTGTCAGCAAGGACAAGAGCCCCAGCTTCCAAAGCATGCTCTCCTGTCCCACCCTCTTTAGTCATGGTCACAGTGAGCCCTGCTGTTGTTGTTGTGTTCCCACAAACATACACACCTGAGTGGATTCAGTGGACTTTCAAGATGAAAATGGATAATACAAGTTAACCAAATGGAGATACGATATTAGTACCTCGGGGTGCAACGCTGATGCAAGCTTGGAGGAGCTGACTCTTTCCCAGACCAGGATCACCTACCACAAGAACATGGATGTCTCCCCGAATTGCAGTGGACCCATCCTCTTCCACTTTAGGAACTCCACCAAATAGAGCCAGAGTGAGACCAGCCTTCACCATCTCATGTCCACATATTGCAGGGCACAGAGATGCCATCAGGAGGCCAAAGAGATTTGGCTCTGCCTGGATCTCCTGCAGATGGGAAGTCCACACTACCAGGTCTCATCATAAGTTTAAATGTTGCTCAAACAACCACTTGAAAACAAAAATATAAAATAGAAGAAATGGGAAGAACAGATTCAGAGAATGAATGATAAACAGTCAGAAACATTTAAAGAAAATTCAACTACTATGGGGGCACACCTGAATGGCATAATAATCTCGGACAGTGAATTCAATCCCAGTGGTTCCATCCCCCTCTCCTTTTCCTTTAGTCAGAGAATATGCTTGTAGATAGAGAGAAAATGTGCACTTGTCACGACTTCCCATGGCCTCCTGGTCTGAACTACCAATCTGGATTAATTTGGAGCAGAGAGCCATGAAAAATATAATTTGAGAGAAGTACTGCTTCTTCCTCACACTCCTCCTTTTCAACTCACCCTTACAACACCAGTGACAGTGACATTATCCCCAGGGACACAGGAATTAACCAGATCACACGTTAGTTCACAGTCTATTGTCCGAGGCACTCGACCACCTTCCCTCTGCAAAAAAATAAAATAAAATATAAAATAAAAAGATGAGCTGTCACTGCTTGCCTCATAAATTGGGAACAATTTTCTTACTGGGCCCAAACACTCAGGAAAATTTAAAAAAAATGTGCACGTGGGTTGAATGTCAGAGCGAGAAGCAGTGGCGTAGGCAGGAAATCAGCAAGGGGGGGGGGGGTGAGGCCAGCTAGACACCCAAACCCTACACCTAGCTCTAATACCCAGAATTTACCCTTTCAAAGAAATCATGGTCTGGCATCTTGGGTCTATGGACAGACATCAGACTTTCCTCGAAGGGACAAAGCTAAAACTGGAATTCCCAAGGAAGATTGAAATATGCCTGTCAGTGTCACTGACTGGGAAGCCCTAATCCCCTAACCCCCCCCTTCCCTACATCACTGGTGGGAAGTATCTTTTAAGGATTTCATATTTGTGCAATGTCAATTTCCAGAGATGTACCGGTCAATGTTAGAAATGGGATTTTTTTTACCCAGGGGGGGAGAGAGAAATCCCATCCCATTTTGAGCACTTGTACCGATGCATCAACTGCCGATATGGCATCATTTATACAATTGGCCACTGGCAGTTTTGCACACTTGATGCCGATGCCTACATCCTCCGTTCCATAAAAGAGAGAAACATGCGCTCATGAATGAGGCCTGGCGCCAGACTCCCTCGTCTCTTTCCAAGAAAAGGACCAGGTGCTTCCGGTGTCTTCTACACAAAAATCGAAATCATACACAGCATGATTGAACCTATCTCTGTGTCTGACACCTTGGGTCTCATGGTCTTCCCATCTTACTTGTGTCTGTTCAAAAAAACCCCAAGCCTCGACTTTGATTTTCATAGATGTCGATTTTAGCCTCATTCATGCAACTACATTCCGTAAATGGGCATAAGTATGAGGTGTGAGCTACCGTAAAGGCTCTTCCCAATATTTGTGATAGCCCTGAAAAGGGCTGTTTCGTTCTCTTTTATTGTTAAGTTCAATTTCTGAATGTTAGCGCCATATCCCGCAAGAAGGTCTCGAATGTCTTCTCCGGATTCAATCCTCTCCACCATACCTCGATGAGGTACCGCTCCTTCATATCCTGGGTCGTGCCACGCATTTCTTTGAGCACCTTCAACTTCAGAGTAGTCCACAAAGACTCGATCAGCTGGGTGTGCGCACCGCTCTCTGGATCAACGAAGTTCTCCGAGTGGTTCACGGTTTCGTGAGCGTACCCCAGCTGGTCGATGCCCTTGTATGCAGGTCATTCATCTGAATGGAGCGTTGTACCCAGGTCTACTTCTGCCTGTATGATGTCGTGCAGTGTCCTCCGGACCTGCCGATTCACAACGAAGAATCGACGTTCCACGACGTCGCTGTCCAGCTTCGTGGCAAGTCCAAAGACCCAAGGACCTTCAATGCGCCGTCCATAATTTCTCCTTCCCTCAGGAACGTCGACAACGTCTGCAACCAGATCTGCATCCTCGGAGCTCTCATCGCCTGCCTCTGGCTCTCGATCTCCAAGTAGCAGACGTCCTTTGTTCGCTTTCTGTTTCCCTCGAAGAAGAGTCTCATCCATTTGCACGATTCTTCCGGGTCCACCCATTTTCTCACGCCTGGTCCACATACGGGCAGGGACATCGCGACATTGGTTGAACCAGTCAACCACAGCCTGATGGCACAGTCCCATGGCGCTCTTTACCTGGATTTGGGACAGATTGTGGCACCAAAGGAACACAATCTCCAATATCTTACATATTGAAAGATTGCTGTGGGCACGACCCCTTACGTCCCTGTAGGTGAAGAAATCATTGCTGCGCCGTACGGATTGCATTCTTTGGCAGCCCTTCTTCACGCACCGAAAGCAAACGTAGGAAGCCTCGCTGCCATCCGCCTTCCTCTTCTTTCGCGTGTAGAGCCTGGTCTCTCCTCCACAGCCTTCTCGAATGCAAGCGGGTGGGGTAGCTTCGTCGTCAAGAAGTCCGTGCTCCCTCAAAAATGCGGCAGCACTCTCTTCGCTCCGGATAACGGAATAAAACTCCGAGAAAAGCATCCTGAGCAACTAACTGTTCTCGAGAATTTGATGGGTTTATATGAGTGGAGAGCATTATGACTTCGGATTATCCGCAAGGGTAATCTCCCTGGCTAATCCGCAAGAAAGGACACCTGCTTGAGACATAATTGCAAGCAAGGATTATGCCAGATTAGGCATACCGGCGCCAGGTAGGCCACCGAACCACATATAGCTCATACCTCATACTTGGGGATGTTTGCAATACTGGCAATATCAGTGCCATGAATTGGTGTGATAGCTCACACCGCATATGCCGCATAGACCACTGCGGCGCGGTAGCTCACACCTCATACGTATGCCTGTAAATGTATGTAAATGATTATGTAAGTTTTACATAATCAGACAGAGAAATCTCTCCTGCCAGCTGGCATCTGGCATGCTGCCGGACTTATGCTCTCTTCCAAGAATTACATTGGCCTAAGACCTAGGTTTCACAATTTTTTTCTGGATCATGCTTCTTGGGTCTTCAGCAAAAATCTATATTGCCATAAGTGAGATAATACAGTGTTTTGCAAATGAATTTGTACCACATTTAGCATATGGCCCACGCTTTCCTATGGAGGAATCCTCCCAACCTGGACGGTGGTGCTTTTGTTGCAGCGCCAGGGCGACATCCAACGTCTGTAAAGTAAACTACAGTGGATTGGAGAATGTTGAGGCCAAAAATAAAATATAAAGGAAATTGTTTTTGTCTTTTGTGAGGAAAATGATGGGTTGGAATAACAAAGGGTTTACAATTGGGTCCAGAAAGACGTGGAACGAGAAATCACACCAGGAAAATTTCAAGAGAAACAATCAAGTATTCATAGAAGCGAGGAAGTATACTGAAGCCAAATACAAGGAAGGGTAACTATGGAACAATGTCTCAGGCTTTAGGTCACATATTCCATTGTACCTACAGATTTTTTTAATATTCAACAGAATGCCTAACAATCAAATCATGGATGTCGACGTCCATAGTTATCTTCAAATACACAGCACAACATAGACTTGAAGTAGGTCGAGCATTTGACATCCAGGGCTCAGAACATCAGAGTGCATGACTGCCCAACTTGATGCTTGGCAACGATACCGCCTCTTAATGACTCTATCCTTACATACGGGCTGTGCTACATCATCTTTGCTATAAGGCAGCTCCCAAGAGACTGACCAATTGATGTAATGTGGCGCAATGAAGAGGGAGGGAGACATCTATCCTGCGGAATGGAAACAATAGTTGAACCTCCTCTGCCATCGCATTGGATATGCCATTGAATTACCATGTGCAATGTTAAAGGTGGTACAAATTCATTTGCAAAACACTGTATAGCCTCACTGGATTGGGTCCAGTCCTATGGGCACAGTCCTATTTAGGAATGTGGTTCATGTAAACATGGGCATACAGCTATGATACTTATACCACTGGGCAGGATTGATCCTGAACTTTAACCCTTTCTGTCCTGGCAGGACTCAGGTGTTCCCCTTTTTTTTTCTCTATATTTTGCAGGGCCATGTAGGAATGCATGAGCTTGAGGCCAGGCAAATCTTCTGAGTCCCTGTGACCACTTTTGGAGCTTTTATTTTTGTGGTTAATGATGATTCATTGTGGATGGTCAAAAAAAAGAAATTTCGTTTTTACATCATTTATATTCAGGGTTGAAAGGGTTAATTCTTGTCAGGATTAGATCCTTCATCGACCATGTCATCATTGAGATGTTGGGGGGAGAAGAACAGCACCCGAAGGAAAGGGAGGTGTACGATGGATGCATGACTATATTAAAATTTATCTCAAATATGGCTGCACAGATGCTAAACTTGCACGACTCCCAAGGTGAGACTTTGCACTACAATTTTATTAACTCGATTTTTCGTGAACAGAGCCGTTTTCGAGGTACAGGAGGAGTACAGTTCAGCCCTCGACAGGCCATGATGAAGCACTGAAGCATGTGACCGTTTCCTGAACTAAACAGCTTGTCCAGTGGTGTAGCCAGGATTCACTAATGGGGAGGCTTAGCAGAACGGTACGGGGGGGGGACTAGACTGTCTGAATGTCCCTTACTTTTCCTCGCCGGGGAGGGGCGGATGTATTTAAACCAGAGTTGGGGGGCCTGAACAAAATTTTGGTGGGCTTCAGCCCCCCCAACCCTACCTCGCTACCGGCCAATTAGTGGGAGTTTGCGTAAAACTGGCCACCTGCCCAAAGACCAAAGATCGCATTGGTAGTCTCTAGAGATTTGCAAACTCCCCTAAAGAAATATGGGAGGGCATGGTGTTCACCTTTGTTGGACTCCCCCTTCCCAAAGAAATCCATCTATTACCATGAATGAAATTTACAAATATATCAAAATATGCATGCATGCATTCATGTAAGATGTGGATAACTTCTGTGAACAATGAGAAAGCTCATTAATCAACCATTTGCAAATACCAAATGAGTTTCAGCAAGTACAAGTTGATTCAAAACATTACTTTTTTCTGCCATGGCATCCCTTAAAATGGATTGCAATTCTTTCTTTCTGAAGCTTTGCAATTGAAAAATAATCCTTAAAACTTTAATTGCAAAATTTACCCAGCTTGAATTGAATCAACTGTTCACAGAACTGCTTATAAAAATGCCTGATTGAGGTGGGTCTCCTGGGTTTTGAGCATCAAAGAACACTTGCAAGCATTTCTTAATAGAAAAACCCATTCAGCAAAAATAAGAAACTCAAAGATTCTAGGAGAATTGAAAAGGAAGAGAAAAAGGAGACCTCTTCATCACTGACAACATCCTGGACTCGAACTGTTTGATAGTCAACAGTCTCAGTGAGAGGAGATGAGGGAAGAGGTTCAAAAGATTTTGCTCGACATTCACTGCTTGGACACTTGGTTGGGTGAGAAAATTTCCCCTCTGGCAGAGTCATGATGAACTCAGAGCAGCAACTGAAGCACCGAAAGGCCATGCGAGTGCAAAGGGGCCTGATGGGGCTCACTCGTACAATTGTGCCCCTGATTGCCACAAATTTCCCTGCATGAGATGATAGCAGTAGGAAGACAGAGAAAATGATTGAGAGCTCAGCACAGACATGAAGTCTTACCAAAGAGACTGGCCTTGAGATCCTTGATAGGGGTAGGGGAGTCCCAGTTGATTGGACGGGGTTGTATGTGCGGCAGAGAGATCTTGGGTCTTGATGAGCTTCCATCAGCATTTTCAACACTGCTGTCCACTGTGGACAATTCCTGCTCAAGTTGTGTCACCATCAGCTGTAAATATGAACTGATTTTACCCCAAATATAAGGACAAATAAAGTTCAGTAAAAAATAAGGTGGAAATTTACTTGGTGCATAGCAAGACCAAGCATAGCCATGATGGTGTCTGGGGATTCCATGAGTTCCTCTCTGAGAGACAAAAAGCCTTCCTTGATGCTTTGATCCCGTAGTAATTCTTCCAGGTTGACAAGAAATGAACGCTTTTCCTCAATCTCTTCCTTTTGATACTCCAACCTATGAACTTGGAAAAACTGCTCCAGGGTTTTCACCTTCTTGTTCGTAGGGGAATCAGCTGAGTATTCTGGCAATATACAATGACAGGATTATAGCTGTCTCCAAATCTAATGATAATGTAGATACTTCTACAAAAAGAATTCTCACCTTCATGAGGGAAGTAGAGCTTCCAGCCTCTGAAAGGGCAAAAGGGATCAGAAGCAAAAGTTGATGGAGAATAAAGAGATGGCTGATATACTGGGGCTCTGCTCATCCCAGCCAGGTCAATTGCATCACTTGTATCTGCCTCCAGTGATGGACTAGGGCAAGAAACTCTTCCTAGATGAAAGAACAACACCTCCTTGTAAAAGAATAAACTTTGAGAAATTAAATAAAGAGATTAGGTGGCACACCATGGAACACGGCACGGCTTCTACAGGGCCGCCAGGATCTATGTGAATAGCCACGTGAAGGCCGTCTCCCACCTCGCCATCCTCTTCTTCCACCAGGACGATGTCTCTGGCCTTCATTCATCCTCAATTCAAGTACTTCTCCATAAAGCAGGATAGAATGTGATCTCTATCATGTGGCAACCATAAGCTACTATTATATGCATTATTCATGTTTTCCTCATGAAAATTCATGGTTCACCAGTAAAGCATTCTACAGATATGCATCTTTTTGGCCAGCCATCATATTGCTATGAGTGTGGTACCAAACCATAAATTATTCCAGACAGATTGGCTTTTGAGGAGAGGATTTCCATGATCTCCATTAACAGAGATCCAGCCATGTGTCTAAATTCTTGAGTAATTCAATCAATGCACTGACATTGGCAGAGGCAACATCACTCAAATGCATTACACATCAGCTATGTACAATGATTTCACAAGATACTACTTGTTTTTCACACTGTTATTCTGGCAAAGCATTAAATAAAAAAAATTAAATTAGGAAATATTGGGAAACCTGGAAGATAATTAAGTCATCTGAGACAATCTTGGAAAGCTCAAGTGATACAAAAAGCTGTATGGATTAATTCTCACAAACAGAAATCATTTATTGAAAGGGATGGGTTGCCTGGGTCGACTATTAGCATTTTCCAAAAGTAGCTAGTAATAGTTTCAAATTACTTAGTAAAAACTGGCTCATTAAATGTGTATTTTCCAATTACAGTTAAAGTTACATTTTACCTTAAAAATTGAAACTCCAAATTCACATGCACAGAGAAACTGGAATCAGGAAATTTGACAGCACGTTGACCATCAACCATATCATATTGGTACATACAATAATCCGGGATGAGTTTCTCTCACCTAGGAGTCACTGAGTCCTATTTCTGCTACCTGAATGGAACGTGATTGCATTGGAAAGTCTCTACAGGTACTTCCATTAGGTATCTATCCATCCAAAACTTAATTGCAATTTAATATTATTTCAGAAAAAAGTCTCAATAGTGAAACTACCAACTTCACTTCCTAGTTTCTAGCACAGAAACTGAGGAATTTTGTTTTTCTCAAATTCAAACATTTCCCAATCATAAAATTCTTGTTTTACAGAGAATGAGAGAAAGAAAAGGCAAACCAAAACTGCACATTTCTCTTGACGAATTGAACTAATCTTGGATGAGTTGAAGTTGAAAGTTGCACTCACCTCATAGCTGATTCAATTCACAATTAACTTTCTCTGACTTTTTGCCCTTCCAAAAGTTCATTAATTCATGATGATTTTACCTAGTCAGATAAATAATGAATGCTCTCATTTTTTAAATTTTCCTGCAATAAAATGCTGACATTGAGGGAGGAGGAACAGGAAAGTAATGAAGTCATCTATTTGGCAGAATTTTGCCATTTCCCAATTCCAAATTGGAATTACTTTATGAATAAAGTTACACTTGCATTACAGGTTCTTGTTCCTGAATTTATATGGAATCATTACTTGGAATTCATTACCACCCAATCCTGTCCATTTGTCTCTCCTAATTTCCTCAAGCATGAACCTTCCAGAGACAAAAAATGAAGCAAACCTTCAAGGCATTTTCACTGATACCTCACTTGAATAATTAAGCACCAGTCAGATATTGAAACTTTCCTAAACAGAAGTGACTTGAGCATTCATGAAAATAAAAGTGAGATTCCTACTGAGGGAGAAAACTCATAAGGAAAAGACAGCCTCAAATGCACTTCAGTTTTATGTACAACAGAGACAAGCTCCCATCTGTCACACATTTGATAGGCTAGTCATCCTGGGTGGAGATTTCAGGATATGCAAAGAAGTTGACCACAGAGAGCATGCCCATTATCTTTTCAACTAATAATTCTAATTTTTTTCCACCTTTATCTTATTACCTGTCTAAAACTGGAACCTACTAGGTATTGTCAACATTTTGAATGGTGCCAATTGGAACCAACTGGAAATTTCAAATAGATGTGGCTAGGTATATGGGATAAGGGGAAATTTCCAATTAATGGCTGTTGAAAATTGGGGAATTTTCCTGTTGAAAGTGCTAAAATGATTTGTTCCAGCATATTTCACTAGTGGATTTCCAGATAGAAAAATTTAGAATTCCTTGATTTTCATCTGGATCCAGTTTCAATTTTCAATTAGGCTTTATTCTATTTTTTTTTAAAGCTAACTTGAAAACGGTTCCAGGTGAGTATCAAGTATTTGAAAATTGTTCTGACAGGAAATACACAAGTAGAACCATCAAATAAAAAACAAGAACAAGAGTAGAAAAAATAATTGTAGCACTTTCAACTAGAAAATCCTTTACTTCCCAGCTGGTAACTGGCAAATTTTCCCAATTCCGAACATCTAGTCATATCCAGTTGAAACTTTCAACTGGTTCCAACTGGGATCAAGCATAGTATTATAGTATGTCCCAGATTTAAATGTTGCAATATGAAGGTTATTAGTTAAAAGTTCACACTTGTTTGCATCCCTTCTGACAATGCCAATCTGGTAGATATGGATATTGCCAGTGGACATAAATCATTGTTGGTCACATGTACAAAGCCATCTTTCTCCCATAGAAAATGGGGCTTTTTTTCTTTAACACATTCAGGTCAGTGTGGTACACCAGTGGGTTGGTGCAGGCCACCTATGATATGCCTTCCATGCTCTCATTCAAGATGATTGATTACTTATGAGAACCTGACTAATTCAAGTTTTAGGTGAGATATGTAATGCAAGAATATATCACATTAAGAGAATGTTTCCACAGTCAAGGCCATCACACAGCACAGGATGTTTTTTGCCTCCAACTTGAAAGTGTTAAATCATCCTGCTTATCTGCAGGGTATCCAAGGATCAATTAATGAACTGCCTTCCTCCACTCTTGCTGAGCAACTGTGTGATCTTTTTCCTTTCCTTCAGGTACTTGACCAGAATATTTTTATTTGAAGGTCTCCTTTGTTCATGAAGTTATAGTGTGGAAAGACAACAAAGCGGAAAATGAGGAATCATAATTGGAAATTGATGATGCACAAAAGTACTCAGCTATTTCTTGGATCCAAATTTCATCAAGACAAGATCACAAATTCTCCATCACTGAAGAAAATGGTTTGATACTCTACTTATACTTGTCACACTTGTAAAGGTGTCAGATGTGGTGCCTGCAACATCATGATGAAATGGCAATTGGATAAGAATGAAGTCTGAGTGACTAAATGGACTTAAACAACTTTTGCCCCAATGCAAACTTTCCCAAACCTTCCTCAGCTACTGCTCTAGGCCTAGTGAGTGGGAGATCAGCATCCAGTCCACAACACTGAACATCCCAAAGCAAAACACACCATACTATATACCATATGAGTAAAGAGTCCACTAAATCTAAATAACTGCAACTCATGGAGGTTTCCAGAGGCAAGAAAAAATCAAGTCACAATGAATTTTTTCTTTGCTTTTACACCAGTCTAATTAGGTTATACTCCACACAAATACAGTTACAGTGACTCAGAGTAATTTTCTGCCTTCAGAGTCTCACGTTCCTCCAAAGGTCTTCCATCCTGAAAGTTTAATTTAACAATCCAGAGGGGAAGGAACTGTCTTTAGGATGAGAAGGAATGAAAATTGACTGACATCATGGCTCAGTTGTAGGCTTAATGAAAGTCTGGAATGAATGATACATGAGGCTTACTGCAATGGATCTGTATTGCACAGTCACCAGGAAAATTTTTGGAATAAATAAGTCTCAGACACATACAGAGGACTTTCAGGAAGCTGTCAAAAAAGAGGCAGTCAGAATCAAATTAAGACTATGAGAAACCTTGATACGTCTCAAGGCCTGGAAAATATGCTTATCACAATGGGATAGGCACTCATCCCATCAAAGGCATGAAAAACTCCTTGGCTTTTTTTGGTTCTTTTTCTTTTTCTTTTACAGGCATGAATTTCACAATTTTATCAAGGGATGGCCATAAAAGCCACCCAAGGAAAGTTAGGGAAACATAATCACACATCATCCTTTTTTACCCACACCAAAAATGTCAGAATTCATAAAATGCCCAAACAAATGTCACCCATGATGCACCAAATTAACATGCACTATTATCACATAGTAATTCCTTTTCACCTGGAAACACAAGACACAATACACCTGAAACTTCCACTTTAGAAACATCAGGTCATCAATTATACATAGGCAGGAATTTAAAAAATACTGGTGAATTTTGGCAAGGGGGGGCTTAAGGGGTTATCATCACATATTCTCCCACATTTGGATCATAAATGTAAGAATAACATTCCATTCCAAAAAAAAAAGGAGCATTCCCTCCAAGCTTCTCAAGTGAACATCGCCCTTTATTTTCCCATTCAATGCTTGAAATATCATGCTGTGATCATGGCAAAATTTGTATCAATGGAAAGCTCTCTCCATTTCCTTTGATTCAGCATACAATAGATGACAGCTCTAGCAGGAGGTTTAACAGGGCAATCAATGAGGGTGAAAATGTCTGTCCGGCTAGCTACTAGTCCACTACTTAGTCTTTTTTGGAATGGTGTGTTACCTTCATCAAGGAAGATATTACAACAGATGTCAGTATCAAAGCAAAGGTGATTGTCACAAAATTCTCTCCATAGTGACTGCTTTGAAAATGACTAGGTGATGGGGATGGATATATTATACAATCTTTCAGAAGAGTACCAGCAGGCAAGAAGGAAGTCGTATGATGGAATCAAAATGAATCATTTCAGACTAAGAGAAATGCATAAATACTGTAATAGCATGTTGCTAATGTGAAGAGATCTGAGAGAAACTCATTCAATAACTCTCAAAGCATTGCGAGGAATCAGATATGGAGACACACACAAATGCATCATAACTTGCAAGTCAATCTATGAGATTTTGTCAAATTTGGCACCAGCAGACCAAGATTTCCTGATGGAACAAGAATAAATCAAAGAGAAAAATCAAAGGCAAACTGTAGTCATTCAGGGAAGAATACATATGGTCAGGGGAAACCAGTTCTTACAGTATTCTTGGTAAAGACTCATTTCTTTCTCTCATATCTATGCATCTTCCTGAGATAATGCAGACCATAATCCAGAGTTTCCTGCACTTAATGATAAATGACCTGAATAAATTAATCAGTAGTCAAACATTTCTATGAATAAGTCGCAATATGATACAAAATGAAAGAGCAATCCCTAAGAAGGGATACTTGCTCAAAATACATCAGGAGATCCTCATATGAAGGCACAGACAAAAACCAAGTCTGCAGTAGGAAACTTGATAACCCTCAAGGGAATGGCTGGATAATCTAAAGGGAATGGAGACAAAGTCTTGACTGTGTCACGTTTGATTAGGCTTGTCATCTTGGTCTGGGACTTCAGGATATGTGGGGAATTCAACCACAGAGACAACATCCACTGTCTTGTATGTGGGGAAAAGTCCATTCTTAGTGTGTCCATGAAGTTTTCCTGCTGAATAACCATCCCAGTGGTTTCCAGCCATTCCAACCAGTTCACCTTTAATGAGCTGGATCTCATTAGTGGATTGTGGGATGTGGTCCATCACAACACGACGATTGTGGCCATTTTGGCCCCCATAATAGTAGATGTCATCAAGAGATTTGAAATAGGAAGAAGCATCTGCATGCATTGTCTGCATCAGTTCATATGCCACTCGACACAACTGCAAATAGGAAGAAAAATTATTCTGGAGAACTTGCAGTGTCTCAGGGGCTAGTCAAAAAAGAGATCTATGTAACGGTCATATAAACTTGAGAGTTTCAAGGCTTTTTAAGATAATTCTCCACTATGGCAATTTTGCAATATTGAACATCCCTCTCTTGTGCTGTCCTGTATTTAGGTCTCTTCTCCCATAGGAATGTCTCTCCAAGGAATGACTGACCATCAAGGACTAAAGCAAAATACACTTAATGCTAAGTGTCCCATGTATGAGTCCTGAGCCAACACCAATTGAGTGGGACAATATTTCCATCTCTAGAGTATGTCCCCAATTTTCCAAAACAAAGTTAGTTCATAGTATGAGAAGGGAAGGCACAGACAGAGACACAACTCAATTTCATTTGTCTGCGTAATCTAACATCATGCCTCCTGAAAAAGTAAAAGGTCGCAGTCAGGGTTGTCAGAATTTTTAGTTTGACACAGAGATACCCTGTTTCCTCAATAGGGAGTTTCCCAGTCAAATTTGTACACCCAGCAACCCTATCCACAGAGAATGGTAAGTTCATATTTGATAGAGCAGACAAAAAAGACAGTAAAGCAATCAATAATGAAGTTAGAGAAGGTGCACCACCAACTAGTCACAATTATTGCCAGAACAAGAGTTGCATTGGAAGAAAAAAGACAAAAAGAAAACTATGGTAGATTTTCATGATGAAAAGAAGTGATCAAAATGATCTGCTGGGTTCCCATGTTCTCAACAATACTGCATTATGAAAATGACAATCCAATGACAAACTAATGATTGAAATTAAAGTCTCAAAGGAAAAGAGGTGAAAGGAAAATGGGTCTTCACGGCTTTTCAGGTACTTGTATGAAGAAAAGAGGAAGTCATAATGGACAAGTAGAAGGACAAGATAAAGCAAAAAATAAAACCCTTCGGTCTTTGAAAATCCATTTCAGTGAACTTTTCTTTTTAGCTAAAATAGCTGTTTCCATTGTATCCAACAGGCACATCCACTTCTCACCTATTGGAAAATCTTATCTCTGTCTCTGTTTTCTATTGAAATCTATGTTTCCTGTGCTCTATGCTAGTCCCACAGCTAATGCAATGTTTCATTCCCTCCCTCATTTCCTAAGGAAGGAAGATGATGCAGAGGCATATGGCACTTAGCCCTCATGACTTCATAGAGTCTCATGCAGTGGAGAGTTTCCAGGTGCAACTCCTAGAGAATGGATCTCACTAATCAATTTGAATGAGAGAGTTTTGGTAGTCTGTCATGAGGGAACCATGACAGCTCTACCCACAGTGGCTCAGAAGCTACCCTAGATGATTTGCATGAAGGCATAATGAAAGACCACCTCTCACATCTTGGGGTTAACCTCCTCAGACCCAGAAAAGATAAAATCCAGAAGAATTAACAAGTGTTACATGCCACCCAGGGTTGAGAAGGTTAAGGTAGTAGCCTACGCTATCCACACTTGAGTAAACCAATGAACTAAAAGAATTGATATAAGTTGAGATGAAGGAATTATAAAGCAGCTAGAGAAGCCAGTTAGCCTATGCAGGTGTCAAACACAAGATAGGTGCTGTTTACTTGTTCCTCCCTTCTGAAAAGGGAAGGAGTAGATGTTAACAAGTGGCAGTGGGACAACTCATAGAAAATAGAATCCAATGCCTTTTATAAGTAGCTTCTGAAAGAATGGATTCCAAGATGATTCTTACAGAATGGGCTCCAGGCTGTTTCATTGAGAATGAGAACAGACCAAACACATGCAGGTCACCAAAATCCAAACTAATCCAAACTCACTGAATGATCCTTACTCCACATATAAACAAAGAAACTGGGTGGCATTAGAGCCAAATGAAAAAGAACTCAAATCAGCTTGACAACAATTTTTGCTCATCTTTTTTGGTGATTTGATAATTATATCCCAATCTGCAAGATTCATTTATGGCCATCTGGTGTTTCATGAAATATATGTCTTGGGAAAATATGTTCCCCCAAATTCAATACATTTCTACAAAATGGATGCCAAGGGGAATTGGCTGGCCATGCCTATTAAATTTTCCTCAGCTGCATTTCCACATCATCACCACACTCCTGAATCTGGTCCACAAGAGTGCCTCAACCAGGAAGCAGTTGATATTCAAGGCACCAGAAATCTGTAATGCATTTGAGGTACAAAAGAACTTCTAATCCAACACAAAAATAATGACAACCTTGCCAAAAGCTAGCCTTCTCAGAGAGCACAATTAGAAGAACAAGCAGCAAATACAGGGTGTCCCAAAAGGTATGGAAACATAAAAAAAAACAATATCTCTCCAAGTTATGCCTCAAATTAAATTGTTAAAACAGTAAAATGAAGTGCAACTTAAACATTTTTCAACATTTATTGCAATTCCACATGGGCACCATTTGCGATTCTGAATATGTCTAAGTGATGTACTGTATGAGCTCTTGCCACACCTTATGCAGAGTGTCAGGTATAACTGTCTGGAGAGCTGGGATGATTCTGTTCTTTAGATCTTGGTTGATTTCAAAACGGCAGTTCAGTTGCAGTTCGGTTCAACTGTAGTTTCGGTTCAGACTATTGACTATCTCCAAGATGTGAAGAATAGAATTGTCACAGCTATCCAGACAGTCACACATGATACTCATTGTGGTATAAGCTCCAACATCATTTGGATGTCTACAAAGCCATGAATAGTGCCCATTTGCAATTGCAATAACAGGTTTTAAAATGTTTGAGTTGCACTTCATTTTACTGTTTTCATAATTTTATTTGAGGCATAAGTTAGAGAGATATTAATTTTTAAAATATTTCCATACCTTTTGGGACATTCTGTATATATATTTGCAATTAGGTGGGAAGGGTTTTTTTTATGACTGCAATTGAATGCCATGATTGATGCAATCATCATGTTTGTAATTATGATTTAAAATATACTCAATTACATTCTGAACTCTCAAAAAAATCCATACTTGAAAAACATAACAGATATCAAAGCAGACTGAGCTGAGCTCATCCTTTCATGGAGTCCATTGTTAATTGATGAAAATGTGGTCCACAAATTTGTGAAATAATTTTATTTGATGATTAAAATTCCACTATATTTACAAAAATGAAACTTTAACTAAATCAAAGAATAAATTTTGAATTTACTTTTACCTTTCATTTAGGCTAATACAGATATGCATTTTCTACTTTTAGAAAATTATTTGATTAAGATGACCACCATTCCTGTTAACACACTCTCTGTAACATATCAAAGCATTGTTAATTATTTGTTAGTGTTTGTATGCTAATCCCTCTGATGAACTGCAGAATGATTCTTTTCAACTCTTCTGCATTTCGAGGTCTAGTTTGGTAAACATCGCTCCAACTATGTCCCCCAAAAAAGGAATCTGGGGCAGTTAAGTCTGATGATTGTGCAGGTCGGAAAATTTCATAATACCTCTAAATTTGGCCTTTTGGGCCAAAATGTTGCGGCAGTGATTCCATTATGTCTTTTGCAATATGACATGTTGCCCCATCTTGTTGGAACCATCTAGTGTCTGAACATCTTTTCTTCTACAAAGTTCAGGCAAAGATGGGACTTAGACCAAAAATTTGTTACATTTTGGCCCAAGGCTTCTTTCAAGGAATTGTGAAATACCCTGCTCTGTACTATCACTGGACATAACTGCCCCAGACTTCTTTTTGTGGGGGCATTATGGACTAGCATACAAACACTAATATGGCTTTCCTAAGTTACAGAAAATTTGTCAACAGGAATGGTGGAAATCTTAATCAAATAATTTTTGAGTAAAAAAGTATATATTTGCATTAAATGAAAGGTAAAAATGAAATTCAAGACTCTATTCCTCAAGTTAGTTCAAGTTTCATTTTTGTAGATATAGTGTAATTTCAATTATTATCAAATAAATTTGTTGCACAATTTGTGGACCACCCTGTACCATAGAATGGTTCTAGATCAGTGTTTCCCAAACGGTGTGCTGTGGCACACTGGTGGGCTGCAAGTGTGCCGTGAGATTTCAGAGTTGACAAAGAAACTAAAACAAAAACTAAAAAAAAAATTTAAAACAAGAGGGAATGCCATCTTTCAGTAGAAAACAAGCTGATAGTAGCACTATCACACCTCATATCAAACTGCTGTGTTCGGCGAAGCAAGCACAAGTTTCCATTGAAAGTAAGTAAACGGCTAGGTGTGCCGTGGAAAGTTCAAGTGTCCTTATGTGTGCCACAAATGAAAAAAGATTGGGAACCACTGGTCTAGATGTTCAATTGAGGGTTACAAATGTTAACTGCAGCATTCAATCATGTTCCTATATAAGGATAAATTGGACCCAACTGATTCTTTGAATTGGAATAAGTATGAAACAATGTGAACACCTGAGGGGGATAGAAAGTTTTAAAAGCATGTTTCCTTGGTTACACGTTTGACATCAACATCTCCCAGTCCACGAAGAGATGTTGAGCCCACGAATTCCCAATGAATTCCCAACAAATTCACCAACAATTATGACCAACAATGAAGACCTGCTTCAAAAAGTCTTTCAGACAATGTCTGCATCAATAGGCACAGTATTACTACCTTTCTTATTATTATTTCAGCACTATTACCTTTCTTCCACCTCTTCCTGTAACAAAATTCTACCTCCTCATATTCTTCCCTGAGAGCACAGGCAGGAACGAAATTGGGCATACTTCTTACCTTCTCAACATAGAATCAGTCCAGCAAATTTGAAGCTCAATCTTCCTAGGGTTGTGGAGAACACCGAATATCACTATTTAAAGACATGAATTTTTCTTCTTTTTTTCTCCCTCCCCCCCATGGGAAGCCACTCCTGAGGGTTTCCAGAGGAAAGAGACCAACCAAAAAAAGATATTGACTTGCATATCATGAAAAGAGCCCTTTTGTAGTTTGTGATTTACCATTTTGCAATAAAAAAATGAAATTAGCAGTCATTCACTTGGACTTAGCATGCTGGCTTCAGTCCTGCCCCCAGGTGGCTGGATATTGTACTGGAGTTATTTGGGATTTATGACTACTTCTGCTTTCATATCAGTGCCTGGATCTTTTATTTTTTAATGTCTAATACACATCTGTGCTGATTTCATAGGCATGAGGTGAGACTGAAGCAGTAGCTAGCAGTGGCAATTCAATAAACTGCAATACAGAAACATTGTCCAGAGACATGGTTACTGATTGATGGCACCCAACATGCATTTCATTCTCAGGGTATACTCTCTTCAGATAGATAGTCTAGCTATTGCCTCAGACCTTGTCAAGATGGTTTGAGTAACTCCATATAAGCCTAATGTTACAGTCCTTGCTGAAGTGGTTCATGAAACTCCAAACAGGCTCATATAATCAATCTAATGCTACACAACATCTCAAAAGCTTTGAGGTTAACCCTTATAGGCCTAACTGCTCCCCATTAAAAAATGAATTTCACACTACTTTATTGAACTTATAATTATAAGACCAATGAGAAATTGAGTAACATTGGAGAAATTTGGAACAAAACTCAGACAGTGTGGCATGAAATCAATTAAAGTTTCAAGGAAGGAGTGAAGCCCTAAAAAAACAATACGCCCAATAACCTGAGGAATGAGAAAAGAGGTGGCTTCACTGATAATACCAGTTTTAATCTTCTCTCATGCCACTTCACTACTGGACCATTGCTGAGTGTGTAATTCTAATTTGGATGTTAAGCAAGCATCAGCCGGAGGATGCATGCATCTGATCAACCAACATCAATCAAACAAGTTTGAGCATGTGCACCAGGCATGACTGATGGCTTATGTTATCTTTTGCCATGATGGGCTAACATTTTATTGGTAACACTCCTTTTGCCATGATGGGCAAATATTTTATTGGTAACACCCAGAGAATGCCCTTCGCATCATGAGCTGATGATTTACTTTAAATTTGCTCTCTTCCCAGTGGAAATTCAATGGGTCAACCTGTTCTTCAATCTTCTTCCCAATTATTCACAAAAGGGAGATATTTCCTTGTCCACTCCATGGTTCAGACTGTAGTTAGAGTATCACTTAACCTTCACTTAAAGCAGCAGTACTCAAATTTTTGAGTCAAATGCGAATAAGGACATGACCAAACTTGTGCAGGCTATTTGAAAAAGCAGTCGACTTGCATGAATTAAATAATCCAGCTGGGGTTATAGTGTTCATTGTGGGTTTCTTTTCACTGCACAGTACATTTAGTCTTCACAAGTCACATGTAAGGCCTTCATAGGCCACATGCGGCCCACAGGCCTCAATTTGAGTCCCATTGACTTAATGGAAGACCAGAAAAGCACTTGAAATGAGCTCAGAAATAATTTCTTTTAACATTTGGCCTTGTGCTAACTTTATCCAATGACCTATGTTAACAAACCATCTTGAACACAAAGATGAACCTTCTGGTCAGTGTTTGGTGCTGTTTCATTGATAATGTCATGAATGTTATCAGATGAAGATTGTTAGTCAGTGACCTTCCCTCAATGAGCTTTAGAATACTATGGATAGGTGTATAAGAGATGCCAAAACAAATTGGCTCTGTTCAGGGCATTTTGAAGATTTTTCAGGATGGGAATATGTCATTGCCAAAAGACAAGGATACTTCTCATACAAACTTTTAAGTTTGTATGAGAAGTAAAAGGAGACCTACACAACAAATTAATGTTAATCTTACAGTACAAGGAAATGCTTGCAGAAACTCACTTGAGAAGAGAAGGTGCAAACAAGGAAGCTGCAGTGAGAAAGAAAGTGGATATCAATAATAACACCCTGTAGGGACTCGGAACTGTACCGAGACGAGACAGCAGCTGACTGGGCCACTTTTGGATCTCCCAACACTTCATAGAGAGGAAATCTGAAATCAGATGAAATTGCACATAAGCAGGACAACAGTGGCAATGAAGAGATTTGAGAAGCAATGGATACAACTTTTCCCTGGTTTCCAAGATGACCCGAGGATCATCACTGGCCACAAACACCCTACGAGGGATGACACTTCCAAGTCGAACCTCCTCTCGAAGGAACCAGTCATCTACCCATTTCATATACTCCTCAACAGAATGATACTGAGCCTCAGTTCCAACCTTGTCAGTTCTTCGAATATGTACCCTGAAAAAAAAAAGAAGCCATTTGATGAGGAAGGTTCAAATGATTTAAAAGAAAAACTTGAAGAACGAACCCTACGATGGGGCTATGATTGTGGAATCCAAGGGACTCCCCAGCTCTCTTGAGAAAGGCTTCAGTGTCAGGCTGAAACCTCATCACATATGATAGCAGCTGACCCATCCACCATGCAGGTGGATTACCATGAAATCGACTTAGCCGAGGATACAAATCACTGGGCACAGCAAGTGGTAAGTGTACTGGCCTTGGAGATATGTTATCGATGATTGGCAGGCTGATTACATCCTCCTTCTCATTTCCTGGGAACAACAAATGGTTCCACACTCTATAATTCCAGGAGTACATGCTTTCAATACTTAGATTATGATCAAACCTCCATTCCAAGCAGCTGGAATCCCATGCTGGTTTGTGCATGTGTCTGAAAGGGGCATGAACATGTTCTCCCAGCCCTTTGAGTCATATTTCCACTTTGAGGACTGGAGAATAAGAGTTCGTTCAGTTGCATAAGCCATTAACAGGCAATAGGTGACATGATGGACTTGACATCCAAATCCACATGCCTAGAAAACAGAAGAATATGGTTAAGAGATGGCAGAAAGAAGAATGCTAGGGAGGGAAATGCAGAGAAACATGTGACAGACCTTCGTGAGGGAACAGACAAGTTTGCGGGATTTATCACAGCTTTCAGGATTCTGAAGAAACCTGAGTCTCCGCTGTACAAGATTTGCCAATGAGGCTGCTTCTTTCTCCCTCCATTCACCTGGGTTGGTGTCTTTCATTAACTTATCCAGGTCAGCTTTTGTTGCTCTGTCAAATAGGTAGATGAACTGAATCAAAACCTAGCTGCATGTTGTTGACAAATGAGCAACATTCAGTGGTCAAATGCTGCATTACTCTGCATCAATAGTGAAACATTCAGTTGACAAGGAATTTAAACTTTTAAGGGGGAAGAAATTGATTATGGAAGTGAATGTGCACAGCAAAATGCAAAAATTGAGAAGACTGCTGTAACTTTTCAGGCATTTTACTTGCTTGATTAATGGCAGCTTGTCATACCTTCACAATCCAAACATACTTCTACTCTTCCACACACTACTGGATCCTCATCAGCCAATCATGAAAGTACTCACATTACTCAGACTGAGGTGAGCTTCTCAGTTCCTAACCCTTCACTGAATCATGTTTCCAATATGGAACATACTGGAATTATTTTTATATAAATGCCTGACAACTCACTGTGGGATGAATGGGTGAATGGGGAATTTCTGAAACATCCTTGATGCTTTATAAGAACATAAATACCCTCTAAATGCATGTTTGTTTCCAACTGGGAATATATTGAAAATGCTGGATCAGTACCATACTTCAGTAAAAGACCTTTTGTCTTATTTCAGTGCGAACATTCAAACACCTTTTTCAACCACTTAAAGATGCATTACCAGGCAACCACTTGAAATGTAATCAAGCTGTGAAAGAAATCCATCCCATCGTGGCTATGGCATCAACCCAAGAAGTTCTATGTTGCAGGCATATGCAAGCTTGTAGAAAGATGGAACAAATGCATTTCTGTATGGGAGGATTGTGTTGAGAAGAAAATTAAATATCATGACCAAGAAATAAATATTACTAGCCTAGTGATGCTTTGTGTCTTTACTTATTGAAACACCCTTGTAAATGCTTGCAAATCAAGGGTTGCTGGAAGATAGCTGCTAGTGTGGTCAGGACATGGCCAAGGGGTCATTCAGAGCTACAAGTATATCTCAGTCTGAGTATCAAGTGCTTTAATAAGTGACTGATAAGGAAACTGTGGTATGGGAATGATGAGAAGTATGTTTGCCATACCATTGCCATAACTTTATTGAATGCTTTTTTGGCATGGTATTTTGATTGAAATGGTGGTCATCAGCTTCATTCTCTCTGCTGGATGGAGATGCTAGATGCTCAAATCTAGCATCAGCATCCAGCAGAGAGAATAAAGCATATGACCACCATTTCAATCAAAATACCATGCTAAAACGCATTCAATGATACCACAGGCACCCATCCTGATGAATAACTTCAAGAAGCTTGAAGCTATAGAGCTAGACAAGCTGAAAACAATCAAGTTAAAAATACCCACACAATTTCAGAAGTGTCTCAGTTTTGCCACATGTATATATACATTTAGAGTTTTCATTGGCTGGCATGCAGTGATGTTTTGCCAGTGATGGAATGATGCACTAAAGGTGCACTTCAGTTAAATTGTCATAAAATGCAATTGGAGAGTGTTTTGGACATTTTTTTACTCTTCAATGGGATGATACCTTTCCAATTCCCCAACCTTGGAAGTACAAGCAATTTGGAAGGACAAGTGAGAAAAAAATTCAATGTTGTGGCATGCTACCAATGACAATCACTACAGATTAACCCTTTGTGATGGTGTGGTTTCATGGGGAAACCACCCCCTACTTATTTTTTTCCTCGGCTTTCGTTGGAAATAGTTTTAAATTTCCTCTATCTTTGTATTACTTGAGAGCCACATAGCATGCAGAAAATCTTCCATTTGAGTAAACAAAGCAAGAGATGTGACAGTTGGTGGGAAAGTTAGACAAGAAGCCATATAAGGCAAGGAAATTTTTTGGAGTCTGGCACCTCTTTCCGGATATCTGGTGAATTTTTTTTACATTTCTGTTCTGTCTAAAGTAAACTACATTAATTACAGCACTAAATCATCTGTTCTTTGTTGACTAACGAGGTAGATGACCATAAGGGAGGTAGTTGAGAGTGACCACCAAGAGGCCAATAAAAAGTCATGCATACAGGATTAATGTGTTACTTGATTTCATACCATGGGGATAGCCAACTGTAAACAACCTATATTCAGTACTAGAAAATGGAATAATTTTTTTTGCACCATAGTTCTATTTAACCCCTACTGAGTCCCTATCACAATTTTTGCTGCTTTCCAAAAAAGATTTTAAAATTTATGTATCAAAGGGTTAAATAAAAATTTGAGGCTTCATTCCCTCACAAAAACTGCATCAAAGTTACTCTTGTGCATGTTTATAAAAAAGAAAGAGCAAAATGCAATATTCAGCATTGTATCTGCAGGACATAAAAACATGAAAGGCAGATAACACACTTATCAAATAGTTCTACCTGTAGTGATCAGCAGCCTTAGAGTGAATGGCATGGAGAGCATCCAGAGCGTCTTTTGCAACATCTCCTTCTTTGGATTGCATGCTCTGCTCTAACTTCTCAAAGGAGGCTCTCAGGTACATCCACATTTCATCAACTTGTTCTTCAACTCGACGCCGACTAACCTCAGCCATGTTGTTAGGTATTGAACTGGATTCTGCTGATGGTGCATCCTGGTTCACTGAATCAAACATCAATCCATAACTTGAGCTATGTTTCAGATGCAGTTTAATGAATGCACATGATAAACACCACCTGATTCAAACTCAAGGGGAACCATCAGCCTATGAAGACTTACTTCGAGGATTTCCCCCAGAAAGGTAAGCATTGAGTGCTGACTGCAAGTGTGCACTTGGCTTCTCTTTTCCATCCTTCAAGTAACTAAAAAAACAAAAAAAAACATCAACCAGTCATCAATACAGACCAAGAGAGACAAGGATAGCAATGGACAATGACTTTCTTACTCAGAAGACTGCTTTAGCAAGTCAAGGACATGGACATGCTCTGCCTTTGCAGCTGAGAGCTGTTTCTCTAAAAGTCGAATCCGGGAGTCAAGCTTTCGACTGAGGCTGGGGTCATCACAGGGTGGATTTGGTGTGAGAGGACCAAGTACAACCAACAGCCCAACAAGCCAAAGGATAAAGACTATGGCAATTACTCGCCATATGTTAAGCACTCGCCACATTATGGGATGATGGTTTGTATATCACAGTATGACTTGACAAAACCCATTGCCACTTTCCCATTCACATCCTCAATACACCATATACTGCACTCTTGAGCATTCACTGGATGAAAAAATTTCACTCAAGACAGAGCATAATGTTAAATGAACTATGGGAATAGCTTGAAGATATGTATACATTGAGGTATTTGTAACACTGGACTTGTCCAAGGATTGCAGATTCTGGTACTGACTGCATCCCTAATCATGCTTGATACCATTCATGACACTGTCATGGAACAAGAGATTGCATTGAAAAACCATATACCAATTTACTGCATGTTTCCATCAGGTACATAGCTGGAGATTGAAAGAACACAAAACATTCAAGAACTTGGGCTTTGTGAAAGAACCACTCTTGTAGCTTTCTAAAAAAATGTGGCATCATTCAGTCCACCGGTGAGTACAGTGAGCATTGGTGCACACATAATATAACTTCATTTTTTCCTATAGATAGAAAACAATCATTTGAGAAATTCATGCATTTTCTAGGTTGATAAACAATCCAAAAATGAGCTGACCTCTGCACGCCTAGTTTGAGCCTGAAAGAAAACTGCTTCACGATGTCCACATTTGGGGCATTGATGATCCTCAGATCGTGGGAGTGTTGGGTCTGAGATCACATCTGCCACTATCTGAGTCAGCTCACTGACAAAAGTATGAGGAAAGTCATAATAATTAGGTAAGAGGTAGAATATTGACAAAACCATGACCATTGCAGAATCAAGAAGTTGGACAGGACTATCATAGAAATCAATGCAGAGTGCTCACTCGACTTCATGAGTAATGCGGTTCACATATATACAGTTGTTGTCAGCCAGCTGCTTGTAATCACAGTTTCTGCACTAAACAGGGAGTAAAAGAATGTGTTCAAATCTTCCTGTCATTAGCCCACTGCAGTGAACTTGGGAAGAGGCAACAGAAAACTCACAGCATAGTGCAAGACTTTGTTCTCCTTGTCTTCCTTTGGGTACAGCATGTTGTTGCTTTGGGAATAACAAGGCAAAATCCTATTCATGATAATGTTAGTGATAAGTTTTTGAAACATAATTTAAAACAATAGGATTTTCCCCTCATGACTAAATCAGAGCTTGGAAAGGCATCACAAGTTGCAGTGGCACTCAGACCACTGCAATCAATTGAATTCTAATTACACTTCATCAACTAGAAGATCTAAAGCAATGAGGGGAAAATGCTAACAGGGAATCACAGCAGAGTCCTCTGATGCCTGCACTTTAACCCTTTGCAGTCACATGTTAGAAATATTCAATCAAAATTTCCTTTTCTGCTTCTGTCAAAAATGTTCTGACGTGATGATTGCTCTGCTAGACGGTCGTATTGCAACCCCCGTTTCAATCATGGGGTGTTGCAAAATGCTTCATTCTACTTCCATTAGGGGCAGCCCTCAGCAAAAACTCTTGTTTCTACAGTTTAACACTTTCACTGCCATACGACCCGCTGGCGGGTCGTAAGGGCTCTCTCCTCCTAGGCCATATGACCCGCCAGGGTGTCGTACATTCTCTCTACTCCTGGGTCATACGACCCGCCGGTGGGTCGTACAGGTCCTTTCTACCAGATCATACAACCTGCCGACGGGTGGTTTGCATTGCTTTGCATGATACGATCTATTGACCTCTTCCTTTCATCTTACGAATTTTATCGTCGCCTTCTGATGAGGTCAATTTTAAATCAAATTGGCGGTGTTTCATTTCTCATTTCTTTTTTTTACAATGTATTCAATATAAGCATATCTCCGTATAAGGGTAAAGTGGAAGTTACTTCTTCCTCATTTCTGCATATAGGGCATATTACGGGAGTCTTTATATATAGTATGTACGTGGACTTATCAAAAAGGTCCAGAACCGGTTTTCATATGAGCAAACTATGTGCAGACGCTCTGTTTCAGAATGATCCCTTTTGGAATGCATGGATGACAAGAAAAGAATGCAACTTGAAAGTTTTCTATAGAATCCATACCTTGTAATTCACTAGTCTGAAAATTTAATGGAACACATTGGCTACAATGTTTTCCTAGAGCTCTTGAAATTATATGAATTTATGGATACCCATTCATGAGTTATGGCATATTTTGCTGAGATGGCAAAGAAAGGGCATGCGACAGCCATTGCAAGGCACGAATCCAAATTGCGTGAGGATCCCTGAAAATGCATGCAGATACATGAAATTTTTATGGATAAGTACACATTTTTGACAAAGTTCTATTAATTTTTTTCACGAGGATCATCCCAGAGGAACTGATCCATTAGGCAAAAATCAAATGCAGATTCGTACCTCCCCATTGGCAGTCACATGCCTGTTCACTCAGAAAATTTGACCAATTCGATTAAATCTGTCATGACTCTCCTGTTCACTCAGAAAATTTGACCAATTCGATTAAATCTGTCATGACCCAAGAGTAGATGGGCAAGGGTGCATATACTGTACTTCAACAGCTCTTGAAGAACCTCGTCAACAAGGTATCCTTACATTTTCATGTCAATTCGCTGAAGAATTTATCTGCATAAAAAAAAAATTGTTCAAGTTGCTTAATTTTTTCCAGTCAACCCTCTAGTTCAACCTGACTTGCAACACACATTTCCTTTCTTTTGTAAAGAGTTTAGAACAGACTGTAACCCATTCTTCGCAAATTTGTCCAATGCGTTGGTCGCAAGTTGATTGGCAAGCGCCTATGTCGTCGAAGCGGCGGCCATTCATCAAAGGCACCTCATTTTTGGAATCAGCCTGAAGTCGTAAGGTTCGAGATCCAAGGAATACGAAGAATGCGGGAGCAATGGCACTCCAAGATTGGTTAGAAATTCAACGGTATGACATAGGTACCATTTGATTGCCGACAGTCATTGCGGACAAGCTAAGTTTCGTCATTACGGCTTGTCGATTGCCGCCCCATGCGTTCATCATCTCCAGTGGATCACCACCTTTCATGGAATCGCTTGTGTCACGCACACCAGAATTAGGAGGATTACTTTGGCCTCAGGGGAACGGCCTCCAAATAATGGCTTGGCAGCGAAAGTGTTAAAGTGCTCTCTGCAAAACTGGTTCACATGGGGTTAACCCTTTGGGATCCAAGTATTTTGGATTAGGCAGCCCTGTCATCTAAGTTTTTTCCATCCCTCATCATGAGGCCAACACAAGATAACTTGGGTGTGGACCCCAAAAGGTTAAGAGTTCCACCAGGGATGGGGTGGACAACAAGGTAAAACTTTACTGTTGTTCCTTTCAATCCATTCTTCCTAAGATGAGCTTGCTATGTGGAAATATGCTAATACCTATAGATGTAAGGCATGTCAAAGAGATATTTTTGTGTTTCATGTTGCTCTTGGGGGAAATCTAAAGTCGATGGTGTTTTATCTGGTGCAGAAAGAATTCCCTCGGTTCAAAAAGGTGAGCCACATAACTCAATGTAGCAAGTGAAATAAAATATTGAATAATTTCTGCCACTCATCAAGCACATCACAGAAATGGACATATGAGCTAATGGAGCATAGTTCCAACTGATGATAATGCAAATGTATGGGATGCATGCCTTTCTCTATATACAAGGGGCATTCAAAAAGTTTTTCCCCTGAGACACTTTAAGTTGTAATATACCATTCATATTTTTTCCATAGAAAGACAGATGTCTTTGATGATGAATGGAAAATTTTCAACTAATTTGTCAATGATGGAAAGCTTCTATGAATTTTTTTCAATGTGCTACCAAGGAGTCTGTTGAAGGGGTATTAAAATTGAAAAGAATGCTGTGATGAATTTTCTAACCTTGAAGGAATCATTTTCCTTCTTGGATCTTGCAGAGTAGGGTCAATAATATAGTATCCTCTCAGACGACAAAAGATCTGCCGAGAAACCGACTCCTTCAAGGTTAGAAAATTCATAACAGCATTCTTTTCAATTTTAATACCCCTTCAACATACTCCTTGGTAGGACATTGAAAAAAATTCATAGAAGCTTTCCATCATAGACAAATAAGTTGNATGAATTTTCTAACCTTGAAGGAATCATTTTCCTTCTTGGATCTTGCAGAGTAGGGTCAATAATACAGTATCCTCTCAGCCGACAAAAGATCTGCCGAGAAACCGACTCCTTCAAGGTTAGAAAATTCATAACAGCATTCTTTTCAATTTTAATACCCCTTCAACAGACTCCTTGGTAGCACATTGAAAAAAATTCATAGAAGCTTTCCATCATAGACAAATTAGTTGAAAATTTTCTATTCATCATCAAAGACATCTGTCTTTCTATGAAAAAAATATGAATGGTGTATTACAACTTAATGTGCCTCAGGGGAAAAACTTTTTGAACGCCCCTTGTATACAGGGTGTCCATAAAAAACTTACACTTTTGAGGTTCAATATCTCCAGAATGGTAAGGCATAGGACAGTGAAATTTTAGGGGGATACTCAGGGGTTCATGGGATTTTATTTGAGACTATTCTGCACAATTTTTTACATATTTATTTTTTCCCCATATTTGCACTCTTGGCAGTATTGAACCACTACTGAAAGTATGTAATAATTTTCAGTCATAGATAGAAAAGTCATGATTTTGACTAAGAAGCAGAGAGGTGAACTAATAAAGCTTTTCTACACCAACAAGTGTAATGCCTTGCAAAAATACTGCACAGCACACAGCCTGCATTTGGGGCCCTGCTCAAGACAAGCTCTGATGAATTTGGTTGATAAGTTCGAAGAGACAGGTTGTATTTTTAGCAAGCCGCATGGAGGCAAGCCGTGAACCCCTGTAGATGTTGCTGAAATCAGAGGTGTGATTGATGAAGCGTCTAGCACAAGTGCACATGGAATGAACAAACATTTGGACATGTTCTTGGACATGTTTCAGCTTGTATGGAAACATTTTTTTAGAGTTTACCTTAGAACCTTGGCATGGTTGAATGGGGAAGATCCAGAAGGTGGGCGACAGCATGACTGCTGCTTGTTTCATGTGCACTTGAGCAAGGCTCTTCGTCAATCGTACCCGATTTCAGCAACAACATCTACAAGGTTTCATGGTTTGCCTCCATGTGGTTTGTTACAAACATAACCTGTCTCCTCGAACTTAGCGACCAAATTCATCAGGGCTTGTCTCAAGCAGGGCCCCAAAAGCAGGCTGTGTGCTGCACAGTATTTTCATAAGGCAACAACAGCATTATAGTTGTTGACATAGAAAAGCTTTATTAATTTGCCTCTGCTTCTTACTGAAAATTTTTACATACTTTCAGTAGTTGTTCAGTACTGTCAAGAGTGCAAATATGGGGGAAAAATAAAAATTTTTTAAATTTTGCATTACAGTCTCAAATAAAATCCCATGACCCCCTGAGTATCCCCCTAAAATTTCACTGTCCTATGCCTTACCGTTCTGGAAATATCGAACTTCAAAGTGTAATTTATTTTTAAGGACACCTTGTATAAGTATAAAAGTGCAATTCTGCCACTGATGGAAGAGAAAAGACAGACCTTGACATAAAATTACCTTATGCACTCCAACTCAGTGAGATTGTAAGAGGCATTATTGCATTTGGTGCAATCAACCAAGGCATAGGCCTAATTCATTTAAATGATCCTTTGGCTTTGTTCCTGCTTTTCAATGCTCCTGACAAGAAATGATCATACTTGAGCCTTTACTGCATTCAACTCTATTGAACAAAAGATAGAATCAGTAAAAAGCAACCCTCATTCATAAAATGACTATTTTCTGCTGTTATTGATAAGTGTCCACTCATAAATGTTCAAGTGACTGTTGGCAAGTTCTGGGAAGCCAAAAATTTCCAAGTGTTTCCATAAATTGGGGTATACACAATCCATATATGTAGCTTCAGCAATGTAAATCTAGAGGGTTCAATGTTGGGATCAAAATAGCCAGTGCCAGGCTTTACAAAAGTTTGTCTCCGTTCAGACAAACAAGAGTTTCTTCCCACTTCATATCACTTCCTTACAAATAATTCAATTTATAACAATAGTACTCCAGTGAGTACTGCCTTCCAACACTCACTAACAAAACTATTCTGAGCTGTTTTTTGAAGTTCTAGAGGATGAAATTCTGTGATAATGAATTCCAATAATTGCCAGGCAGTTACCCTAATTTTAATTGCCTGCACAAATGCCAACACCAAGGTTTCATCCATATACAAGAGGAAATTCCAGAAATATATCATGGAATTAGATGGATTAATTAATGCATTAGGGACATTTTGTTTGCTTCCTTCACACTATCTTGTCAAATGTTAGTGCTTTCTTTCATGAGGGATGAACTACAAAGTGATTTAAGACTTGAAATCAGGCTGGTTCCCATCATCCTCCAATTTCATATCCATATCCAATTTCCCTATGGATGCCAGCATGGAAACATCCTGCATGACTAGCCTACATCCAGAATGACATTCCAGCTAGAATTTTTAGCTGGAAAAGAAGTCAATTGATTGCACTAACAATCTTTTTACTACCCTCCATTTTAGCTTCATTCTGTTAGTTGCCCATACTTGCCTGACCTTTGATCCAAGTTCACTGTCCTGGCAAGCAAGTAGGCCTAACTTTGAGTTATAATGAACACATTCAGTTAATACAGAACCAAAAACAAAAGAAGCTGATGGTAAAACCATGACATCCCTGTAGATGATAGTAAAATAGTGATACAACTGCCTTTGAAAAGAGGGTGTCATTGTTTCAACATGAAATGAGAAGGCACAGTTCAATGTTTTGCTGTAGTTACCCAGCCAATAAAAAGCTCTTTCATATGTGAAATGGCTATCTCATGCAACCACTTGATCATTTCTCTTAGCTGATATTGGTTTAGGTGAGGCATGATACTTAGGCTATTGACCATTGCTTAATGCTTTAGGTTTTATTGCAATATCTTCTAACCCTCTTGCAGCTAGAAAAGGATACCAGGCTCCTTTTTTTCATCTGGTGGTAACTATGAAGCACACAAAAAATTACTCACCTCACAATAAGTGAACAATGGAACACCTTTTTTCTTTAAATATACTTTCAGCTATGGCATGCATCCATATGACCTAAGCAAGACAAGCCAACATGAAACTCACCATTCTTGACAGAACTTGATACCAACAAATCCAGGCCCACTCATTTTTTCCACTCACTCCAAACAGTAAGAAATATCATTACTACCAACCTACATTCAAATCATCATGTAAAATATTCATATTGAAGCTAAACATCAGAAATAAGTGCCTACTTTGAGAAACTAATCACAACCTTTTCAAGTATAAAATGAGCTTATTAATGCATATTATGAAACTTTCATACTCTTTCAATGTATGCTGTTACATCAGGAGATGTCTCATTCTTCATCATAAGCATAATTTTCTGTTCCAGCGTTTTTAATATCAATACTGATCTAAAATTATCACAAGCTAGGTAATGAGGAGACATCAGTCTGGGGTCATATCCAAGTGGGGGTAACGAGAGCAATTCAACTCTCTCCCCCCATGACTTTTGTTTCTTGATAAGAATGACTAAGTCACAATATACAAGCCTACTGGAAGGTTTATTCATGACATCAGAAACCCATGTTGAGAAACAGTGAAAGGTCATGAGATACATATAAAACAACTAGATGGCTTTACACCTTGCAATTTCAAGTGGGATAGATTACAGAGGGAATATTTCACTTGGAATGGAATTCCTTGATGCAGAGACTGCAACTCCAGCTTCCCTCTGGAGGTGCTGATAGAGGAGGGGAGAGACAGTACATGTGATAGCCACGGTCGCAGTCATCACAAAACAGCAACTGATCCTGAAGGGGGAAAGGATCAAAATATGCAAAAATAAAAATTTTTCAATAGATGAGAGGCTCTTTTTCAACATAAAAGTGACTTACATCATTGTCTGAATTCCCACAGATAGTGCAGCATTTGCATTCAATGCACTGCCACCTGTACTTCTTCACGGAAATGATCATATTTGGAGTGAACTGAAGACATGTTGGATGACCTGAAATAGAGATTTGAAGAGACATGTTGAGGATATTTTCATAAACAATTGAAGGCCTATAGAACAGCTAGCTCGCAGAATTATTTAAAGTGAGATTTACATAGGAACAACACACTATATACATCCACAGAATGAAATGACCCATCTCAACTTGGACAAATGAGCATATTTTTGGTTATATATTTGATACATGATATAGTATACTGGGGTTGTGCTACGTTTCTTGCTGCAGGGGTCCCCAGGACCCTCAGGCCTGATATGGAAGGGTACCCTGATAATTAAGGGGGTTACTTTCCAAGTGAAGCACAAGGAAATCTTGAAGGGTTCCCCATAAGTAAAAGTCCAGCAATCCATGTGCATTTGCTGACTTAATGTAACCAAGCAGTATGATATTCAATCCAGCAGTCTTGGGACCCCTGGGTTGCATGGGCAGGAGGCCAGGGCAAGAATCTTAGCGCAACCTGAGTATAGATGCAAGCGCCTGCACAATATCTGGTGGGTCCAAAAAGGGTCCTGTTTAATGCCTTATGAATAATTGTAAAAATTTTATTATGTAGGCTTTGTGTCAAATAAGAATGGTTGTAGTAATTTTTTTTGCATTTCATTGAAGGCACTACAAAAGTTGTTTCATGAAAGTTTCAAGTGTTGAGGGCATCTGGATAAAAAGCGTGTCATTTAAAGTGCAATCATAGAATGTTACTTTTTCACATAAGGTGGCTTTTGAATAGTTGTAGCACTGTTCAAGATTTCTCTCCTCAGATGCCTGCTTTTTTGTGCTGTGCCTTCACCATAGTATTCTTGATAGTGCAGAATCCATAGGCCTCAGGGGAGAAGGTAAGGCCTGAATATGACAGTGGGTCATTCCATGCCAAATCAACCAGCGAGAAAGCACGACCATGGTCGAGCTTTCTCGCTGGTCGATTTGGTGTGGAATGACCCCAGTGTGTTTAGAATATAAGGGCAGAAAGGGAAGAGAATAGTTAGTGTCCTACACCATGTCCAGAGCCATGGACTCTGTCCTGTGCAGTCTCTTCCCTCTCCAGCCCTTCATTTAATAACACCCCTTTAATGGTGACTTTTCCTTTGAAAGATACAATTTGATAACTATGCACAGTCCAGAACATGGCAATAAAAAAGCAGCTCTGGGAAACAGGCTTTTTTTTGGGGGCTTCTTTAATGGGGCACACCAGTAAACATTGCTGAAACTACTGCCTACAGATACACAGAAAAACAAAATTTTCTTGCTGAAGTTGCAATGACTGTGACTATGCCTACAACCTACAGACTTCAAAACTTTCACAGAACAAATTTTAGTGTTCTCTTTGCAATACAAAAAATACACAATCTAACAATTAAATATCTAGCAATAGGAGTCTGCACCATCATTTCATGACCAGGGCATTTATACATGAAATGCAAGAGACATATACATATCTCATTGATAGAAGAGGCAACAGGTAGAGTGACATTGACCAAGAGATAATCACAAGACAGTTAGGAAAAGGTTTGTGAGGGATTCAAGGAACTGATCTTTTTCTTGAACTACTAAGAGCTGCTGACAAAAATACCTCTCAAGTCACTATTAATCATGTCACTCAAGATGCCTCTCTCCAGCAAGAAGCTACCAGTATAACTTAGTGAAATGCAAGAGTGCTGAACAAGCTAACAATATTATGACATCATGGGATGATGGAAACCTCCCAATTAGATTAAAGGATGAGGAATGGTAGTAATTGGGGTGGGGGAAACATGAGGTGAGAACCATTGTAACATCACAGTTACCTCATAATGCAAAATGATGCAATGATAATATATATGGGTAGAGTCCACAGCTAATAGGAGGGGCATGAATATTCATATCACAAGAAAATTTTATATTTCAACATCCACTAGAAAAGTAAAGGGAAAAAAAGAGCCTTATACCAATAGGTCAACATTTCTTTAATGGCAAGTCTTGGGTATTTCACCAAGACACTAGGAGGCACAAGCCAGGACATACAAAATGCTGGCTTGTAGACAGTGCAGCAGATGTTACCAACATACATGAATGATTTTCATACAACCCTGACTATAAAAAAATTGATTACTATATTTGGAATGCACTGTGAGTAAGTTTTAAAAAATGAGACCCAGCAACCAGAATCAGTTAGACTGGTGCTGAAAGAGGAGCTGAACAACATTCCCTCCAGTGCAATTAAGAGTACTCAAAAACTCAAAGTTGCTCTCAAGAAGAGGAGGGTCCACAAAAAAATTCTGTGAATTTGGTGAACATTGGATCTTCATGTATAGCTGAGATTCAGTTGTGATGGGAAATTATTATTAGAGAAAATACAAAACTTTAATCTGGTATGAATATTTACTGTCCACCCTATATATATAAGGTTGTTTATAAAGTCACCACCCTATTTTGATTGGCAATAGATTCTCAAGGGACAGTTAGATGCAGAGGTTCATGAATCTAGGAGGATTTTTCTCATGCCACAAAATAGTGCTGCATGCTGATTGTGAGTGCAGCAGTTGACTGCTGTGCCATGCCATTTTTCATATATGGAAAAAAATCCTCTTAGACCCATGAGCCCACCACCATGAGCCATATACAGTGAAAACTCTAACTCAAACTTTTAGGGACTGGGGAAATTGCTTCAAGTCATCCGAAGTTTGACTTATCAGGAATTGCCTATACCATTAAAAAAAAAAACTCATGCTAAGGGAGAGAGAAAAATCATCAGATGATGATTTTTCTGTCAAGAACCCAATTTCAAAGCGCGATGACCTTCTCATTATAATTGGCTTATTATTCATCTCAAGGTAAACATTGATACTCACATGCAAAATTAATTTATCATAATGCTCATCATCTGGTACTCTGAGTTTTCAGTTTCCTTGAGTGGGCTCATTTCAACACTAATGACAAAAAAACAATACAACTGAAATGAGACAAAGCGAGAGTGATGGACAAACAAGGAGAGTGCTAGAGCAGCAGTTTCCAAACTGTGGGTCGTGACAAGTTTCCCAACCCTTGCAACCCTACCTATGGAACTCCCCTCCTTCCTTCACCTTCCACCTTACTCTCAATTCAAAGAATATCCCCTTCTTGTAGAGAAGGTAACACGGGCGCTGCTTCCCTTCATTATCATATATCTGTGTGGAACAGGATTCTCTGCTCTGACTTTAATAAAAACAAAGTTTCATTCACAGCTGCAAGTGGAGAATGATCTCCAACTCACCTTGGGAAATATTCCTCCCAAAATAGAGCACCTCAGCAAAGTGCACCAAATGAACAAGTCATGCTCAGAACAAAACAAGCACTGCAAAAAAGGTCAATGAGTTTTCTTTATGATATAATTAATTTTAAAATACTTCATTCTGGATTAGGTTGAGTCGTGAACTATTTTGGGTGTTGGCAAGTGGGTCGCAGTTCAAAGTAGTCTGGGAACTGCAATCCTAGAGGGTACTTCTTTTTATTGCAAATGCTTTTTGGTTTTAATTCTCAGGTTTAATCCTCTCCACAGGCATTTGTGAGGGAGTAGGGAGAAATAGAAAAAATAATACAAAAAGAAACAATAGGGCTTTCTCCTGAACAGGCTTCTTGCCTTTCACCCTATCCATAAGTTCCAAATGAATTTTTTTTTTTCCCCTTCACAACCTGAAGTCAAGTTAGCCATAGGATTGCAATTGGGAGTAAATATGTGGTTTGAGATATCTGGAAATTTGAGATAAGTGAATTTGAGTTCAACAAATATTCAACATGGTGTCCTAAGGGATTCCACTGGGACTAAGCATTGAACTTCAAGATTAGCAACATTTTGACTCATCAGGATTTGATTTAATGCGTTTTGGCTGTTTGGCTGTATCAGCTTTGTCCAAGAGTCCTTTCAAAAGATACGGTCAAACAAGGTTGAATGGTGACTTGTAACCATCCAACTATGGCCAAAAACTTTTTATGGAATAGTCAGATCCAGCTGATGTTTGACAGAGATGTATATTGGCCTGAAATTTAGTTGTTCCCTTGTCTGCCACATTGCTGTATGTGTTGACAGGGTTGTGGCTGCATAAGCAAATGTAAGAAATGGAGAATAGGTATGGGCTAAAAAAAAAAAAAGAAAAAAAAAAGGAATATGCCTAACATTCACACCACTCCAGGCAAGATGGTGAAGCTTTCAGTGCAGCAACATGTTGCATCGATATACAATTTTTGCCAAAAGATGGAAACTGTGTAACTAGTGCCCTATAGAAGAAAACACAATACTTTCAAGGGACCATATCATCTGCAGGGAGTGGAGAAACTTATTGCTTGATTTGAGAAAACTGGGATTATGGGAGATTTACATTGTGATGGTCAGCCATCAACTCCAGTTTAGGTGGTCACTGAGGTATACCATATTCACCAAGTACTAGCAAGCACATCCATTCATGGTACATGCAGCACAATGCAGATTCCAGTCATTTGGAAATGCAGATTCCAGTCATTTGGAAATGCCCATTTCCAGTCATAAAACTTTTGTGCTAAGCTCTGAGACTGTATCCTGGAGCATGTCCAGCAGTTGTTGCTGAACTGACAAAAAACAATGCTTAACATTCACCTTCCATTTCCTGGCTCAGATCAAAGACCCTGATTGGTTGTGGCATATATTGTGGACAGATGAGGCCCACTTTCATCTATCTGGGGCAGTTAATACATGGAACGCTATTGTGTAAAGAGAAGAATGGCCAACCACAGAGGTAGAAAAGCCCTACACAGTCCGAAGGTATGGTATGGTATCTGGTATGGCATTGCATCTGACTTCATTATCTGTCCTGTCTTCTTTGAAGAACAAATACCACAGGGACTACGAACAGCTACAGTAACAAGTCCTTGTTACCATCGCATGCTGCAGGAAGTGGTGGTGCCACAGCTACAACAGCGGGGACAACTAGAAGATGTCATCTTCCAACAGGATGGTGCAGTGTCCCATATCACGAAGGATGTGAAGTTGCTACTGCAACAATTCTTTGGTGATCGCATCATCAGCCGCCACTTCCCCCACCCATGGCCTCCACGATCACCAGATCTTTCACCCTTGGATTGCTGGTTGTGGGGTGATCTGAAAGGGAAGGTGTATTGAGAATCACCTCGAGATTTGCTTGCCCTGAAGGATGTCATACGAAGCGAAATTGCTGCCATCCCAGTGACAGTAATCTGTGCAGCATTCAAAACTGTGCACAAGTCGTGTGCAGTTGTGGAAATGGATGGCAATAATTTTGAACATTTGCGACCATGATGTACGATGAAAATGTTGCATATCTTGATATTGTGTTAATTGAATCCCTCCATTGAGGTTCACCTTCGCATAGCAACCACAGTGCCCCATCAACATGTACAGCCATGGGATGAGCAGAGGAAGAAATAGGTTTTAGGCCTATGAACATGCTTGTAAACATCAGCTGCATCTGAAAATTCCTTAAAAAGTTATGACTAAACAAATTTTGGATGGTTTGGCTACAATATCAGTTGCATCCAACTGTCCCCTGAAAAATTATAGCCAATCAAAAACAGGGTGGTGACTGTGTGTATATAGTGTGTATGCATATCTCCCAAAATTACAAGAATGTTTGCTGCAGAACTTTCTAGAAGGTCAAGGAGGGGGCAGCATATAGCAGCGAGGATGAAAAATCTGGAAAAGTACTGTTCAGTCTGTTGAAAATGGCACAAATGGAATCTAGGTTGTTGCTGTGCTGCCAAAATTGTGTCAAACAAAGATCTCCATCTGTATTGTCCAGTAAAATATGGCCAAGATCCAAGAGCAAGACACTATGGGGCATCAGGGTGGTAATGGCCAACCTCATATGATTATGGTAACAGCCAAGGACAGTATGGTGATTGGTCCGTGGATTCGAAGGAACAGCAAGACAATGGCAGATTAAGTTTTCAGGATATCACAAAAGAACTGAGACCAGCATGTGTCCAGATGGACAGTGCAGTGCCAACTTGCTCAACTTGGTTATAAGAGCATTTTACCATGAGTGACACCGATGCTGACCAAGAAGCAAAAGGAGAGGTGAGTACAGTGGCCTAGCCAGGTTTTCATCAATGGGGGGGCTAAATGGAATGTTGGGGGGCTTACTTCTCATCGGTGGGGGGGGGGGGGGGGCACAAAGATGATGATTGGAGGCAGGTGGTGTTCTCCAATGAAATCTGTTATAGATTTTCAGGAATACAATACTTTGTTGGTCCAAGAACACTCAAAAGGAGCTCAAGAGAATTCCCAAAAATAAGCAGATGATCATGGCATGGGGAGCTTTCAGCATTAAAAGCCAGGTATCGTGGCTTTTCATTAACCCTTTCACTGCCAAGGACTTAAATGCCCATCCAACCTCTCTTTGTCTAGCATGGCAAAGGAGGTTTGTTGCACTGAACATGCCATATGGCGTGAACGGCAGCGAAAGGGTAAAGAGGAATCATGACTATTACACTCAAATTCTTCATGTACATCTACTTCCTGGTGCATGAAATCATTTTGGCTGACAATGGTAATTTGAGCAAGACAATGATCCAAAGCACACAAGTAGGTAGTGAAACAATTTTTGGAGCAGCATGTACCTGAAATGATCAATTGGCCACCAAACAGTCTGGATGCAAACCCAACTGACAACTTGTATTCCATTCTTAGGCGATGCATGGGAAAATGGAGGCTGAAAAATTATGATGGACTGATTCTTGCATGAAAATGGCAACGAATTGATGTTGACCATAAGTCATTTGATCACATTGATGAAAGAGAGATATTTGGCACTTATTGATTCAGAAGGTCAGTCATTACCACCTTGATGCTGCATGTTGCCTCGTTCTTGGGTCGTATCAATACTAGACAGTACAGATGGTGGGCAACGTTCTGGTGAACTTGTCCAGAACTGCCTCTAATTGAGCAGGTGTGAGGTTCTGAATTGCTCTCAATGCATATGCACAAATTAGTCACACTTCATTGAAGTGGGGGATGAACAATGTTCTTAACATGTCCCCACAAAAAAAGCATATAGGGATCAGGACTGGGGACCTGGGAAGCCATGGGATTAAACCTTCCTGTTCGATCCATTGGCTTGGAAATTTTTCATCAAAACAGGTATGCACAGGTCCTCAGACCTGATCCCTATGGACTTTTTTTGTGGGGACATGTTAAGAACATCGTACACAGTGGAGAAATTACATCACTCAACTTTGTCATGAAAGGCTCAACATTCCATCAGCTGAGCTAGGGTCCATTGTCCAGGATCAAGGTCATTGGAGGATGTCCCTGGGCATGCTCAAACCACGACCCCATTAAGTTGGGAAAAGTACTATTGAAAGTGTATGTATGTATGCTTTTCTAGGAAGTATCAAGCCTCACACATAAATAGGTGGAGCATTTTAACCCTTTAATGCATTATTTTTTAAATGTACCAAAAATATTTTAAATAATACTTTATCACGTGGTTGATGAGAAAATAATGAAAAAATTCTCCTTACATTTTAGTTTTTCCATTATTGTAATGGGTTTCAATGCAAAGCAGAGTGTGCCATATCTGGCATGCCATGCAGTGTAGGGTTAAGATGCCTGCCCCAACAGAATCAGTTGCATAAATCATCTGCCATGGATATATCCAGCATGAAATGGGGGAATTGTATCATATGTGCCTCAATTCATTTAGCACTAGGGATGAGCTGTAACAGACACGGTTCATTGATACATATTGGGCAATACAAAGATCAGTAAAGACCAGCAATATTTTTCCTAAAATTACTTAACAAAATTGAGCATGCAAAAGTAACATACAGATTTGATGGACCTTGTAAATACATGCACTCAATTTTCCCTTTTCTATTTTTCAAATAATACATCCTGGCATTGGCCATATTTGGATCAGTGCATCTCTTTCAGATACCTCATAAAAACTTAAGACTGATCCTTATCAGTGTTGAAGAGAAGAGAAAAGGAGTCAAGCAATGCATTACAAGCTAGAACCATAGAGATGATCAATCATTAACCCATTATTCATGTGTGAGTTGATAATCAAAAGGTTTTTAAAAAATGTTATTTTCCTGGAGACAGTAACAGAAATAGAAATATTAACACTGCACCTTATATAGGAAATTCACTGACCAGCACAAAGAAACAACCACCTAATACATGCTTTCCTAGTTTCAGTGTGTCCATGAGACTTGTGCATACCTCTTGATTAGTGCTATGGCTGAAAACAGACCTTTTGTTCATGAACTCCTTCCTTCACTACATCTTTCATCACATTAGAGCTACTGATAATGCTGTCTCACCTGAACGTCCACAGTCGCTGCATGACACAAGCTCCTCTGGTAGACCTGTTTTCTTGTTTTCAGTTGCATGTCCAAGGCAGAAATCACAGTAAGTGCTAGGAGTGGCCCTCTTGTTGTCATTTCCATCTTGATCTTCAGAATTCCCATCACTCCCTGTCCTTGCTTCATCTGCAGGATGACTCTGACGTGTCACACGGCCTTGTTGACCTCCACTCCCTGCGCCCACATCATTCATTCTTCATCACTCTCAACTACTCATGGAGAGAAGGCATCCCTCACATAAACGAACAGCTTCTTGTCAAGGCATATGCCTGGATTATGCATAAAGCAATATCATGATCAAAAGCAGCTTCCAGTTCTGTGCACTCCAAGACTCAGGAATGCTCCTAGAAGATCAACTGACAAGAGACTCATGAAATCAGGCATTGCTCACCCAAGATCTTGCACCATTGTTCCCCTCACCCAAAAGAAGCTCCAATAAAGAACCCCAGTTCATGCCAATAACACCATTTTAGACCCATTTCCCACACCATCATGATCATAGGATATTCTCAATGAAGCAAGATAGCAATCCTCCTATTGCAAAGGTAGTCTTTTTTTGTATCACAGATAAGGTTTATATATAAGAGAAAATTGTGTTTCCATGTTGATTATGGGTAGCAGAGTAAAAGGAATGCACCAGGAAGTCAACTGACAGGTAGGCAGTTCAGTTCACTATATTTCTAGACAAGATGTTGGGACTGCCTCATTTCTGGTTTTGCAGAAAGTTGGGAATCCTTGAGACTTTTACTATGAAGATACTGTATCTGACTTGGCTCATTCTAAAAATTGACAATCAAACTATTCATGATATATAGTAGAAAGGACCATGGATATTGTCTACAACCCTTCAGGAGTGTTGCTCACAAGTTGCCATCTCCTAAAACTTGATGCATACAAAATCTAACCATTAACACTTTTGCTCCAGAGTGTGTGACAGAAGTTTTTTGGTCTGCAAAAAAAAGTTTATAACTTCAGAATGCAAAGCATTAGACTTGCTCTATTCAATTTTTGGAAATTGAAGTATAAGGTCTCTATTTTATTGCAGAAAATAATGAAAAAATGTGAAAAAATTTCAAGGACATACAAGGACATCCAATGCTATAACTAGCATCGGACAACAATAAACTGGATATACATTTATGTCCATCGGATTGAAAGTGTTAACAGATACACAATATGCCATCATCATTAAATGAAAAACACCAATTAAAAAAATACATGTCTAGAAAATCCTACTGTCCTAAAGTAGTAGGTATGCATGAATCCATTGATTACATATTTGGAAATTGTGTAAAACTGAGCTGCAGTCCAACAGTAAGATTTAACTCCAACCAAAAAACGCAACCAGATTCTACCATGATTTGTTTACAAATATTCCTGACATTTATGTGTACCTAAAGATAGGACTGATTGCTTGAATCATGCATTAGTATGTGAGCATGCTGGGTGAAAGGCAAGCCAGCAGTGAGACTCATGCATGCATGGACATCAAAGGGCAAGATAATGGCAGGAGCGCTGGTAGCAGTGGAAGAAGAAAGGGCAGAGGCAAGGCGTACCAGGCGTCGTCAAGAAGGAGAGGAAGCTATCTTGGAATCTCTTCAGACCTGCCAGAGCATCGTTTCCTGAGGTCTTGGGATGCTGTTGAGCATCAGATGAGGAAGATGATGCTGGGAGATGTGTGGTATGATGCATGCCATTGTTGGGTCCAGGTCCTATCATTCCTGCTGGTGCAGAAGCCATATTACCAGCAACAGGAAGACCATGAGGAAGTGGCTGGTGGGGTGTTGGCTGCTGTATTGCAGGTGGCACATGTGGGAACTGGAGTGGATGCGGCTGGGGATGTACAAGGAGTGGTTGCTGTTGTTGTGGTTGCAGTTGTGCTTGGGCCTGCAGTGGTTGCACAGGGGATGCCGGTGGAGCAGGCTGAGGTTCAACAGGACGAGGTACAGGCTCCTTGTGGGAGTGGGTGTAGTGGTAGGAAAGCCCTGGACGGGTTTTGTACCTCACACCACACACTGTCGCACCAATAAGGAAGAGAAAGGCAAACATCCACATTGAGTGCAAGAAAAGACAGGAAGAGAGGAAGAGAAAGACCTATGAGAAGAGGTGAGTAAGACTTGAGATAAGTGCTATAAGACAGATGCAAGGTTTCTTGGGATGTGTGCAAATTGATAAAGTACAAGGTAAATGGCTTGATAGGTACAAGCATACATACACCGTTTGTCCAACATGAGGATGGGATCACACCAGATGAAGACCAAATCCTTCTTATCAATGTTGCTTTCACAACATATGCTAATCTATCATATTGAAATTTCATGTCAGCTTTCAGTGAAAGAACTGTTACACATGTGCGCTGCTGCTATGGCACCAAGTCTCCCTGATAAGAACTTAAGTCTCCAAACGAGATTGCCATAGAATGGTATCTAGTGTAAGTAAGCCTTATGAAAATGACTTGAGCCACACTGTGTTGCATGGTTTCTGGACTCAAATTGAGGTTTCAGAACAGTTTGCTTCATATTCTAGAACAAAAACAAAAATATGAAGAGCATCAAGTTGTTTTGTGAAAGATAAAAAGGAAGGTTCTCTTTTATGATATGGCACCTAGATGATGCAAAACAACTGTTACCCATTATTCCCAACTCCAAACACGAGTCAGATCCAAAAATAAGTTATATTCAACTCTCATTAACCCTTTAGTAGAAGTCCTCATGACTTCCAGATCAAGCTACTTTCCACTCATTACTACCTCTTCCTTTTGTTTAACGTATATTCCTTTTGGGCTTGATTTGTGCATGGATGAGCCAGTTATATTCATTTTTGGGTTCTGCTCCCATATAAATGCAAATTTGCAGCTTCAATTAGTTTGACCTGTTGGACTTGGACCTGGACTGTTAAAGGGTTGAGAAGACTGTTAAACAGTTAATAAGGCACTAGAAAATTTGTTGAAATTATCAGATCATCTAGATTATTTAAAACCTGACTGCATGATCACTAACTATAAATTTCTTAGTTGAAAGGAAAAATAAAACAGTGTACTGCACCATGTTTTAATTTTACTGCTTTTTTCTTGTGCATGGGAATCCATTCAAATGCTCATACTGAAAGAATCTCAAATGATCTTTCTGTATCTTCCTCACATAAAAACAAGCTTGAAAATGTTCTGCAACTGCAATAGAGTGCCTGTATTCCTCCTCCACATCCACAACACCAAAGCAGTATCATCTTGAGGTATGAAAAGTTTCCATTTCCTTCTTTGTTAGCCTGCATGTTGTACTTCATTGGACACAGAAAATAATCACTGTCAAGGACAGAAGATGGATGTGACCAAAGGGAATATGAGGATGGCTGCAGAAGAATGAACAGTCATCAATGAATGGAGCACAAGCACTATGTGCAAGATTTTTTCCCTGCCCAGACTCCAGGGAAGGTAAATGGTTTAGAACAGCCAATAGGCCCAGAGAAAGCATTTATATAAATCCTTTGACTGCTGAGTTATGTAAAGGCAGTTTGAACCCCTGTGCAGTTTTTTATGCAAGCAGTACAAAGTATTACAAAATTCTCAATAGATGACAGTATAATTAATTTCAAGTCTCATACTGATCACATATACAGTGACAGCATTTATGAGCAGGAAATTAAAAATATGTAAGCATGTCAATAGCAATGAGAGCATTCTTTTCTCTGATGTTTTATTCCATCAGTACCAGTTAAAGAGCTAATCAGAGAAGAATGGTTCAAGGGAACAGAGAATGAGTCCATATCAACAAGATCTATGACAAAAGGAGTTTGGATTAATGAGAGAATTTCAACAAGGGCTCCTTGAGGTTTCTACCAGAACTACATACCTTGTCCATACTAGGGAGTGCTAGATTATTTATGTCTGCATAGAGTTGTGTAAAGAATAGAGTTGACTACAAAGTGACAATCAATGATCTGCATTTGCAGATAATGGAGCAATATCACCTAAAAGATAATTAATCTCTATGACTTGTGACAAATAAGCCAATAGAAGGCAATCAGGTTCACAGAGTAAAAGAGGAAGAAAATGATTATATAAAATTAGGGCTGTCAATTAGATTAGATTAATCAACTGATTAATAAATTAAAGTATTGATCACCATTTTTAAAAAAATTAGTCAAAATTAATCAAATTTTAATTGATGCCCTAATCCCCCTCTGAATGCCTCTTTTCCCCCATATAATTTTATTTTGTAGTTCATAATTTTGCAAAACAACTGAAAACGAATGTTTTATCATTAAATGAAATGTAATGATGGTGTATAGAAGGTAGTCATTTCGCACTGCTCACTCTTCCTCAAAAACAACATACTATTTTTGGAAAAAGGGAACACAAAAACAGTAATAATTTTCATATTATTCCAAAATGAAGCAGCCAGACCCCTTCACATCCACACTAGTATTGCTCTTATGTCCTGCTTAGGCTACGGCCTAAAGGCATCGCTTTGCAGGACTCACTCGTCAGGCCAATGTAACAGCAGCCTAGGGCAAAGCAACTGAAAAGTCACTGGATATGAATGGGAATAAGAAAGTCATAATGAAGAAGCTGCAAGGGAAAGTACAGAAGGAAGAGAGGGGAGTTGGATGGTAACATGGGATAGGAGAGGCAAGAATGAGGACAATGTAAAGACTGGGGAGTGAGAGACGAACTTGTAAGTGCACCAGAGAACATCTGTGGGAGCCCCTGGAAAGTAACCGAAAGGGGGAAAGCTGGGGGCTGGCAATAGAAGTGGAAACTCCCTCTTCTACTCCTTGCTTACTCCTATTTTTGCCCTTGCATCCTGTGTTGCCCATAAATTGTTAATGAATCTTTAAATCTCCATGTAATGAAGCATCACTGTACACATCCAATCATTTAGGTAACATTTTTCATCCTTCCGTTATGGGTTGGCTAAATGACAAAGGGCCTCAGTGCACTTCTTTGATTACATTTCATTATTGTTCTGGCTAAGTTGTAACTATTTTCTTTCTGATTGGAATGAGGCATATGTAGGATGAACTGGTGTATGCATGGATAGTAACTGCTATGTTAGGGACTGCATTACCTTGAGGAGTCACTTCCTGAGGCTTGCCTAGGTGTTGGACATAACACAAGCAGAATTGTTCCCAATGCCTAGGACATGATTCAAGGAGGAACTAAGGAATCAATTAAAATATGATCAATCTACAGATTAATCTATTAAGTTTTTAAAATCAATTGACAGCCCTAATAAAAATGAATCAACTCTAAAGCAGGAAGAACTCACAGTCACAGACAAATGGCTTCTCTGCATCAGTCAGCTCATACCTGTCATACGTCTTCTTCTTTGGTTTTGCCTGTCCAAATGCAAAAAAATCCCAAAGATTGCTTATTAGGATTTAAAAAATCAATGTACTATGTGCATCCTGCTAACAAAATAAGACATAAAGCCATAATGTCAATTAAATATTATAGCTGCTAAGTTTGCTCCACTTGAAAGCTCTTTCTAAATGCAAAAGCTTCCCTAAATTCAATTAATTCATTCAGCTTGTGAAACCAAGACTAATTCACCTTCAATTCATAAGAGAATACCTCCAACTTTCCTACTCCATCTACTCTATACATTGAAGGTTGTGAAGCATTGATGTTGTGCTTATTCAACTTGTAGAATTACCTAGTTTCCTGCAGAGTCCTTACCACTTTACACGAACATTACTCAAGTGAAGGGCAAAGTCCTTCTTCCTTCTAAGACTGTACCTTGCTGCCAGGCTTGCTGCCCTTCTTCTTTTTCTTCTTAAAGGTATCTTCATAATCCACATCAGAGTCCTGGTCCCCCAAATCATAATCCATATCATCATCAAGCCCAAGGTCATCATAGTAAACCCAACTGCTGTCCTGTTTGAACAGGAACAGTGACTTGGTGAGACAGCAGATCAAGAAAGGAAGATAAGGAGCTAATGGAAGCATGTCCTACTCTGGTGGAGTCATTCTGTGTCATGGTGCTGTCACGTGTCTCCTCACTGACAAGGCTGCTATCCATTGACATATTTGATACCTCCCCATCAACTGTCTCACCTTCACGTGATTTTTTTGGCAACATGAAGTTCATCATATACTGGCGCTTGCGTTTCAGCCATGGCTTAGCAGGATACGTGTATAACTGTCCAGGGAGTTGACCTGGAAGACGCTGCCTCTTTGGCTTCCACAAGCCACAGCTGCTCTGGGCTACCCCTGGAATCAATAATTAAGGAAAATTTGGCACTTTTTTTTTTAGTATTTTCAGAAATCACATAATTAAGTATGAATAAGTGCTATTGTGATTTCTGGACCAGTTCACACACTCTTGTAAGGTAAACTATTGTTTATTTTGGGCCTACCAATGCCAGCAAAACTAATATATCCCCCAGTCTCATGAACAACATGAACTAGAAATCAGTAGATATTCCCAGAGTTGAAATACCAGTAGTGCCAACACCCTTATCCTTATAGGGGTGTGTGAATTAATTCCATCATCACTACAGAGTGCCTCTCACCAGTTTGGGAATCCAGGAAGGGCAACCTCATCTGCCGCTCAATAAGGAGCCGAGAATTGTAATGAGATACCCCTTCAATGTAATCCTTGTATGAGGTATCATTGAAGAAGCTGTAAAGCCAAGGGATTCAACAATTAACATTGATTTATACTACCTTTCATTTAACACAATATAACAAATATATATACAGCCTCTAAAATATGAACAAAGAAGCAAAAAGGACTTACTTTTGGATTATGGCAAGGGGAGACTTTTCCACCATATTTAAAACAACACAATCCTTCTGAGAAAATGAGCCCAGTGATGACCAACTTTGCCCTCTTTTATCCTTATATACCAATCTAACATGAAACACAAAGAAATTGTTTTCTTATCTGTTTATTGCCAGTTCCAGGACTTTCCAGATTTGTCATTGAAAATCGAGAGCACATCTCCATTCACTTAATTTTCTAAATGGAATGGGCATCAGTCAGTGAGAGAGTCGCACTGAAAACCCTCTCTCACTAACCACCCAAAAGTTAGTATTTAATTTTTTCTGTTACTTCCTGTACTAGCTTGAAGATGGCAGTACTGACTAAGGCAAGACATATTCAGGAACCTCCAAATTTAAGCTCAAACCAACTGCCGAAACCGATCTGTAGAAATGTGGCAATTTGAATTTGAAGATGCAGGATGTACAGGTATGGCCACAGTCCTTCAGGACTGGGAGCACATGGCTGTACCAGTACAGCCATACCACTCAAAAGGTTAAATTCAATTTAAGAAATTAAAAGTTAAAAGAAATCATGCAACTTTGATAGTTCTGCTAGCAATTGAGTCACCATTTATTCTACTTTACATGATCCAACTTGCAAAAACCAAAAAACAAATAGCTGGGAAATAATTAAAAAAATTGCTCACACTTGACATTTTCTCCAAGAATCTCTAAGGTCTTTCTCTCAGATCCATTTTCTAGATGCACAATTCTGACAATGTAAACAAATTATCAAGGAGCTTGAATTGCCGTGATAAATCTGACAGCCATCATTAACCTAATTATGCTAGATAAAAATTTTAACTAAACTTTTGATTAATCGATATATTCTGGTTATTTGGGAATACAGAAATCATTGAAAAAATACAATTGCATAATTTTTGCATTGCTGTATTGTTATAAAAAAAAATACTTTTGATTGACAATGAATTATGGCAGAGAATATTTTCTGCACATCTCTGCATGTCATCCTACATTTAGGACAACAGGCATATCTGGGTTAGGAGAAAAAGTCATATGCAAGGCTAGGAAGATTCTTGAGCTCAGTGGTTCCAAAAAGAACCATTGGAAAATAAAGGGTTGAATTACATGCGGGAAAAGAATGGTCACGAGGAGGCCAATAATCAACCTGGCCAGGCATGCTTTGCAGCCTTCGAGAGTTGCATTGCACATCTTTCAACTATCACTCTCACTTACAACTCCAAGCTTTGAAAAGTGAAGCCAAGAAAGAGAAGCAATCCTGATAATTTTATTTCATCCCTGCGGAGAAAACAAGATAGAAAACAGAAAGCAGAGCCACCAGAACAAAAAAAGGCAGGGCAAATACAGTTGGGGATCCCTACATCCCTGACTGATATGAGATACCATTCTCTCTCATGTCAAATTTATGACCAGACCAACTGGAATGCCCAACTCCATGAATGCTTTCACATTCACAAGAGAGTTCACACAGAACACCAAAGTCACTACTTTACAATGCCCAGCTTCCTTGCTTCTATCTCATAGATGAGTAGTCTCCACATCTTCACCACAAATACTTCAGCTTCTTCATCAAGCACCTAGCCAAACAAGAGAAGGCACAATGGTCAAACAGCTGCAATAAAATAATGAATTTACTTAATATATAAGAGACAAGCAGAATGTACCATTTGAACATCATCTAAAATGCTCTGGGGGTCAGATGCAATCAAGATCTTGGAACAGATGAAGTCAACCAAGGTGGGTTCCTCTTCTCCTATGTAATCAACAATCTTCTTATTGATCCAGGGACGTATTCTCCTCTCCATCAAAGCCTGATATGTGCCAAAAAGATTTCTCCCAGATGAGTCACTTATACATAGGCCATACATAGGTCTTCAGCATTGCTATTTTACTGCAAACATGTGAGAGAATTTATGCCATATATAATGAGCTACATATATATACTCCTAATTGACACACTTTAAAAATTTGAACTTAATATACAGTGAGTATGGCAGCAATAAATAATAATTTAATATTGACCTTTTCTTTAGATCCAGACATGTAAAGCATTTTCCAGGTGATGGTATGTTCTATTTTTTCCTGTGTCAATATCAGATGGGGTCCACCTCCTTCACCTACCTGCCAATATCTGCATAATCATAACGTGAAGTTATTGGATCTTTATTGGCAATAGAGAAAATGGAATTTCATGATCACCTAAAAATCCTAACATATAAATAGATTTTTTTAAATCCTTCATAATTAGGGCTGTACTTATGGTCACATTTGGCCAGTGGGCCAATGGCTGATAATGCAACACCAGTGGCAGAAACTGGTGGTTGCTGATACCTTGGTACAGCCATTATTATTATATTTACATGCTGCCACAATGACTACTGTTTAGTTCAAATTTTCTAAGTATGCCAGAGAAGAGTAAACAATAGAGGTTGTTTAGAAACTTTGTAGGATGTGTATAATGGTACACTGAGTAGACCCAAACATTTGTGGCTTCAAGAATCATTCAATCCTGAATAGAAACTCCATTTTCATCAGATTTGATGTCAAGGTAAATGTGTGTCATAGCAATCCTTAGTAGAAACTTGACAGTGCAGGAGGGAGCCTTGTTTGACCTCTTGACAATAACTTCTACCACTGTTCCCAAGGGAGACTTGACTTCAAAATGTTGGCTCATCAAACTACATCTATAATGATCACTAAGGCAACCAGCAACATCCTATTAAGTTCTTTCAGAAGAGCATTAACTTAGAAGATATTAGTCAAAGTCAACCTTGGTGATAACAGTTTCTATTCAGAATTAAAATAAAACCTTTCAAATAGTTCAAGCTGTGTGCACATTCATTTCTGCTCAGTGTTCCAGTAGACCCTTTCCACAAAGATTCAAAACTTCCCATAGCCACAAAGGCAGATCTTCAAAACAATGCCAAACATCAGATGCTTGCAACAAAGTAGCAATTCTTGAAACTTTTTTGGTGAGCAACATACTCTAAAGAAAGCCTAGTCTGGGACTCACATTGTCAACTACATCCCAGTCAATGGGATACTTAAAAATGTCCTCTTTGGCAGTAGGGATACGGTCAATGATGCTCTTTATATGCTTCCGCTTCTCATCTTGTGACTTCTTCTCCTCCTTTTTATCTTCATCATAATCTAGCAATAATATTAATAAGATCAGGAGCATATCTTGTCTGCACAAGCCTGATAGCAGATTAAAGGAAGTAGGACTAACCAATTGGGACAAGTTTTCGTTTCTTGTTGGTTGCCTGAGAATCATCTTCATCAGTATTAAAGACCTCCTTTATGTCAATCTTCTTGCGTTTTCCTTGGATATCCTTTGCATTCTCCTTACTGGAATCAGGTGATGCTGATGAAGGCAGCTGGTCTGGGGACTCTTGACCACCTGGGCTAGGGGATGGGCTGCCCATGTATGCTCCTGCTGGTGATGACTTAGGTGCTGGAAGAAAAATATCAATAAATTGACACAAATCTAATTTCCAAAACCCAGTCAATTACAAAATAGATACAATTTCCAATAAGTCATGCATTTGGTCAGTGGTAATCAGTCAAGGTGATCAGAGTATTCACTGAACACCCAGATCTGAAAATTTAACAAATTTCCTTTTACTATAGTATCTTCCCAGGATTTGCCTTTTGCAACTGAAATCAGAATTATGGGCCTCTCAAGAGATTGACAGTTCAAGAGAAAGAAATGGGCAGGTGGGATGTGAAGAGGAAGTTCAAGGTGATGGAAGGATTAAAGAGTGGGGCAGTGCATGATGTCTGGTTGCCTTGTGAGTCAACCAGGAGAGGACCATAAACATTACCATGCAAGTGTTTCATTAGGGAGAGAATAAGGTAGGCCTGGCCAAATACAAATGAATCAATCTGGCCCAAGCGCAAGGCCATGCTTACTCCTGCTGAATTGAGTGTGATAATCATTGTCAAGACCCACTAGCTAAAAGTTCCTTTTCATTTATAGGAAACATGAAGGATTACAAAAAATATCATAATTACATTAATATTCAGAAGCAGAATCCTATTGATTCACATCAATCTGTACCACCTTGTAACCCACAGGGAATAAAGGGAAGATGATATCAGGGTAGGCTCCGCTTGACAAAGAATGCTAACATCCTGTGTACTTTCCCACCAACCACCACTGCACCCAGTATGGCATAAGTTCAAAGAAAGATTAGCTCACAAGTCTTCATCTCCATCACAAATTTTGGCTGTGGTGGCTCCATAGGAGTACTGACAGCAGTATGAGCAGGACTTGGATCAGAAGATGACACCTGAGGGCTAGATGTCTTGGTTGGAGACTCAGGTGTCCCACTGACTTCATTCCTTGGTCCATTTGACATAGTTGGGCTCTTGTTACTAACCAACATAGGTTCCTTCTTTGCAGGGGAAACAGGAGATTTCAACAAAGGAAGGATCGATTGCTGAGGGAGGACTGGGGAAGCAGCTGGGGGGATGGGTTTCCTTGTGGGAATGAGAGGAGGAGCTGGTTGAATTGGCTGAATGGAAGGCAGCTGTGCAGGAGAGGCATGAGGGGGAGGTGATAATGCTTGGGGCTTTGCTGGCTTCACCAGCAGTGTAGGCCTGTACTGCTCCTCCCTTTGAGCTCGGATCTAAAACAGATACATTGAAAGAAATTATTAATGATTCATTTTTTGCTTTCATATGAAAGAAAGGATAAAATAAAAACTGACTCCCCTGAATCACAAGTTCATTTTGCAAATAACTAATTATTGATGAAGACCTCAAATAAGGAAAGGTACCTACACTATAACACAAGGTTCAGCTTTATGTGCTTTCTTCAGAGGCTTACTTTACTTCTCCAGCAGAATACCATGTAGGTATGCAGAATTGAACTCACTCTCATTCTCTGAGTCTCTTCTGCATCCCTGATAGGTCTTGAAACTTGACTTTTGAACAGTAAGCTGATAAAAATACTACACTCTTAAAAAACAATTGAGAAAAATTTTCAACTTGTAGCTACTTGTAATTGCATCACACTATTGCAGGCTGACTAATGCTACACATGAGCATGTGAAGTTATATCAAAATCCATGGACTCATTTTGAAGATACAGCAGCTTATTCTGAGGTTGCAGTGAACTAATGCAGCCAGTTGTACACCATCAGGTACCAGGTACCAGGTGTCACTCCCGCGCCAAGAATGGGTGACCTTAAATCACATCCAGACTCTTCGTGGTTGATCCAGACTCCTGATGCACAAATGGCATATTAAACAATCGCCAATGTGCAAATGCGGCACTCCAATCCAAACAATGGAGCATATCATCAACAAATGCCCATTCTACTCATTTCCCGGCAGCATCAAGGATATACACACAAGATCACTTGACTGGATTTCAAAGATTAACATCAATTTCTAAAAGTTGCTATTCCCATACTAAAGAAGAAGACCAGCTGCACACCGTGTTCGCACAGCCAGGTGAGGAGGGAACCCACTGTTCCCCCATTAAAGAGAGTGTGAACCAGGCAGTTTCTGAGTTTCAACCAAGGGTTATGCTAGCTATGCACATGTGCACAAAATGGGAATGAGCACTCAAATATCTCTTCCAAGTCTGAAACAGCAAGGATTAATGTACTTTTCTTCTTGGTCATATGTATCATGTCAGCCATTCTGTATGAGGCACAGCACTAAATTTTTGTGCAGGCACCTATTCATATCTAGCTGCACTCTCTAACTGCTTTCACACTTTGAATTGACTCCTGTGTTTATAAAATCGGTAATGGATATTGTTATAACTTTGCATGCATGTGCTCATTTGATGTTTTATCAGCCCTCAAAGCCTGAACAACAAGTTCACCTACAAGTTGCTAAAAATTGGAAAATGTTTCTGCATTTTTTCAGACAAACTCTCTTTTAGAGATGCAATGATATTTTATCGGTTATTGGTATCAGCCAATAATGGGTGAAACCAATATATCAGCCTGATACAATATATGACTGGCTGATAACCGTTATCAAACAGACATCTGATGTAAGCCATATACTAAGCACATTTAATGAGCAATGGATAATCACTCATTTTTCTCATAGGAAAGCTAAAAATGCCTAAATGACATGTCTTCATCAAACAAGAAGGTATTAGGCTATGCAAAATGTTAATATTTTTTTTGCCTTTGGGCTGAAAATGGGAGGTGCGCTCTTGGCCCATAACAGCACTCCGACTCAGGTGCACCAGCTAACTTCCCCAACCCCCCCCCCCTATAAAATATAAGTGAATAAGAGGGGAACTGTGAAACTGAGGTAAATTACAATAAAGAAGGCAGTAAAATATCACAGTGGAATTCAGACAGTGAAACGGGTAAAAAAAAAAAAAAAAAAAAAAAGGAAAATTTACCCTTATTTACTTGGTTTACTATCTTGGTTTTACCATCCAAATTTTACCTAAGGTAGAATTGTTTAGGATGCAAAATAATGTTCCATTACTTTTGAAACTCATCAGAATCAATAGAGGAAAGATGTTGCTTCGTGGTAAACATGTTTTTGCTCCATTTTCCCACATAATATACTTAAAGTAATTGTAGTTCAATGGACCCCCTTGCCTGGTTACGTCGGTCTTTTACCTTGCCCAGATAAGGGTTAAAATGACAAAATTAGGTATATGTTGCACTTAATATGGTAGTAATTAAGAATTTTTTCCAGAATTTCACCATGTAATTTTTATGAAGGGGGGGGGATGACCCACTCAAACTAGAATTAGACATAAACTTACTCTTTCAAACTCAGCATTAGGGTCTTGATGTCCTTCAGCAAGAATGCGAGCCTTCAATTCTTCAAGCTCTTCTTTCTCTTTTTGCCGATCTTTGTGGTCTACTTCTGCCTCAACCTTGCGCTCCGCTAGCCTGCGTTCCAGCTCTCGACCTCTGGAAAGTGCAAGGAGAATTGGATATAAACTGAAAGAATATCATCACAATAAGATAAGATAGCATGTTGACAGTCTGAAGGACTTACTTATAGAATCTGGGATCATCACGTTCATCATCATAGTCTTCAAGGAATTCCCTCAGCCTCTTGGCATCTCTCTCCATCTCTTCTCTCTTCAATCGCTCCTTCTCCTTTTCTTTTTCATATTCCTTTGCCTTGTTCCTCTCTCTCAATTCCCATTTCCTTACCTTCTCCTACATGCAAAACATGATGAGAGACAACTTCAACCAATACTTGCACAAGTCACAGTCATAGCTTCATATACCTGATATGCAGCTTCTTTTTCTCTTGCTTTTCTTTCCAGTTTCTTCCTCTCCTTTTCCTCTTCCTCCAATTCCATATTCCTTCGAAGTTCCTTCTCAGATAGTCTCCGTTCTTCTACCTCATGAGACCTTGTAGAAAGTAGATGAGGTGTAAGAAAAAACTGTCCATAGCTGCACAAGGTAAGCAGATGTAGGAATTGAATGAAACCAGGACTGACCGGGATCGACGTTTGCTTCTCTCTCTCTCACGATAGTATTCTCTTTCCTTCTCTCTCTCCCTTTCCCGTTCTCGTTCTCTCCGTTCTCTATCTTCCCGTTCCCTCTCCCGTTCTCTCTCTCGTTCCCGCTCTCGCCTATCATCTCTCTCCCTCTCTCGTCTCTCCCTGTCCTCTCGTTCCCAGTCTCTTGAGGACCTGGCTTGAGAAGGGGAGCGAGTAGGGCGGCGAGAAGAGGATCGCTCACGTTCATGTTCAGGTGCAGGAGAACTGGAATGCGCAGGCGATGAAGTTCGACGGGAGATGCTTGGTTCCCGTGAGTGCTCCTTCCATCGTTCCAAATCCTCTTTCTCCTTCACCTTCCTTGCCAGCTCCTCCTCCTGCTATCACAAAAGCCATGAGGCACTCTCTATTACACATCCAAATATGGCAATTCAATAGCAGAATTCACTTCAAAGCCGTGCAATATGTAGCTGTACCATAATACCACATCTAATTTCCTGCTCTCAACAACTGAGTATTGGGTTCCCCAAAATGGGCAGATTACATTTAAAAATGCTTAGCTTTCAGCTGCATTGGCTGTGAGTGAAGCAATACAAGACATCTTAAATATGCCCTTTGAATGGGCAAAATTTTAAAGAGGGGTATTTATATTTCCTTAAAATTCATTATAAATAAAATTCAAGAAAACAGTGAAGTGATTAACAGTGAAGCATACATATAAGAACTTGAGCTTATTCAGAGAGAGAACAGAACTCAAAATGATTATAGATGGTAATAATGTGAATTAGATGGAAATCAAGTAAAAGCTCTTCTATGTGCCAGGTAAATCTTCTTTTATTTTCTTTTTCAAGCAAAAGTTTATTGGATAGAGGCATTTTCGTATCATGTTTTCATTTTAAAGCACATGCTTATGTGGAAAAATTTACAGGTAATTGCATATTTTCTGCCAGGTCAGAAAATAAAAAGAGAGAAAATTTTTGCAAGTTAAATCTTTGCTTGAATAAAGCAGAGATTCAATATTTTTATCAGCCATAAGAGAATATTCCATGAATGAGATGTGATATTCCAGATGAGCCAAGGAGCAGTTGAAAGCATAGCGTGCATAAACATGACCACACATTTCTGTTCCCTTCCCTAAATGATTATACGGCAGATACGGTTGAATGCCATTGCCAAGGACCAGTTCATGAGGAACCTAAAAGTGTGATGTGTAAATTTCAAAATGTTTCACATCCCTCTATTAATGCAAAGAAAATAAAGGTCTGAAATAGAAATACTGTCAATGAGAATTTTCACCTATAACCAACATTCACCATATAGAAACTGATACAAATGAATCAGTATATCTGTCAGGGAACCCATTCTGATGATTCATGGAGCTGAATGCAACACTAACCTCTATTAAAATCTTTTTAGCTTGTGACATATGAATGAAGACCTTAAGGACCCAGCAAATAGGCACATCAGGCCTATCTATTTTACTAGCCTGGTAAGAAGAGACCTAGGCCAATCCACTGAGATCTTCAGCAATCAACAGGTCAACTAATTTAGACAATGATTTGCCACACTGGTGATTGGGACTGCAGTACTAATGCCTGAGAAGATCATTCAAGAGACAATGAAGTGCAAGGATGACATCTACAACTATTCAGGGAAAATCGAGATCGATTTTAAATAATAATAAAAAATTAGCAACGGCATGATGGAGATCCAAGACATGGAGAAAGAAGTTAGGTAGAATATTATAAGGTCTTCTCCTCTTTCCTTGCCTTTTGTACCAGTGTTCAGCCATATGGCAGGAATGGCGAAGGGAAAAGGCCCTAGCACAGGCTTCTGAATGAAGGCACTATTCCAGCAACCAGCAATAAGGTTACATTCATTCATAGCATCAGCTGCTGAACAGTGATTCACTAACACCACTGTCCACTTTTATAAATGCAAAGGCCATTCACCAGCACTGGTAGGCTTGCTTCAAAGCAGGATTTTTGAAACTAAGACAATATACAGTGAAGATGAGAATAAAGCAAATGAAAATAGAATGAAAATTTCCACATTAACTTATAAGCCCATCATTAGCTGAATTAGCAGGTGACATCGTCGATTCAGAAAAGTAAAGGCAGAGGAACCAGGGGCCACTATGCAGTGCTGACTACTTCTGATGCTGGCAAAAGATTTTTAATGCTATCACTGCCCACCAACTGAGTTTTTAGCCATTACAGACATGGAACATTTATTCCTATGTTACCCAGCAAACACCTGGCTCTTGGATGTTCCCCTCAGACAAATGGCACAATGTTCCCAATAGTCCCTTCCAGTCTCACTCTTTCTATTCCCCAACAAGATGAAAAAAATGCAAACTTTGCCCATAAATTTGACTTCTGCATCAAAATGGGCACCCAAAAAAGTATCAGTTTATTAGTAGACCTAAACTGCTGGCTGACAGAAAAGACCAATAACAATGATTTTCAAAGCAATAAATTCTCAACAGCAACCTTGGACTTGACACACTATGGGAAAACACTTTCCAAACATACACACCTTTGGTGATTCAAGTGACACAATCACATGAATTCATCTGTTCTGCACAATGACCAAGAGGGAAAAATGATATGAGTGAGACAGTCTTACCTTCTCATCATTCAGGGGAGTGAAGACGCGAGGGTGAGGATGCTGGTTTGGAAATACTCTTTAGTCTGTCTTAAATGAATGTCCCACTAGAGGGAACCCATTAAAACGGTTTCACACAAGTCATGAAGCACAAGTCATGGATCACACATCCCGGTGCACACAGAAACACATCATATACAGCAAAACCAACAAACTCCCTCATCATATAGTCTCAGCTGACAAATAAGTCTGAGGACTACCAATGCATGCAGCACTTCATGACAAGGTTGAGCGAATGAAGAACAAATGAGACAGTTTCATTCTTGCCTGCCTTAGGTTCCTTTGATCGATTCCAGATAAGGTGGAATAACACTTACTACATATGGTGAGCTGAGCTTGGCCAGATGAGAAATTTTAAGATCTGAATGAATTCCAATGTCCTGATGGAAGAAGGCTCATGGACCAACAGAAGCAGGGCTAAATCTGAATGTCGTTCATATATGAGAGAGACACTGCGAAGAAGGGAACTTCTCTACTACGTGTGACTGGTGGCTTCAACCTCAAGGAGGAAGAAGTCAGAGAAATAACACAACAAACTGTCAGTTTGACTCACCAGCGTTGGGATATAGAAAACTACGAAGTCTGCGAGACATGATTTTTGGAAGCCCTCGCGTCAACAGACTGTCCTAATTGTGGGAATGACAATGTTGCGCATTCAGACACATTGGACACCTGCAGATTCATAGAAACTCATCTCCTTGCCAACTTCAAGAAATGCATTTAATGTTGTGTATTACTCCATTGGTAAACTGTGAGCACATTAAACAGATGACAAATAAATAATTTAAGGCTAAGATGAGTTTCAGCAGGGTCAACTAGGAGATCCTCATTGACATATTTATGATGTTTCAAGAAGGATCTCTACAGTTATTTGGGAGGAACAGAAAAATATGAATGGAAAGCCCCCATGTATGGTTAAAAAGCATACCTTCATGGTTTCTCTGAATTTTCCAATCTCTCGTGTGATGATTTCCCGCTGTTCTTCATCAACCTCAGCATCTTCCAAGTTCTGTCAAACAATAATCACCACATTCAATGATTTCATTAAATAAAACAACTTTGAAAATGTTGCAAATGCTCATGCACAAGTACCTATGCAATACTAACATCAATTCACTTTCAAAATTATACAAAAAATCACTTTTACAATTAGGGATGGTCAAATCAGCCTCTGGATGAACTGTCAATAGCTTAAGGAGTAGTGCAGATACAGGATAAAAATAGCTATCACAGTTCCACCATTCCTCTATGAATTTGTCATGCATGCACAGCCATATAACCAGCAGTAAGCTACTTCCTCAATCACCCATTTAATAAGCCAATTAGAAACGAATTAGAATTAGCTAGAATTAGAATTAGTTAGAATTAGCCAATTCATCTAATTACACCATCATGAGCTTTGGAGTAGTTATGTTATCACCCTTTTGAACTTAGGAATAACTTTGCATCTGGGGTTTTACTCCATCATGAATATACTCAACATATCTCTAAGATAATCATCAAAGTTTATATACCAGGGAGGGGGGCCAAAAAAAAGTCCAGAAATTTACATGCCTGCAAACGGAATACCATGTGAGCTGTCAACAGGAAATTTGCAGGGTTTCACATCCAATATGTGCTGGTGATGTCACAAAATTTCAATGAAATTGGTTGCACACTTCCAGAGTAACAGTTTTTCTCCTGTGCAATGGCAAAAGGGCGAGTGTGTAAAGTTGTGTGACTGACCTCAAATGAAGAGATATTTGATCAGGTCCTCCATTCTGGTCCACAACTGCTCACAGATGCTGTTTCCATTGGTTGATTGACTTTATTGTGTTGTCATAGACAAGAGGCCACAATTTTTCTATTCAAGCCCTCAGTTCAGCTAGTAATATAAGGGTAATATGAGGGGGTTGCATTCAGCATAAACTGACTCCTTCAATTCATCCCATGTGCTGTAGTTATGGGGATTTAAGCCTGGAGAATTGAAAGGCCAATGATTTTCTCAAATGAAGTCAGGAGTGTTATTCTTCAAGTACTCATGCATACATTTGGTACGATGTGAAGGAGCACTATCTTGCATGAAAATTTTGTTGTGATTGGGGTCCAACTGTCTGCATTGAGAGAAATTATTCTCCCAGAACTCCAGGTAGTCCCCTTGATTTACCTTCAATCACTGTGAATCCATGAGAAAAAATATCCATTGTGTTCATACTGGATAGTGCTCCTTCATATCATACGTGTGTGCATTAGTACTTGAAGAATAACATTCCTGACTTCATTTGAGAAAATAGGTGCACAGCATCTGAGAGCAGTTGTGGACCAGAATGGAAGACCCAATCAAACATCTCTTCATTTGAGGTCAGTCACACAACTTTACACACTCGCCCTTTCGACATTGCACAGGAGAAAAACTGTTACTCAGGAAGTTAGCAACCAATCTCATTGAAATCTTTATAACATTACCAGCATATATTGGATGTGAAACTCTGCAAATTTCCTGTTGACAGCTTATATGGTATTCCATCTACAGGCATGTAAATTTCTGGACTTTTTTCTGGGCCACCTGGTATATGATAATAATCAATGCAATCAAGGTGTTATGACATCCCAGTATCAGATGTCAGACAATATGGCTGTGCCTACCTGGTAATTACAAGGTATTCTAGAGTTCAAGGCTGACAAGATTATGGTGTGATAAAAACACAACTGGAAGAAACAAACAATAAAAACAACTGTTGGGCAACAGAGTTTTATTTGTATGCACCAGGATCAATGCTAATAGTGTGCAAGAGAGGAAAAAAACAATCCCTTCACAAAACCATGGCTGACTTTATAACAGTAGCTTGGATGCAGTTCAGTTACTGTCCAGTTTTGTCAGTAGCAGTTACAAATTGGGAATTTGCGCAAGAATAGTAAAAATTACCAAATTGAAACCCATTCAACTACAGTTGAGAGTCTAGGTTGATTCCCTGTCAATCTTCATCAGTCTGATTACACTTCATACCAATTTTTAGGTCTCACACTTCCCTTCTGTCATGGGCATCTGGAGAACTTGAGCCAGGTCTGCCTAAGGCAAATGTCTCAATGCACAAGGTAAAATAAAACATGAAATTATCTGAATTTCTGCCTTCCCTGAGTTGAAGTTGGTGTCACTTGATTTTCATGCCATGTCGGGAACAGATTACACTTCATATCTTAATGCAAGACCACATTTCAGGTTGGGTTGAAATGTTGATGGCCTGAACCCACATAAAGGATAACAGCCTCAACTTGACCTCACAATATTAGTGACATCTCTCAGCTGTTTATCAAATCCAGAAGCCTTCAGCAACATGCCAATGACAATTTTGGTGTTTGAATCCTAGTGAAATTACTTATTGAACAACCCCTGTAGAGAGCCTAAGCCTAATATAAGATAACATTTTAGGGCTGCTATCAAATCTTCCATCAATGGAATGTCAGACATTGAAAAAAATTTTCATCATTGAAATTTTGGTCAAGACATATGTGAGTAACTCCCTGATCATATATTCCACTATGAATCCCAGATCAATATTGTCTCCCTTCTTAACCAAAGCCCTATTTGCTTCTAAAATAACACCCTACCTTTAGAAGATATGGAGAAATTTGATGGATTTCAAAAGTTTCACTTTTGTTGGTGGTAGATATATTTCTAGCCTTCCAATTTTTCCAATCAGAGTCTAAGACTGAACAAATAGCAGAGCTGGAAAATTTACTTCCAAAATTGCTTTCCTCTTAGATACCTGCCTAAAATCATGAATTTTATCAAGTAGCCAATATCCTTATACTTGGTTTCTACCAGGCAACCCACTGCCACCTACACTATTCTTGGCTGAATTCATACTACCCTGGGCTGTGGAGAATATAGAAAGCACTTCCTCCAGAAGATTCATTCCATCAGATGATCCACAAAATTAGCTATAAGGAAGATGTCACTACCTGCAATTGTTGGATGAACACGCTTCTATGGGAAGTATGAATTCAATCCAAAAACAGCATACAAATGGAGGAGAACGAAGGCTCTTGTCTTCATTCATTAAAACTCACTATAAATGCACTACTCTAAAAATGACAGGCACTGATGTGATTCTTCAGAATCCACTGATATTGATACCAATAGTGTCAGTGGAAAAATAAAAAAATAAGGGCAGTGTGCTTGCATGAGATCAAAGTCTGAGTCAGTTATTGATCCAAGCTAAAACTTTAAAAAAGGCCAGATTGCATCTTTTAGGATTTAAAAAAAATTATAATTCAGCCCTGGTATATTCTCTCAGACAGAGCTGGAAGGAGAGACTAAAACATATATCTTCTCCTCCTCTGAGAGCTAACCCAGAGAGAGATTCATGGCATGTCTCAGTGAAACCAAAGATACCAGTACCAAGAATTCAGTCAATGTCTGATACCTGGTGATATCAGTGCATCTGTATTACTTACCCATGCAGAGAGTAATATAGTTGAGAGCTCTTGAAACCATGAGGGATACCTTAGCATTTTAAATAAAACTTCAGAAAAAATAGATTCTCCATTACTAATGAGGATTTGAAAAAAAAAAAAAACTCACAAGAGAGGAGTCAAACTTCACAGCAGAACTTGATTTCTCCCCATTCTTCTTTATATCTGAAGGAAATGAAATAACCAACAATTCTGAAATTAGTATGGCAGAGGATACTCACCTACTCATAGATTTGTGAGGAGGGACTTGTATGCACTAGACCAACCTCTCTCAGGAGCAGCAACCTGCTCAAGTGTCTCCTTGAATTCCAGAAGGATTTGACTCAATTTTCCTTGAATGACTTGGTCTTCCAACTTCATACTATCATCTACAAAGTCCTCCTCATCACCAGGTCTGTAGCTAGACCCTTTAATTGCCTTTGCTCTCTCGGCTAAAAGAAAAAAAAATTAAGTCATTCACTTTTTCCTCAGGAGAAATAAACACTTATACAAGCCTATTCCACTTCTATAGCTTCATCAAATCCCTGCCAGAGAACACCCAAAAGAACTCACCTTTGTATTCATCTAGGACACTTTTGGTTTTGGCATCTACCTTTGCTACCAGTTTTTTGTCACCCACTTGCCAGTCATGAAGTAGACGAATGGCTCGGAGACCAGCATCAGGATTCCCAAACTCACAGAACCCAAAAGCTGAAAAATATGAGACAAATGGGACATAGGCTATAACCTAAGTATACAAATGCTCAGCTTATTAGATATTTTCTTCTTTTTTTTTCGCACCTTGTAGTTTCCCTGAAGCACCTTGAACTCTCTTCCAGCTGATAACAGAACCTACTGAATGGAGGATCTGTCGGATCATGATGTCTGGTGCTCTATCAGGTATGTTTCCAACAAAAACTGTGACAGGAGGCCCTGTGGGCTTTGTGAGTCGATTCCCCACCTGCCGAGGCCCAAGGGACCTCTGGGGGTTTTGTTGAGACTGCTGTTGCACCTTAACAGGAAGTCTACTGCCAACAGTTGTGGTAGGAGGTCTTGGGGATGGATACATGTTAGGTACCTAAAACAAGGAGCAAAACTTTACTTGCGATCTTGTTAGCAACAGGGTTAGAGAGTTTTAGTGAAAGTCTGTGCTATCATACCATAGGCGTAGGAGGCATAGGAATGCCCATGGGTGGCATCATTCCTGGAACAGTAAAAAGTGAATATATACATCTTTCCTTCATATCCCATGTCCACCCCAATGAGTGTACAGCTCCAAGATTCTTACCTCCAACAGTTACATATGGTGTGTGCATGATGGGCATGCCAGTCATCCCAGGCACCATCGGAGGTCTCGGTGGAAAAGACATCTGAAAGTCCAACACTTTTAAGAGAACCAAAATCCAGTTACATCAAGTGAAGCCTTTGACCTATCTGCTCATGATGGGATTTCTCAAATTCTCAATGTCATGTGGTCATCCTTTCCTCTGTCAGAGAACATATACTTTTTTTAAAATTAAGTTTATTCTAATTTTTAAATAGCAAATATGCCATTTAATTAACTCAAAAGCTATTAAATAAAATAATTTTCAGATACACCATTATGAACAGATATGGATCTGTTCACTTTGCCAATAGACAAAGCTGGAAAGAAAGAAAATATTCCACAGTAAAGTGATCACTAAAGCATGAAAACTGCTAAAGGATAACAGCTTAAAGCATACAAAATGCATCAGTTTAATAAAAAGAGAAATATCAGGCTTCTGGGAAATCAAGCAAACTTGATGGGAAAATGCAGGCAGTCTTCAGCTTCTTTCATTTGGGGAAGAAGCTATGGAATTTAAAAAATGTGACAAGATATGTCTTTTGTTACACAGGTTTGAAGTCAAATGAAGTGAAGCTTTTCAGTAACCCGATGACAAAAAAGCCATTCACACAGACAAAACACAGCAACATCTTCCTCATATACAAAAGGTATAAAATTTAAACAGTTATTCATTCAATAATTATTTTGGGTATCTCAATGGATCACATCAGCTGTGAAGGTGAAAACTGGGATTCTCCTTCCAGAGCAAACCACACAAGAAAACAATGTCACTGACAGTCAGCTGCATTTCTCAAAAAGAAAAGAACATTTTGTTTAAGCTTTGTGCTGATGAATTATGAGAGAGAAAAAAGAAAAATGGCATTCTAGCTTTATTACAGGTTACAGTAACATACTCAATGCTGATACCAAGTGGGATGCATTAGGATATACTCTACTTCATCTCAAAAACTTTATGCTAACCTGAGACTCTTGATGAACACTGAAAGACCATCATAATCATGAAAACAAGAACACTAGATTTGTAATCACTAGAAATGAGAGGAGGACCCTCTTTATGTGTGCAAATACTGATGAGCTTCAAAAGTTCCCATAGAAAAGCAGTGCCATTAAATGGAACATTATGCATAGTTGGCCTTTCTATTGGGTGTTGCAATTTGAAGTGAAGCCTGACATGACTATATAGACCATTCACACTGAGCAACAAGTCTGACTCCATGCTAGTCATGCCCTTTCTAGCTATACATTTTCTCCCAAGCAATGCATCTTCACATGTAAAATGACTTGCATTAGACTGTTATAGATGAGCAGCAGGCACCAGATTTGCCCATTAAGATCAATGAGTAAAATTGCCATGGGGAGTGTTCCACCAGAATGGGAAGGTTACATAGAACGGCAGGTTAATGAGGGTACATTTTCAATGCCATGATATGAAACACACAGCAGCCAAACTGCCTTCAATGTATGATTCTGTATAGGCTATATGTAGCCATGAAAAGGTGAGGTCTCATAGGAATCTGAGACATAATGCCCATGAAAGTTTATCTCCCACACATATCTTGGTCATGATCCAATCAGCAGGGTAGAGAAAACTGAACAAGTGCCTGATGCGAGGTCCAAGCAATCACCATAATCACTGAAATGATATCTCAAGGAACAAAGTATTCTAATTGGTTCCTCAGAATATCATGCATCTTTTCCTTCTATTAATCCCCAACTTCTTCTTCTTGTCTTTTCCTTGTCGATCCTTGAACTTCCTGATCTCTCGGACAAGGGTATAGAATGCATCGTCAACACCCATTCGGGTTTTTGCCGATGTTTCAATGAAGGGGATACCATAGCTTCGTGCCACTTCACGAGCCTGATTCATATCTACTGATCGAATCGGGAGGTCACACTTGTTCCCCACCAGAGCCATCGGCACATCATCAGTGTCTTTGACGCGTTTGATCTGCTCTCGGTACATACTGATATCTTCAAATGATTTGGCATTATTGACAGCAAACACCAATAGAAATCCCTCTCCCGTCCTCATATACTGGTCCCGCATAGCACTGTATTCCTCCTGGCCTGCAGTGTCCAGAATGTCCAGCAAACAGGTTTCTCCATCAATGACAACCTGCTTCCTATAGGAATCTTCGATGGTAGGATCATACTCATCAACAAAATGGTTCTGGATCAGTTGGATTGTCAAGGCACTCTTTCCAACACCACCAGCACCAACTACCACAAGTTTGTACTCAGTCATTGTGCACTGCACTTGTATATAAAGTATTGTTTTGACCTCAACAGTACCTGCAAATAAATGAGTTTCTCAAGTAATATCAAAGATAATTATCTTAAGGTCTAAGCTAATCTGTTTCATTATAATTACTGACGTTATGCATTGCTTTCAGATTGAATTCATACCTCCCCATATGAGCACTTCCATCAATTGCAGGTTGTGACATCTTCCAGATGGATGGTTCCATGGATCATCTGATGAAGCAGAATCTCTTTAAAAAGTTCTTCTGGATCTTCAAGAAGTAGTGCTTCCTCTGTCCTCTAATACCCAGGGGATACAAATTCAATCCAAATATGGTTTAGGTATAGCTTAAAAAGAGAAATTTGTAAATTAAATCTATATGTCCATCACCCCTTTAACATCATTTAGTTTCCTATCTTAGCTTTCAAGTTAATTTTGAGATAATTAGGCCCAGATTTTATTTCACATAAGTGCCAAATAATAATGACAAGAACCTGGTACTTGTATGTACATTTGCAAACTTACTTTCAGAGGCATGTGAAAGGAGAAAATGCAGCTCTTAAAAAGTTGATAATGATGGTTAGTGATAAAAGGAATACATTCTGACAGCATGTAAGTTTTCAAGATTCTCGAAGAAATTGAATATCTTTTTCCATAGTCACCACAGCATCTGAAAGCAAGGTAGGCCTGGCCTACAAGTGCATTTCAGTTTGACAAGTAGGCTCAACTAGGTCTAGTTGCCTAACTTGGATTATCGGGTACGTCCAGGCCCAGCTTAAAGCAGGGCTTTGGAAAACTGGATTGGGGCTACCTGATATCATAAAAAGACGCTTACGCATACACAGACCGAGGTTATATTGCGGCCTAACGTTAGGCTCACGGATCTTTTTCACCAATTTCGACATTTCATTCGATTCTGACGACTTCAAAATGAGCTTGCGCGGCTTCAAGACTAAGCACTAGGTCCAGTCAAATGAAAACTGTCAACCTAGACCGAAAAAAGTGGACCTAGACATTGGAGAAAATGGTTACAAGAGACTTCGAACGGATGAACGGACAAGGCCAAACACCGGACCAAGGCTGAGAGTGACAACGAAAATGGCCATGACGACATGGCGTGGCGGATCCATCTGATGCTTCCCTCCTTCTCCAAGAGATGGCGTCAAATTCCTTCGTTTCATTCAGAGCAGAGACTACGAGTTTATTCACCGATTTTGAGTTTGAGACATGTCACTAGTGTTGAGCACGTTCCGTGTGAAAAGTAACAAGTTAAAATTACAACTATTCTATTTTTGAAGTGATTATTAATACGTACAATCAGGGTCAGACTGGCCCGACGGAATACCGGGAAATTTCCCGGGAGGACCCCCAGACCTGATTTTTTTTAATTATAAGCGGAATTGTGAATATTAATTGTAACTAATGACCAAGTGCTGATATTGATTCCATGTGCACTGCCAAATGGTGTAAAGCAATAAAAATTTATTAGTAACTATAGTGCAAACATTTTAAAATTCTCCTAGTTCTAAGGGCCCTCATTTATTCTACAGGGTGTATGATAAGTAACTCCCTATTTTGAAATGCTTGTAACTCTTTTATCTTTTTTAACGAAATTTAATTAAACAAACTGAATTATGCACCAGTTAGTGAGGTTTTTATTCGTATAATTTTCACACTTTCACGTATGCTCCTGCATTGTCAACACATTTCCTTAAGCGAACAGATATGTTTCCCTCGGCTGATCGTAACATGTGTCCAGTGGCGTGCCCAGGAAATCCGAATGGGGGGGGGGGGGGGGGGCGCCATATGAAACACTGATTACCCACCTTAATGAGGGGGGGAAGGGGTTAACATTAAAAAAAAACTGATAACCCAACCTGTATTTGTGGCAAAATAAAAAAAATTTGTGAGAATCGAACGTGTAAAATTGATTGAAAAGGGGGGGTTATGACCCCCACCCCCCCCCCCCCCCTTGGGCACGTCACTGCATGTGTCAAGGTACGTTATGAAGAGCATTGTTGATTCTTTCTTAAGTTCATTAAGATATCATTCAGTTCATTAAGAACGAGTGCCTGCACGAACTGATTCACCAAAATTCTTGTAAACATTGCGTTCAATTTTTCAATGTTTTCAGGTGTTCGCGAGGTTGATGGTCGTCATGATTTGGTCTTGTCTGTTACTGAACCGGTTGTCATTAACTTCGGATTACATTTATTTGTTGTCTTAGCATCCAGTGTTGCATGGTGTTCAACCCTCCACCATCGCTGATTGATCCTCAAACCTCGTAACAGGCAGCTACTTTGACCCTTTGTTAAATTGTTAGTCTGTTGTAGATTCTTTAACCTGAAACAAAAACACAAACGAAAATAAAAACTTCACTAATTGGTGCATAATTCACAGTTTATTTCATTAAATCATTAAATTTCGTTACAAAAATAAAAGAGTTACAAGCATTTCAAAATAGGGATCATTATATACTATTACAAAATAGGGATAGGGACTTATCATACACCCTGTAGAATATTTTTAGTTAAGTATTTTAAAATAATTTCCAAGAGCGTGCTAATTGCTGGAAACAAATACCGTTATGAATTTTTCTTTGAATTAGCTCTGCATACGCACATACTCAATTCAGGGACCTGTTCTTCACCTCTGCTAAATTTAAATCTAAATCTAAAAGCAGTCTAAAAGCAAAAAGTCTATTCTTCACCCTGATCCTTTAGACAAAGTTTTAAGTTTAGCAGAGGCAAGGAACCCCTGAATTCAGGGGTCTCCGACTCCGAGTGATATAAAGCAGCCCCGGCAGCCCTGCAGTCACATTTCTTTAAAAAGAAGCCTATCTACGAAATAAAAATTGCATGTTCTGACTTTATTCGACTATCTACTACGAAAAACTTCGATAATAGGCTGCTAAAATAGGCCTACAGATTTTTTATATCTTTTTTTACATTTTCTGTGTGGCGAAAGATCTGCCTTTATTGTCTTAGCATCAGTGTCTACTTCTAAATTATTTCATCCTTTAAAGAATTCGGTAGATATTCAATATGTGCAAGTGTTCGCGTCTTCCTTGCTGCATTTATCCTTTATGTAACGAGCGATCGACGAGCGCAGCCTGACAGTTCGTCCATGTCCAAACCTTTAGTTTGTACAGACTGAAGGGCTGGACTTCAGGCATGAAGGTCAGTCAGCAAAGCTAAAACGTAAATGGTAACCATGCATGATACCCAAGGCTTTTGATCGATATGCTAGTGGTAGGTATCAACAATCGATCGAGCCTCTAATGAATGATAGGGGGGAGTCGATTGCAAGTAATAAATATATGGCTGGGATACTTAACGAGTTCTTCGCTTCCGTTTTCACTGTGGAATCCGACTCGGCACCGACTTTGGAGGAGGTGACTTCGGCGCGCATCAAGGATATTTCCATCACCGAGGAGACGATCATGAGTATGATAGGGAAGTTAAAGAGTTCAAGATTCAAGATAGTTAATGATATAAAGAGGCGATTTCGCCCATTTCGATATCACGAGTCGAGGTCGAGCGTTCCTTAATTTNGGAATCTCAGCACGGCTTTAGGAGGCGTCGTACTCGTCTCACCAACTTGCTCGAATTCTATGACTGGGCGACGGAAGAGAGCGATAAGGGGAATCCTGTGGACATCGTCAATTTAGATTTCGCGAAAGCTTTCGCTACCGCTCCTGATAAGATGTTGCGGGTAAAACTGGAGGTGCACGGGATCCAGGGTAGGACGAGCGAGTGGATCAGTTATTGGTTGACGGGAAGAGAGCAACGAATAATGGTAAATGGGGAAGCGTTTACAGAGGTCGGGGTCGCAAGCGGTTTCCCTCAGGAATTGGTCCTGCGACCACTTCTGTTTTTGGTCTACATAAAGATTTGGATCTAGGCGTAGAAGGTACGATAGGTACATTTGCCGACGACACAAAAATAGGTTTTTCTATAAGGGGAGAGACGGATAGGGCTAGAGCCGAGCGAGACTTGAGTCTTTTGGATGAGTGGAGCAAGAAATGGTTCATGAGGTTTAGTAAAAGTAAATGTAAAGTTCTCCACGTCGGTCGAAACAACGGTAGGTCTCTCGGCGCGCTTGGCGAGGATAAACTGGCGGGGGCAAATGGAGAGAGATCTAGGAGTTTCTATCGACGAAGACTTCAAGTTTTCCTCGCACGCGCAAGCGACGGTGACCAAATGTAACAGGATGCTGGGTTACATTCGCCGTTCGGTTGCAAGTAGGAACTCGCGCGTTATTCTTCCGTTGTATGCGGCACTGATAAGACCCCAGTTGGAATATTGCATCCAGTTTTGGAGGCCTACACATAAGAGTGTGAATTGTTGGCGCTCGAGGGGGTACAGAGGAGGGCCACAAGAATGATAAAGGTGGTTGGGGGACTTTCGTACGAGAAGCGTTTAGATGTGTTGGGACTGTACTCCCTCGAACGAAGGTTAAGGAGGGGCGATCTCATCCAGGCTTTCAAGATAATTAAAGGAATAGATCATGTCGAGTGTGGTAGGTTTTTCCAGTTAGATGGCAGCAAGAGAACGAGAGGTAACCGACTTAAGTTGCGCAAACCGCAGGTGCGGCTCAGGTCGAGACAGGAATTGTTTACTTGCAGAGTAGTGAACGCGTGGAATGCGTTAGATGACGAAGTAGTGGCTGCCCCGCGCTGTGACTATCTTTAAGAAGAAACTAGATGTTTTCATGGACAGCCAAAAAGGTGGGGGGCAATGTTGACGTTAGGTACTAGACAGTAAGCAACTAGGATAGTCAAATAACAAAAAAAAATACAAAAATATATAGCTTACAGAGGGTTAGGCCTACCCTAAAATTAAGGAACGCTCGACCTCGACACGTGATATCGAAATGGGCGAAATCGCCTCTTTATATCATTAACTATCTTGAATCTTGAAAAAGCGTTTAGAAGTGCTGGGACTGTACTCGCTCGAGAGAAGGTTAAGGAGGGGCGATCTCATCCAGGCCTATAACTAACCCATTCACGTATGAATTTTCCGAACAAAATAAAAATATCCCTTTTTTGTTTTAACGCTTAAGGAGGTACTCTGTCATAGTAGTCGCATGTTTCACCGCTGGAAAGCAACACAGAAGAGATTATGTGCCCCTTAGTTGACTGCATACACCAAAAGTTTCGAGGTATGTGTACCATGGCTAAAAAACCATCATCATCGCCAAAAATTTTGTCGTCCACTATAGTGGACACCATGCGTGAAAGGGTTAAAGGAATAGATAATGTCGAGTGTGGTAGGTTCTTCCAGTTCGATGGCAGCTAGAGAACGGACTTTTTTACTTGTAGAGTGATAAACGCGTGGAATGCGTTAGACGACGACGTAGTGGCTGCCCCTTCCGTGACTATTTTAAAGAAGAAACTAGATGCTTTTATGGACAAGCAAGAAGGGGGGCAATGTTGACTTGAGGGACTACGCAGTAAGCAACTAGGATATGCTGGAAAAAAATTTTTTTAAATATATAAATATTTAGGATTAAGAGGAGTAGGCTGATTGTAAAATTAAGGAACGCTCGACCTCGACACGTGGTATCCAAATGGGTGTTATCGCCTCTTGATGTTACTAAACAACCTTGAACCTTGAACCAGGAGATGAAAGAATCATGGACCCCACCCAAAGATTCGAAGTTGGGACTTGCACAGTCATAGTGATCAGGTGGTGCAGAGCCTCGAAATCAGGTTTTCAAAAAATGAAAATAAATTCAAAGATTTGAGCTGCTTTGATCCACTAAGATTCTCCTCTATTTGCCAAGATGGAACACCTGATTCCGCGCTACGCATCGTAGCTGAAATGGCTAAAGTCGATGCTGTTCTACGAAACTCGAACTATTAAGCTTAGCCCAAAATTATAAAGTCTCAAAAAAAGCATGAGTTCTGATTTTTTTTTATAAGCAACCAGATGACGATGAACTTGAGGATTTTGACGTTGACAGCAGTGACGATGATGATGTTTGTGGTGAGACCCAAGTACAACGTGTAGAGGTTAGATTTACTTCGTTTGTTCAATGACCTTTCATTTGTACAGCATTCCCTTTACAGAAAGAGAATACGAGGTGGGGTGGAATAAAATATACAAATGGGGGGGGGGGTACAGAGTGATTATTCATCTTCAGTTGGAGTTGAAATGATGTCTTGGGGTTGCGATGGTGGAGTGGAGGGGCGTGTCTTTTTCTTCAGCCGCTAGCAGCTGCTAGCGAAAAAGACGCGTTGGCTAGGCACGACTACGTCATCGAATGACGTCACCCTTGGGCAAGTAGCTGGCAGCAGAACATAGCGAACTATGGAAGCGCTGAGCAGCTCAGCCTTAACATGACGTCATGGGATGCTGGAGGCCTCAGCAGAGCTAGCAGAGCCGCTATGAAAAAAGACACGCCCGAGATCTTGGGGTTGGGTGGGTCCGCGGCCAGCCACCAGGAGTCGTATGCGTACGAACGAATCTCGTATCATCTACAATACGTAACGTCGAATCATGTAGCGTCGAAAACAAATATAGTCGAAAACACATAGCACCAAATCACGTTCTGTCGAAAATTATCGTTGATATTCCAGGCAACGATATCGAATCACTGTGAATCACGTAGTGTCGAATCTCTTAACATCGAATCTCGTAGGATAGAGATTCAGCAATAAAAATGCCCCTCCCCTTAATCACGTAGCGTCGAAAACGCGGAACGTCGAATCACGCAGCGTCGAAAACACGAACCATAAAATCTTGAAAATCTTGGAATCTAGATTTTCCAAGATAACACAATTTGACAAAAAATAGCAAATTATCATAAACTCTTCCGAAAATAGAAGAATTCAACGAATGTGGGACTTCCACTTCCAGCCAAAGAGACGCTCTTTTCTCGTTGCTCATCTGCTAGGTCTGGAGCACGCGGAACACAGAGACATCTATCATAAGATATCTAAATGATTGTTTTTACACTTACTTTTATTAAACCTCATGAGCCATTTCTTGCTCCACTCGTCCGCTCCACGTTCCGCTTAGCCCCCCCATTGACGAAAACCTGGCTACGCCACTGCCCCAAGGGAGAATAGCCTATCCCTAGCGTCAGAAATGACACCGAAATGGAAGGCATTTCCACTTTTTGAAGTAAAGCCCGCCGCACACGAGACAATTTTTGTTGCTCCACCGTCGCGCGACCGTCGCTCCTCACGATATTTCTCCGTGTGCGAGGGTCCTGCGATGTGGGCCAGCCCAAATTCTAGCATCGACCAATCACATTGCTTGCAGATTGCTCCGTGTGCCCCCGGGGTCTCATCTGCGACGGTGGAGCAACGAAAATTGCCTTGTGTGCGGCGGGTTTAAAACTGAGGGTGGCATCAATTATTGCGTCATACATTCAGTCACGTTTTGGCGCCCTTGGTGAACTTGCGCCCTGTGCGGGGGCATATGTGGGACATACCTAAGGCCGCCCCTGATCATAAGACAAGGTATTGAATTGACTTGTTGGCGGTGGAGGACTGTCAGCTGGGCCTGCCTTAAGCATGTGGCACATGCACAGGGCACAAATTCACCGGGGGCGCTAAAACGTGTCAGAATGAAGCAATAGTGGATGCCACCCTTATTTTTACTTCAGAAAGCGTGATTCTACCAGTTCACTTTACCAGAATCTAAAGGTCAGAAGGTCTCAAATTACTTAAGTGCCTTGAGTTTACAGTTCCCAAGAGGCTTCTTAGTGGGTCGCGAGAAATTTCCCATCAGGGGTGTGCGCAGTGACGTAGCCAGGTTTTCGTCAATGGGGGGGCTAATGGGGGGCTAACTTCGCCTCGTCGGGGTGGGGAGACGCATTTCGACCAGAGTTGGGGGGGCTTGAACCAAACTTGGGGAGGCTGAAGCCCCCCCCAGTCCCCCCCCCCCTCGCTACGCCACTGGATCATTCTGGGGGATTCGTGAAGTTAACTCTCCATCTAACATATCAAGATGATAAATGAGACAATTTGTGCAAATTCCTTTAACGAGAAAAATCCAAAAACTGCTCTCCTTGGGAAGGAGGCAAAATCACCATGAAGCCGCCAACCAGCAGAAGCAAAGATCCTACTCGGGTCTCGAAACTTAGCATGCAATTACTACCTAGTGAGTACTAAGTATAATAAGTACAATGTCTGGTTTCTGCTAGTGCTAGCCAATATCTAAATTTAATTGGGAAAACAAAATAGTTCCTGGAAAATAAAAGAGAATTGAATTGATAACTCAGTCTGTATATTAAGTAATTCACATAATAGCAATTTTCATGAAACCTTAAATATTTTAGGTACTGTTACACGTGCTTTTTGTTTTGAATGTACTGGAATTCATTATGTTAGTAACTTGGTATTTGTGGACTCAACTAGCACATTTCACTTTTGATTTTATGCTTCTTTGCCGCATTTGTATCAGGTCACTATGTCACTGAGCCTAACTTTTTATCGGTATTTCAATTAAATTTAACTACTCGAGTTACTTTACAGTGTTTGTTTTTAAATGCAGGCGCGGCTCTTGAGAAACCGGACCAGGTATTCAAGAAGTAAGTCTGGGGAGGGGGGAGGGGGAAATCGCGGACTTGCACAGTTTATTTGCAGAGCAAAATTATTGGGAACTTCAAGACCTACACTTCCTAGCGGGAAGGTAAGGTTGCAAAATTTATTTTTACCCTGTAGATTTTGTAAGCGAGTTTCCCGGAAAAAAAAAACTGGTGGCAACTGGTGGCATGGAATGAGAGGTAAGGGAGACCGAACGGCAGTTTATGCCTACCGAAGAGGTAGATAAATATTTCCACTTCCTTCCTTACTCTTTTTTTTTCCAATTCCATCTTCTTCATCCCAGATAATATCTGAAAACGGCATCCGAACAGTAGGAATTACTTCGGAAGGCCATTCATCCCTTGGATGCTGATCTTGCAAGGAAACCAGGGCAATATAAAGTAAAAAAATCCACTGCTTGTGCTCATGACGATTCTCAAGAGATGTGGCACATGCTTGAGTGGATGCCAAAAAGCAGGAACTTGTAGGCAAAGTCAAATCGAACCGCTTGGCTTGGAGGTCCTATTTTGACTTCGTTTCGGCCCGAACCCAAGAAATTCCTAAGCCCGGCTCGAGCTTTGACCTAGCCGACCAATTAGCCCAGGCCCTTGGGAGCTTCTCTCTTCTAAGCCTCCCACTTCCCAATCCTGTGAACTTGTGTGAAAGCTCTTAGAACGGGTCAAGTCTTAGTACACTTAGAAAAACCGTGATACTGATGCTCTTTTAAAGTCATTCAAAGACTATTGTACTGTTGATATTCAACATGACAACGGTGCAAGAAGGCTTATCGCTTGCTATCAGCGAAATTGAAGAGGCTAGAATCCTGCGAACGAAGAAGCAGATCAAGGACAAAGGAAAATTATAAATAAATTAAACTGTACATCTGTTACGTATTGCAGCTTGAAGCAACTGCAACACTCTCCCTTTCCAAATTCAATTCTACAGGGTGGCCACAAAGTCCCTTAACAAGGAAATCACAGCGTGTCTGTATGTTGTCCTCCGTTTCCTGCACATTGTTTGATCCTTCCCCGTGTTCTTTTGGACATCTTCCACGTGGAAGGCTGAACATCATGGAAGCAGTCTGTAATGGCTATTTTGAGGTCTCCAACATTTATTAGGCGCAGTTGAGAAAATTTTTCCTTCACGATTACCCAAAGTGCATTATCACATGTCGTAAGGTCTGGGCAGCGAGATGGCCATGCCATATCAGATCCTCGTCCAATCCATCGTCCACTTAACGTATTATTGAGATATTCTCGAACTGGCAGAGCATAATGTGCTGGTGCAGGATCTTGCTGCAGGATGCATGTTGATTCAAGACCCCTCTCACACAGTTGCGGAATGAACCACATTCTCTGACAAGTGTGCATTTTATTTCAGCAATCGAGCCAGAAAAGTTTATTTTTGGTGCAAGGAGAACCCCATTATTATGATAAAATTGAGCAGCACCCACCGCATGTCATGATTTGAGCAGCAATTTCAACAGATCATTAGGAATTTATTCCAGTTTAAACAAGGATAATGACCAGCAGTTCTCAAAAGAGTGGCCACGATAATTTCCCTAGGGGTCTAGGGGCAACAAAGCCTGGACTTCCAAGGATTTAAGCGCTTTTAATTAGTTAATGTGCACTTCGAAAAATTAATCGAAAAAATGTATTGCTTTAACAGTATTACTAATTATCCCATATTCCTCCTCAGCTGAGTAAAGGCTGAGCAGAGCAAAGCGGGCTTATAAACGAAGGGGAGAGGAGCTCTTTTGACGCTTTTTCCCCCCCAAAATATGACTGGGTTCAAAAAGACCGGTGACATGGCGGACGAACTGGGAAGGGGAAGAAAACGAAAGACCACGGAAAAGGAGGATGAGTTGATTATGCAAGAATCCCTGTCTTAGTTGGAAGCCAGCTCCTCCCAGGTCTCGCATGTTTTATGTCAAGGAGTCTCTGCCTCAGCTTTCGGGAGTCTGGGCTTGTGCACGCGTTCCCGTTCTGGATGCAGACGCTTACGTCCGTGCGTGGACGGACGTGATGAAAGAGTTGCTAGTACAGAGGGCCTGTAAATCCTCGGCCGCTGGCCGTGTTATACAGATGGCCGGTTATTTTAATATTGAGCCAATGGAGTTAACGAATGGGATTAAACACTTCTGGCTGCAAATAGGAGGTGGCCGTAATATCATGGTAGCTGAATACATGGTTCACTGTAAAATATTAGGGGTACATAAACAGGAAGGATTATTCATTGCATATGGAGTTGATGAATTCGTTTCTAAGCATGTCAATGTTGCACGATTTTATGTTTGCGAGAATGACGCAGATTGACATTAACCTTGTGGGGTAGTTTTTCCTCGATGACACATGACTTAGTTCCTACGATAGCCTACACTACGTGATTTTCTGCTCGCAAGATTCGGATTTTTTCGAGGATACGAGATTCGACGCTGCGTGATTTCGGACGTAGGAGTTTCGAGGGTACGCGATTTCGTGCATAAGAGATTCGACGCACCGTGGCTTCATGGGGTGGATTTTTTTCGATGATACGAGATTCGACGCTACGAGTTTCCATGCAACGTTGCTGCTGTCTTCAATTTAACTTGATATCTAGAAAATCCATTTTCGACTGTACGCGTTTCGACGCTATGCGTTTTCGACGCTACACTTATTCGACCTTTAGTGATGGGACTTTCCGATAGAAAGTGGCTTCGACGATACAAGATTCGACGCTACGCAGCACGCCCGCCACACGAGGTGGTGTTGTCAGGCCATTTACTTTGTTACCGCCCAACACTAAATACCTGAGTGCGGGCTCCGGTGAATCTTGCCCAGAACGGGTTCCATTTGGTTCGTTTCGACACCTCTCTACCCGACTCACCTTACGTAAGTCGCCGAACCCCACACCCAATGAAACACGACTCGAGAACGGCAAAGCCAGGTTATTTCCAATAAAGAAAAGAGAGCCTTCTTGTGAATTCCCTGACATTCCTTCGATCGCGTGCCTTTTTCGTGTGCCAGGGAGAAGGGACCATCGGAGCCATCAGAGAAAGGTCACAGCAAGGAAACATGAATTTTCTCATCCTCTTACTGTTAAACAGACTTAAGAAAATGGATATACAAAGGGGAAATTGAGATGGATGACTGGTAAGTGTTCCCAAAAACGCCGTTCTGCCCGAGCAAAAAGAAGAGTTGACTCAAAACCAGGGCTGTACGATGTATGGTATCGGCCGCCGGTGTTGCGCTATCGGCACCATTGACCATCGGCCTATGGTAACGGTGCCCAAAGGACGGGCAAAGCGAAAAAAAAATTACGTGAGAGTGTGAACGCGCCTCGGCGCCGAAAGCCACTTCTGCCAGCCTCTCCCAGGCAAAAATATCGATCGAATTATGTTACAGCCGTATTATAGGAACAGGCGGAGGAAAGTAGCAGTAAAGAACGGGAAATAATTACATCCCCATTTACGTTATGCTTTTGCAAGGGATGTGACACTAAGTGCTCTCAACTGCAGCAATGGATAGCAAGCTAACCCCGGACAGGGGCACAGAGAGACAGACAGGCTGGACAGGACCTAAAGTGTTCTCTATCGTTTCAAGGAGGCCTACTGATAAGTATCACATGGCTTCCAATCAGTGGCGTAGCCAGGTTTTCGTCAAGGGGGGGGGCTAACTTCTCCTTGTCGGGGTGGGGCGTACGCATTCCGACCAGAGTTGGGGGGGCTTCAGACTCCCCTCGCTACGCCATCGCTTCCAATTAGGCCTATTTGAATTTATAGGCAATTTCTTCTACGGACCACAATTGGCACCGGAACCGGCCGATGGTTGAGAAAATAATCGGTAATCGGCCCACCGGTAGAGCCCTACCCAAAACCCATGTGCTTCAGGCCAACTCTTTTCCTTTCGAAATTTTCCGAATGGTTGTCCTTATCCGTCCTTAACAATGCAACTCTTATTCAAGTACGGGCAGCCAGAGAGAAGATATGGATATCCTTAATTATTTAAATGCTCCAGGTGACCTCTATTGCTCCCAACTCAGGATGAAAAATATGTCCAACATGTGCTTGTGGTTTCATGAACATTTAAAATAAATTAGTCGTATGGAGCCTGACTAACAGCTTTTCCCCGCACAATGGCTCACGAGCAAGTGTGTCTATCTGCGGCTGCCTGCTCTGCTGGACTAATTTTTCCGTGGGGCGAGTCCGATCGAGACGGAGGAGGCAGCTAGGAGAAGCATGCTGCCGCATTCGATCATGATCATTTGACATCGTGAGGAAAGAAAGACTAACACTTTCAACGGTTGCATCTCAATTTTCATGAAACCACCCATCTCAATTTTCATGAAACCACCTGCGCATGTTGGATGAAATCGGCTAATTAACTCAAGGTGGGAAATAAAATCCGGTAAAACAGACGTACACAGGCAAGGACGTAACCAAGAATTATTTTCGAGGGGTGTTTCGTGCAACACTTTCTGGCTCGATATGAAAAGTGGGCGAGGGGGTGGGTGATTGAGAGGAAAGGGGACATTTTCAAAAGTACTACAGCAGAGTACCTCCTTAAACGTTAAACCAAAAAAGGCATTCTTTTGCTTGAAAAATTCATCAGTAAAAGGGTATATCTTGAAATATGTAAAAAGAAAATTTCAATGAATAGCTAAAAAATTTTGGATGATGATTTCATTGATGAAAATATGATAGAAATAAAACCTGAAATAGTATATAAATATTATGTTTAGTTAAAATGAAAATAAATAAAATACGATTACTGTATATCTAGCATTAATTAAAATAACTGCATTATTTTGTGAAATAATAAACATGGGGGGTAATATCAGGCCTGCAGAACATGTTCATGGCAAATTTAGACTCAATATCTGAACTTGGGTGTAAATGGGCTAAGGCAGACTATAGTCAACAGTATAGGAGGTAGAAAACAATCATTTATGCCTTTTATTGTAAAAAATGTGTCCTCTGCATGTGACAAAATTGGAAGTCACATAAACAGCACTGTCAAAGCATCTCCACAACAGATGCCTGACGCTAGAGGATGGCACCTGTCTTGAGTTGTTCTGGTGGAACATAATTCAAGTATTTCTCTACCTACTGACTAGCAAACTGGGTTCAGCCTATTATGAGGCCAATTCCAACGCCAAAGTTTCCCTTCTTGTGATTCAACTTTCCAGATAAGGCCAATGTGAAAGGTAGTGGTTGCAGCTTCTTCTCCAACATGGCACAGCAAGTCCAGTTTGAGTCAAATGATCCTGTGAAGATAAATAACAGGTCAATCTAATTACACATATTTAGCTAAATTCATTAAGATAGCTAAATAATGTATAATACTCCAAAGGCCCCAAAAACATGACATTTTAATTGATGATATAGGCCTATATGCTAAGCAGCAACTTCATTCAAGGTCTACTCTATACTTGGACCTCTTGCTATATATAAATATATAAAATTGTCTCTATAGAGAAAGGCTAGCTCAAAGATGCATTTAAAACCAGAGTGTGCTTTACGGTCACATTTGATTCTAACTCGACTAGGCTAGAGTTTCCTCCAGCAGGAAAAAAGAAGACATGCATCCCTCACATTCCATCATGGTTGGTCCAATAGGAAATAGAGAACCTGGGAGGAATTGTACAAACAGCAGCTAGCGTTAACCACACAGGAGAAAGACCAACTGATCTAATAGATGGTGGATGTCACCTTCTAAGTCAGCCTTTTCTCTTACATATTTTGCAAGCATCTCATCTGAAAACCTACCAGGGAAGGGGTTAATAGTTGGAATTATTTCTGAACTGTACACAAAGTACACAACTGACTGCCTGCTTGCAAATCTAAAAAGGAACTTTGAGAAAGGTGTTTTGGTGGCAACAATGAGCTGAAGTTGTTTGTGCAAGAATAGCTTGCCAGACGAATCTGTTTACAATTCCAATATTACATAATATCTAAATCAAATTTCAATATAAGCTAAAAGAGCTCAAGAGAGCTCTCACATTCTGTTATTGACTCATTTGTTCCAACCAATCAGTATACAGGGTGGGGCAAAAGTCAGGGAACATAGGAATTTTGGGAGAATTTAATTTTCAAAGTGACTGCTTGATGGCAGCACATTTCCATAGCACTTTTCATCAAATAGTTGAAAATTGAATAGCCCAGTGAAAATTTCTCCCACTGCATATGAATGATTGTTACCCACCTGGAAGTGGTATGGCACTTTTAGCGATGTGTTGGTTCCATTGCTGTCTGTGCTGGTGAATGCCATGCTTGGGTTTTTACAATTTCACCATAATTTGACAGACAACATTTGAAAGTGATTTATGACTGAATGTTGTGAAATTACATAATAATGGCACATTAAACTGGAGTTGGTGCTGATTCAGGTAAAAATCTGATAAAAGTTTACAGTAAACTAGTATGATTACCATGAAAAACACCCAAATAGGTCAAGAATGTCAATCCACTACATTTTGATAGAGAAATTCCTGGCAACCAGCAGTTTTCCTGATGCCAAAACAAACTAGGTGGCCACAGGAAAGACCAATCAAAATAAAAGCCTTCACCAAAATCAAAGTACTTTTGGTCCAACAATCAATGCAAGAGATGTTGATTGCAGTGGGCATTTAGTGAAAGGTTAGTCAGAAAGAAAAATTAAATTCCCTGAAAAATTCTTGTGTTCCTTCACTTTTTCTCCACATTGTATACAGGATATGGCAAAAAAAGGATACCAATGACTTTTTATCTAAATATCTCTGCCTATAATTGAGCCATTTTCACAAAACGTTTACTATGCATATATGAGTGTGTTTCCAACTGATTCTTAAACTTCATCTAAATTTGTTGAGCCAAAGAAATACTTTTAGCTATTAGACATTGAAAATGGATAAGAGCTCCTTCTGAAAGTGGAGTGGAGGAAACCCTTGAGTGCTGTCCCTCCTGGTCATCAAGGCCATACCAAACTCCTTTTCCATTTAAATTCATTCTTTGGACTAGTCATCTCTTACTGATGATTTTCATTCCAAATGACTAGCAGATGAATAAATGAGTATCATAATCCAGAAATTTTTTATATTTCATTCAAAATTTTCCTTGGTTTCTGTCGATCTGAGTCTGCAAGGTATGACAAAAAAGACCAATGACTTCCGAGTGTATCTTATGATTGCTTAAGTCATACCTTACAAAATGTGCAATTGATTTTATTTGATTTGATTGCCTTCATTTATTTGATATTTGAAAGTCAACAATGCTGTAGAAGTCTGTCACTTCAAATCAAAGTTATAAATTAATTCCCTGATAAGTCTGACATTTGAAGTGGACATCATAAAGCCAAGGTAAATTTAGAATAACTTTGAGAAAACTCTCTGGATTGATATTCATCATTAATTTATCTGCTATCCATTGGGAATAAGCTCACGAAAACCATCTGCAATAGACAACCAGCACAAAGCATGAAGAGATCAACATGGTCTTGATGACCAGGAGGGACTGTGCTTGAGTATCCTTCACTCCACAACCAGAAAGAGCTCTTGTCCATTCTCAATGTCTTCTTTTCAATACTTGCTGAAAGTATCATTTTGACTCAATAGAATTCACACGAAATTTGTATTATTAGTTGGAAACATGCTTATATATATATTCAGAGTAAAAGTTTTGTGAATTGGCTCCATTGGGAAATGAGATATTAAGGCTAAAAGTCATTAGTTTTTTTTTCCATACCCAGTATGTGTGGAAATTTTTTCAATATTGTGCTGCTTTACATTTTGCATTATGGATGCCTTGAAGTTGAAGTTTGCAATTGTGATTGAGCAGTTCCAGAATGGGCAAAACCCAAGGAGCATCTTTCAGCAATTCGAGACCAGTGGTTACTAGCAAGATGTTGTTTATCATACTCTCAGGCGTTATGAGACTGGAATTCATCAATATCTCTGCCATAGTAACTCATAATTTCATTGGCATGATTTTTTAATGATCTCGATTCAAAGAGTGAGTAACAGGTGTGAATTCCTAAAAAAACATGGAAAGCAGCAGCTTTAAGACATTGACATGGTGTAATGGACATGAACCAATCACATGCAAGAAATTATACATACTCACATATGTGAAAGCCTAAAACATGAAGTGAGTGTTGGCATTCTCCAGAGCCTTTTGTGCAAGTTTCCCTTTTCATCACTGATGCCACTCTCAGAGATCAATATTAAAGAACACTAGTAGCTATATAGCAATAGGAGCAAGAAACTTCTTAAATAATGAATTAACATGCTGCTCTTCAGGAAGGGTCAACCACATTACCTTTTACCATTTTTCTTGGAACTTCACCTAAATGCAATTGAGGAAGAACTAAAATCATGGATATTAAAGATTCCTTTGGCAAAGTGCTTCCAAAATTTTACACACATCCTCCCATTCCACTCAATGATCTAGCTATGGCTTCAAAAACCCCCAGTTAGGAGAATGCTGCTGAAATGTGTAATAAATCCAGATCAACTCTCTCATTACCTCAGCAATAGCTCAGAGATTTTGTACTTCAATAATTTTAAATTTGATCTCCTATTCCACTCAAGGCTTTGGATGACCTATTCAAATGAATCTTCTGCTGTGACCCTTTTTATGTGGTGGTTGAGTACCCCAAGACATGACAGCATACAGGGTGTTCCAGTCAATTAGTCACCATTTTAAAATAATATAACTCTTGAAGTATGAAAGCCATCACGACAACTCTCCTACCATTAGAGAGAGCAGACTTCAAAGTTTTTTTTCAGTTCAGTTCGTAATCCTAACTTGATATGATTCACATATCAACATGGTGGACAACCCATTAACACATTAAATTTCGCTAATGCATCATCTCAACCTACTATCCACACATGTTCAACAGTGGTTTGTCACAGTCCCAAACTGGCCCTGACATCAATCTATGTCACTTTCTCATTTAGGGATACCTAAAGGAATAAGTGTTCAAGAGAGCTACTTGGTCAGTCCCTGAACTGAAGCATGCAATAACGAACTGCATTCATGAAATTGACAGTGAGCTGCTGAGTAGCGTGATGAACAACATTCTCTACACCTCCGTGCTGTCAACAATGTGCATGTTTATTGAGCATACCTTGCGCTGAATTTCACATGAAAAAAACTTTGAAGTCTCTCTATTTAGTGGCATGTGAGTCGCTGCTGTAGCTTGTATACATTAAAAGTTATATTATTGTGAAATGGTGACTGATTGACTGAAACACCCTGTAGTATGATAGTGTAATAAGATGGAGTGGAGGCAAGCAAGTGCATATTCAGTGTCAGCCCTCCTTATGGAGGCTCAATGGCATCAGGGGTGCTCAGGGCAAAGAGTATTATCTTTTTATGGGAAGGGTATCACACATATTCTGGAATATTTTTATATCTAGGCATTGCACACCTTTATAGACTAGCCCAGCCTTTGGGAGATCAGCCTGGTAGCCTATGGTTGTGGTTGTATCTTGGAGACGTAAGTTTGCATCCATCTCCACACCAATCTGGAGCTGTTCACTGGCCTTCTGGTAGAAAGTAGCATGGATTCCTGGGCCTCCAAGAGTGCCACTTGCCACCCAGTCCTTGCCTGTATTTTCGCAATATCAACATTAACATTGGTAGGACTATTACAGAATCTAATAACTAAGATCTTCAAGTAAATTAATTTGTTCAATGACATGGCATCGGTTCATGCTTATGATGGGTGTCAATAAACTGGCATTCAAAGATAAACTTTTACACAAGCTTGTATTTTTTTAAATATGACATTAGCATTATTCCATACCCTCACAATTAACAGTGCTGCTGGAATTACTGGCTTACCTGCTTAAAGGATTTCCCTAGGGGAATCTTGCATTAGGTCATCATTCGTCTGTAGCTGAACAATGTTTACTTCATCTTTTTTTTTTCCATTGATGAGATCTAATTCTAAAGTATTACATATCATTTACACCTGTACAGTTGATTTCCATGGGAAATACCAATTATTGAAAAAGGAAACCCTAGTGATAGACAAAAATAATCCAGCACTCATCAGAGACAAATTTGATCAAGGATAATCAGAAAAAAATTTGATGCCATAATGGTACCAAGAATAATACCATTGCCAAAGTAACTTAGTGTCACCAAGGTAACTTCAACTGAAGCAGAGAGGATTACCTCACAATTGTAATTGCTGAATGGGAAGTTTAAAAACCATTCTTAATGCAAACCATTCTTCATCAACTGATGATATCTTATCAGATGGGAAATTCTAGAGTGGGAATCATCCAAAGCCATATTTATCTAGCAAGATGGGCTTATTAAAGGAAAAGTTGCCCAGGGTGCCACATAATGTGATCTGAAACCAAACATAAAGGAAAAACTAAAATATTTCTTTCACCTGAGAGACGGCCTGAGATGGATATGAGTGCAATCTGACCACCAGGAATGCGAGCATCTCGCTGATACACAAGTTCAGCACCAAGGTCAAGGGGTAGTTGGCTGCTCCCAACTCGTCCAACAGCTTGCAGATATTGCAAGATCATCACACCTGAAATTCACAGATCAGGAATAAGTATTATGCCATCAACCATGTAATAAATGCCATTAGTATGTCCTCCCCATGTAGGAGTAGCTCAGGAAAAATGTAATTATGAAGAAAGCAGGAATTGGGAATCAATATTGGTATGAAGGTAATTCAGAAAGCTCTTGAACTGAGACACATTCTTTAGGCAAACTTGAAATTGATCAGAGATTTCTCCAAGACCCTTGATGTGTGATTTCATCCAGTGTAACCACCTCTGGGTGCATGTATGCTCCCTCACTGCAGGGCTGCCACCATCAGTACTGATGATGGAAATCATACCAGCTTCAGCTGACTGGAATATTTGCCCATGCAGCTACTCCTTAATAGTGGAAAACAAATCCAAATATTACAGGGGACTAGGAGGATGGCTCATTCTTCAAGAAGTTCAATGACCCTTGCTATTGTGTGGAACAATGTAAAAGGGAGTCCTTTCAAGTCTGTCTCAAGTAACTAGGCACCATATTTGAAAACTTAAATAGAAGAATAGCTCCTAGCCTCCAGATCAGATACCACTTATCACCAGTGACAAAATCCCAGAGCTGTCATTCCCAAACCTTTTAGATCATGCACTGGTGCTAATTCACTCTTACTACTTCATGCTTTTCCATGAGAATGTGGAGGCACACCTTAGCACAACCTTCCTAAATCAATGGTGTAAGATTTCTTTCCACCTACCCAATCCAATGTCCAGGGCTATTGAATGTCATATGTGTACTATAAATAATCTCCAATCACCATGATTGATTCACCAATCTTCTTTGAGCACTTGACCAAGGGTCACTACAGATGCAGGGTGAACTGGCATGGGTACATTTTGGAGGCTGCACTGATTTTTCTGGAATTTAGCCAAAAGATTGAATGCTGAAGCATGCAGTAAAGCCTTCACATCAATGCTCCCTTCAATCTTGTAAGACCATTGTCAAATGACATTTGGGGCCTATTTGTTAGATCAAGAGTTACATGACTTCAGGCTTAAAACCCCTGGACTACAGAGATTCCTTAATCTCTTCACTAGAAGGGTAGTAGGAATACTAGAGAAGTGCATTCTAGCAGGTGGGCAGGGGGTGTAAGCCTCGAATAGCATTACTCCCTTCATCACAAATAAAGCATTCAAGATATGGAAGATCATGGCATAAACATACTCTTGGTTCAACTTTAAGATAGCTAATCACCTATTGATCATTTTGCTCCATCTCCAGAAATTCCCGAATGGCTAAATTAGTTTTTAAATTTCATTGTCAATATATAATTTTAAAAAAACTGAGCAATGAAGTATCCCTGGCTGGGAAGGGAAAAATCCCCCAGAATCACAAACCCCATTCAAGCCAGAGCCACACATGGCCTTCCTCCTGAGCCCCATTCATAACAGATACTCGTATATCCCCCCCCTTTGATTGGATTTGTGTCCTAGCAAGAAGGGGAATGAGATAGGGTCATAGGAAATGTGCTATACAAGAGCCAGGGAGAGCTAGACTGCCCTGGGGCTTGGGATCTGCTCAGGTGAATGCCTTCTCCTTTCTTTGCCTCCACAGTTCAGTTTTTTTTTTTGGAGAGGCATAATACCAAATGCTTAATTAGTAGATACACTTATGATCGCTTCGCTTCCTGTATACAGGAATATATGCAGAACGAATTTTAGATCCATCATAGGTGAGGAACCACATTCATGGGAGTGACAGAAGTGTGTGCAAGATGTAGCCATCATCATTCACACACCCAAATGAATGATTGTGATTCATTGGTGAAGATGGTGCAAAACAGGATTAAGAAATCTGTCTGTAGCACTTGGATGAAAATTAATTTGGCCTATTCATGAACATTTTGTCACATGACTCTAAGAACTTGGGAGATTGCAATAATATTGAATGTTGCCTTCAAGAGAGCATTATTTAAAAATGAATATAAAGTGGACATAGAATATAATTATCCCTTGATGAAATGACAAAGTCAAAACATACAAACATTGATAAACCAATGAAGAGGTGATGGGAAGAATCTGTGATTTATTGGTAAACAAGTTTTTCTTCCTTCTTTATTTAGAACAATTTCCTGTCACCCCTAAGTTTTGCAGTTCTAAAAGCTTTCTAAGTGACCCAAGCACAATAAAATGCAGCAAACTGCCATGCTACCATTTCAGAGTAATTACAATTTTTTCCAAACAAATATAGGCAGATTATACAGCTTTCAAATATTATTAAACAAAGGTCCAGAAAGACAACAAATTTGTGAACATGTCTCTTAGGAAGTCAGAATAACTATAATCTCACATTTGGATAGATCAGGAAATGGGAGAGGGAAGAATTTTCAAGCATACAAATGAAATATTCATGCATAAATAAAATTTCTGAAATGAAATAGGCACAGTAAAAAAAACTTATATGAGCCTGTACACTCTTGATGTAACTCCTTTAAAATACACACCTCATTCTATTAACATTTCAGTCTTGTTAATGACTGATAATCCCTACAACAGCATAACAAGAAAAGATGAAAATCCATGCAAATGGCAAACACTTGAGTGCCCATTTCCATAGAAGTTATTCTGCTCTTCCTTTGTCTTAATGTTTACGCTATAATTGACAATAATCCACCTACACCTATCTGATGTCAAACACTATGTCTAACACAGGTATTGTTTGCTAGACACACCTGAATTGTCCTGAATCCATAAATGCTCACCAGGTTACTACAATGCAAACCAACACTAATGGTGCTAAATGAGAGATATCAGGCAGTGAGCAGAGTATGCCATAATGTCACTGAAAACTGGAGCTTTTCACCCATTTCATATTACCTCACTTTTTTAAAGATGTATTTCATTTAAAATATTGTGTGCAGAAACTCTGACACTTATGAGGTTAATATCTATTTAAGGTCACAAGCTATATCAAACATGAAGCAGCACTGAAAATTATGTTCTACAGGAAAAGACACATGGATGAGAAATCAACTCACCAGAAGATCTCTTGAGATCAATGTTGGCAAGAGTGCAGGTAGCTGTATAATCTCTGCCAAAATACTCCATAGTCCCCTGAGCAGCATTACCACCTGTTTTCTTCCCAAAACCTTCCAACTAAGATGCAACAGAAACATAGGAAGAAAATAAAGATTAGTGCCAGGTCTACAGTAATTTCAATGCTACCAAGTGGCTCAGGCTCACCTGAGCTACCAATCGTGTTCGTAGCTCTCGAGTGAACTGATGTATGATGTTTGCATTGAGACTCCCTGAGGCATCAACCTCTCCCATCAGTATGGGATAGGCTTCGTTGGGACTAAATTGCTTTGTGCCTGCATAGGTGGCCTGAAACTTGTAGCCACTCATGTCTGGTGAACCCAGGGTGAGAGCATGAGCAATCTGAAAGTGGCTGCTGAGAGGCTTCTGCACCAAGAGTCGACCTCCCTCAAAAGCAAGAGGAAATACATCTGAAAAAGACATAGGATAGATCCAAAGTGAGAAGTGATGTCTCAGACCCAGCTTCCTATTCATCAATTTCCAAAATTTTTCGAAAAGGATTAACCTAATGACACAGAAACATTGACGTTATAAAGCTAAGTCCATCTACAATGGACCTTACCCAAGTCCAGGTCTAACTGTTAGAGGTTACACCTATAGACGTATGTGGGTTTACCTTTGCATTTTTTGTGGATATCCTCAATGGAGCCAGGATTGAGAGTTGAAGATTCTGAAGGTGATTCATGAATATGCACGTGTGGTTCACTCCCAGTCCCAGGTCCAACTTGACTGGCAAAAGACTCAGCAGCAGGTGAAGGAGGGAATAACAAGCTCGGATGCGGCTCCTGGCTCCCGCTCGTGGGTGTATTCACCCCTAGTGGGGCTGGCAGAGGTTCGGAAGACCCGAGCTTCCCTCCACTACTGTTGCTATTTCCCATTGCACTGATAGTTGGACAAGTCTTCGTTATCGGTCCCTTTTGAAATTAGGAGACACTGAGCTAAGAAAATTATGAAGGTGAGTCTCTCAGCTGAAGGCAAAATTCCCCCCTATGAGCACCGAGCATCACACGCCGACAGGAGAACAGTGGGCGGCCATGCTTACTGCATATTCACACAGGGTTGTCGAATGGCTTCGGTGGAAAGCCGACCCAGTCAGCAAAATAAAGATCCCGGGATGGGTTCCGAAGTGGACCACCAGCAGAATGGCGCAAGAGATATATCATATGAAATTGAGTAGATTACAGTGATATCGGTTTCAGCTTAGAGAGTTGAGGTATGAGTGCGTAATATCAATGTGTAGATATAATAGTTACGTTCTGGGAGCATCCTCGAGCAGCCATGTCTTGCGCCACGCCCAGGCCCTTGCGTCTGCTAGCCATGCCTTCCCAGGCATGCGCACTGTACTCGGGTCGGATTTTTATTTAATGCCCGTCTGGTCTAATCTTCATCATTCTGGCCAGACCCGTCATTGCACTGTCACGATTAGTGAACCTCTATGTTTTTTCCCTTCCGGTTCGGTGTCAAGGGCCAAAGAGTGAGAAAGTCAACATGAGCTTGCAATTGATACATCTATTGCGCCATTCTACTGTTGGTCCACTACGGACTCTTTCCCAACGAACAGCGAAATTCAAATTTACTGCTGAAAAAAGACAAATTTGCAAGAAAATAGCTTATAGATTTTTTTTTTAAATCGGCAAATATCACATTTTCGAAATAATCCAGCGTTCAGTGAACATGCCAACTATTATCCCAGTAGCATGTAAGTTGTGGCCCACTACCTACATTTTGGGAAGAGAGCTGGTGCCCACCAACTCCTCTGGGTTGTGTCCCACCAGGTACATGTCCCACTTGCCAGCACTGGCCCGCCACCTTCCGAGCCTCTTAAGGGAAGCCACATTACCAGTTAGATCGTTTGTGGTGTACCACCAGCTGGAAAGAATCCTAATGCCTCCATATACGAGGGCAGTTTGACAATGAGTGAGATTCTCAGTTAGGATGACTCTCAGTGGGCCAGAGATTCTTCTCACCCTCATATATCCGAATTATCCGAATTATCTATAATTCTTGACTCTGGAGCCTACTCAGAAGAGAACTCAAGAGTACCAAGATGACCCACTGCTCTCCTATTCCGTATCCAAGAAGGAGCGCGGGGGGGAGGGGCAGAAGTTGACGAGTTCTAAGATACACATACACAATAAATATCATAGAGTAGAGAGTGTAACTAGAGGCGACACTCCGAGAGGTAGGGGAGGGTCGAAATATTAGAGAGACATCTGGTGGCTTGTTATCAACACTTCCATGAGGCGTGCTTCGTGGCAGCGGAATCGGGAATCGACTCGTTTGGGTATTCGACCCAAAGGGAGTCCTCAACGTAATACGCTTGTCTCATTGAGTCGGCTGCTGGGCCACGGCGGAGTTGTTCATGTGTGCACGCTAGGTGGAGGATCCACAGCGACATCTACAGTATACTGCGACCCTGTCAATGAATAGGATTTCGAGCAGAGTATCGTCTCTAGTTACACTCTCTATAATAAATATTGATATAGGTACAGTGAAAACTCGTTAACTCGAACTTTTAGGGACCGGGCAAATCGTTTCGAGTTATCCGAAGTTCGAGTTATCAGGAATCGCCCCCCCCCCCCCCCCCCCCCCCCCCCCCCCCCCCCCCCCCCCCCCCCCCCCCCCCA